GATCGATGACGATTGATTCGACGCAGATTTCTCTGTTAAATGATGAGCAATGATGACTGCTGTGAGGCCTATACCAGCTTCCGAAGATTCTTTGAGATCCGAAGATCCTTTGAGATCCGAAGAACCGAAGATTCCTTTAGCCCAAATATGACAAAAAAAAATCAGGATGTCGAGCGTTTAACGAATATGGCAAAAAATCGGGCAAAAAAAAGTACCCTTTCGAAACTCCTGGCTGTTAGTTCAAGGCGTCCGTTTCTTATGAACTATCTAGTTCATAAGAATCCTCCGCCATTCCATCGGTAACCATCAAAAAGTGTCAGAAGATAATTCGAAATTGCCACCAAATTGATCGAATTTCAATTCGTTAGGAATAAAGGCATTGTTGAGTCACAAATTCGAACAGACAGAACGAGATCGGGCATTCCTAAAATAAAACATTAGTAAATGAAAAGAAAACATAAAAATTTAAAAGATAAGCAATAGAATGTAAAAATAAAAGTAAAAGTTATCGAATTTGAAAAGAGATGAATAGTTTGAAGATCCTTAATTGACCATAGTGACCATCACAAGCCGAGCGCCGATCCTTTTCCTTAAAAGAATCGAGCCAGAACAGAGCCCCTTAAGCTAGACGCGTATGCCAGATGGAAAGCGATTGTGTGCGCGAACAAAGAGCACCTCTTCGCATAGTGACCCTCGCAAGCTGAGCGCCGATCCTTTTCCTCTACCGAGTTGAAAATCGGAGCCCCCTAAGCTAGACGCGTATGCCAGATGGAGAGCGATTGTGTGCGCGAACAAAGAGCATCTCTTCGCATAGTGACCCTCGCAAGCTGAGCGCCGATCTTTTTCCTTTACCGAGTTGAAAATCGGAGCGCCTTAAGCTAGACGCGTATGCCAGATGGAGAGCGATTGTGTGCGCGAACAAAGAGCACCTCTTCGCATAGTGACCCTCACATTTCCCTTCCTTTTTTGATGGAAGATATTCAGCTGGGAATTTGCATCCAGGGGTTTTAGAGGTCGGTGAATCGATTAGAGATATTCAGAGAACGAGATCGGCCATTCTTAAAGTAAAACATTAGTAGATGAAAAGAAAATGATGAAAAGTGAAAATAGAAGTTGTTTGCTGATCTTTTCTTCCTTTCTTCCTTTCCTTTCTTCCTCTCCTTTCTTCCTTTCATCATTCCCCTCACGTCTTCATTGAGTCGATTTTTGATAGTTTTATGCAATGTTTGTCCCGTTTCCTTTCCCCTTTTTGAGCTCTTCACTCATCTCATTTGCCACCCCAACTTCTTCTTTCTCCCCTTCTTCCCCCTCTTCCCCTTCTTCCCCTTCTTCCCCTTCTTCCCCTTCTTCCCCTTCTTCCCCTTCTTCCCCTTCTTCCCCTTCTTCCCCTTCTTCCCCCCACGTCTCATTTTCAACTACGAATTCTAGAAAAGCAAATCATCGAAGCGCAAAAATTTCTTCAAGCTATCAAAAAAAAAAAATTTCTCATTTACTCATTTTTTCCCCATTTTGAGCTTGAGTGGTTTTTAATTTTTCTTAGTTTTTTTCTTAGCTTTCTTAGCTTTTTTATTAGCTTTTTTTAGTTCAAATTTTGATATGCATGCCAGAATAGAGTTTTTTTGTCTTTTTGTCTTTTTTTAGCGATTTTTTTTTGGATTCTAGCCGTTGTAGCCAACCGGATAGGAGTCTTGCCTCCTAGTCGGGAGGTTAAGGGTTCGATCCCGGCGGCTAGAAAGATTGATTCTTTTTCCCATTATTATGGGTTTTTTTTTTCTTAACAACATTTAGGCAATAGGGGTAATTAGGGATCAAAAATCTCCTCCGTTGTGTTGCAAATTCGTGTCGACATTATTCGTGTCGAATAAATATACATATATTGGGTTGGTGGAAAAGTCCTTTCGGATTTTTTGGGAGAGTACCTTAAATTTGTCGAATTTTGACGTTTTATAGCTGATCCTAAAGCTGAATTCAAGACGGATCGATTGGTAAAAACCGTTTTGAGATATCTCTTTTTTAAAAGTTTTTACAACTATTTTAGTAAAGAGCGGCAGAGCCAAAAACAGCCAAAAAATGGCTGTTTTCACGTTTCGTTAGTTTTCCTTGCAGAAACCTAGGCTAAAACCATGCTAAAACCATGCTAAAATTCAGCTTTAGGATGAGCTATAAAACGTCAAAATTGGACAAATTTAAGGTACTCTCCCAAAAAATCCGAAAGGACTTTTCCACCAACCCAATACATACATTCGATCAGTTTCAAGTCATTGACATTTATTTGTATTTGAGTGAATTTGAAATAAAAAAGGTTTAAAACGCTAAAATGCGCTCCAGATTGAAGATCTGGAGATCTCCAAACTTTAAAAATGAAAAAATTTTCTTCAATTTTTTCCACCAAAATTTGAGTGGTCGATTTTTTCGATTTCGGGAATTTTGGAATTTTGAATTTTGAATTAAAAACACTTTAGAGGGCTAACATGACCTCCAGATGGAAGATTGAAATTGTTAAAAATGCGATTTTTTCCTCAAATTCTTTCCAAAACCCAAGCCGTCGATATCGAGCGATTTTTTTGAGTCCTCAATTCTCCTCCTTTCTCCAATTCTTGTCTTGTGACTTCCAGAAAGCTTCGAGAAAGCATTGTTATTCCCCGGGAATGTATCAGAATTCGAATTTCCGGGTTTTCCGGCTCCTTTCTTTTGACTACTCATTTTCTCATTTCGCGAGCTCAATTATCGGCGCCACACTGTCTTTGCCCGTCGCGACAAATGAAATTTCCCGTCGAGAAGTCAACTTTCTTTCGAATTTAGCGAATTTCGGGGAATTCTGTATATCGCCATTGGTAAAATACCAGAAATTCGAGATTTTCCTCGTTCTCGCAGTTTTTGATCGAATTTTTCGCTATTTTTGAAGATTCCAGAAAATTTTCGATAATGTTTTGATCAATCTGGATATCACAGTACAATATTTAGACATAAAATCGAAATTATTGCAAATTTCAAATTTCAAATTTTTCGAGATTTATAGCTGGAAGAATTTCTCACCATTTTTAAAGATTTCAGAAAATTTTCGATAATGATTTGATCAAACTGGATATCACAGTACAATATTTAGACATAAAATCGAAATTATTGCAAATTTAAAATTTTTTAGTTCTCGAGATTTGTAGCTGGAAGAATTTTTCGCTATTTTTGAAGATTTCAGGAAATTTTTGATATTGATTTGATCAATCTGGATATCACAGTAAAAAAGTCAGACATAAAATCGAAATTATTCCAAATTTAAAATTTTTCACTTTTTGAGATTTATAGCTGGAAGAATTTTTCGTCATTTTTGAAGATTCCAGAAAATTTTCGATAATGATTTGATCAAACTGGATATCACAGTAAAAAAGTCAGACATAAAATCGAAATTATTGCAGATTTAAAATTTTTCATTTTTCTAGATTTATAGCTGGATGAATTTTTCGCTATTTTTGAAGACTCCAGGAAATTTTCGATATTGATTTAATCATTCTGGATATCATAGTAAAAAATTCAGACATAAAATCGAAATTATTGCAGATTTAAAATTTTTTAGTTTTCGAGATTTGTAGCTGGAAGAATTTTGTCGCAAATATTGGCCATTTCGAAAAATTTCCTCCAATTTCAGTCGATCTGGGTGTCAACTTAGCCAACAGAATTCTAACAAAAAAAGAGATTCTCATTTTTTTCGAAGTTGGTTTCACGTTCCGGAGGAGTTTGGTCAAAAGGAGCCGAAAAAGGCAGGGATTCACTTTTTCGGTCGTTTTTTGCCGCTCTGGCACTTTTCCCTGTTCCCAAGTGCTCAAGGGGGTTCGGAATCGGTGTTTTCGGCGCAAAAAGCGGCCAAGCTAGGTATCATTTCTTTTTGATGTGTTCCCCGTGCTCTCTTGGCCCTCTTGGCCCTCTTGGCCCTCTTTTGGCCCTTTCCCAAAGCGCCTCAATGCCTCTCATCCAACATTTCAGTGATCCTGGGTGTCACACAGCCGAATCTTCATCTTTGTTTTTCTTTTTTTTGCATTTATTTGTATGTCGTTTTTTTGGAATTTGGATTTTTTTGATTTTTTGATTTTTTTGAATTTTTGGGTTCAAAGATTTTTTTTGTTTTAAATTTTTTTCGAAAATTCTTTTTGAATTTAAAATCCTGGATGGCACAATGGCTGATGAAAGATTGAATAACTGAAAATTCCAGCTTAAAAATTCTCTCACCCTTCTCATATTGAGGCTCGGTATCGATATCGTGAACCCTGGGAGCTTTCGGCCTTTCCCCCTTGAGTCCTTTGAGTCTCTCGGAACGGAATGTGATGGGAATTTTCACCTGGCCCCCACATTTTCCCCTTGGAAAGTGAAAGAGGGCCGAATTACTTTCCTCTCACCCTCCCAGCCGCGACAATCAACTCCTCGACAATCCCCCTTTACAAATCTGTGCCTATTTTCAAGTTACGGCTTTTATTTCTCGATTTTCGGTGATTCTGGAATGCACGCTTGAATTTAAGCCAAAAAAATTCGATTGTTTTTCGTAAAAAATTAAAATTTCTTTTTTTGAACTGCTTGAAATATTGGAATTTTTGATCAAAAATCAAAAACCAAAAAGTCTTCCAGAATGATCAAAATGCTGATTTTTCATTCTTGTGCCTTCCAAAACGGCTAAGCTTTCGATTTAGCGGTAAATTGTCGAAGGAATCGTTGAGCAATTGGCTCAGTCCTGTATTCCAATCGAGTTTTTAGCTATAGCTAAAAACTAAGGACTTTTCAGCCTTCCAGAATGATCAAAATGCTGATTTTTGGGTGTTGTAAGGCTGGGAAATGGTCTTAAACTTTCCCTTGGCTTAATAATTTGTTTAAAAAATTGTTTAAAAAATTGTTTAAAAATTTGTTCAAAAAATTTGTTCAAAAATTTTTTGCTGAAAATTTGTTTAGAAAATTTTTTCCGAAAATTTCTTTTTAAATCTGAAGCTCTTCGAATTTTGGTTCAAAATTTCAGCAAAATGCTCGTCAAGCGTTTGCTCGTTTTTCTCGCCCAGCAACTCGTCTCTACCTGGGCGCTGAAGTGTTTAACAGGTAAGGGAAACGGCAACTAATCGATTGTTTCAGAAGGGTTTAAACTAAATTCCCTAAGGTCAGGATGAGGTTTTTTTCTAATTCACGATTGAATTTTATCGAATTTTATCGAATTTTCTCTAAATTTTGTCCAAATTAATCCAAATTAATCCAAATTAGTCCAATTTTATCCAAATCTAACCAAATCTAACCAAATCTAACCAAATCTAACCAAATTTATCCAATTTAATCCAATTTAACCCAAATTTACCCAAATTAATCCAAATTAGTCCAATTTTAACCAAATCTAACCAAATCTAACCAAATCTAACCAAATCTAACCAAATCTAACCAAATCTAACCAAATCTAACCAAATCTAACCAAATCTAACCAAATCTAACCAAATCTAACCAAATCTAACCAATTTTATCCAATTTTATCCAATTTTATCCAAATTTATCCAAATTTATCCAAATTTTATTGAAATATCGAAACCTATGGTTCTATATCTAAAAAGAAAGTGCTTAAACTTTATTAAAGCCCAATTAAAATCGATTCGAAATCACTTTTCCAGGCCATCCAACAGCGCCAAATGTTTGCCAATCACTTTCCTACTGTATGACAGTGCGCTCGAATCGGGGAACCGTGCAAAAGTGAGTCACTTTAACTCTTTAATATATCGTAATCGAAAAGCGATTCCTCTTAAAGATCTTCGATTCTCAAATTTCAATATTTAACTCTAATAATCTAATAGAAAAGGATGTTCTTTTATTTTGCTTTGCTTTGCTTTGCTTTGCTTCTATTGCTATTGGATTGGTGAATTGAAAAGTGCCGGCTATGTCGCAATATTAAACTTCAATCAATTTCTCTCTATAACGGAATGGCGGAGTGCCCAGAGTGCACCACGAGGAGGTCGCTGAGCTTAGCATTCCGCCATCCTGTCTCTTGGTCTCTGAAGAGCCGATGCCCTTAGCGATGACACTGACTCCCGCAGAAAGAGTGCTCAGCTTTCTAAAGTGCGCGCAGCGTAAGTAGAAGGAGAGGTTACACTTTGTTGATGCTAAAAGGGATTGATTTGATCCCCAGTCGGTTTCAGTTGGTTGTCTAAACTTTTGCCGTCTAGACAACTGTCTAGATGACACTAGACGACAGCTAGACAGTCTAGATGTCGTCTAGTGTCATCTAGACTGTCAAGTCTCGTTTTTCACGCAATCTAAACCCCGCTCCTTTTTTCCAATAACTGCGTAGACCAATAAGACAGACGGACAGACGGACAGACGAACAGACCTCTCTTCTGCTTTATATATAGTAGATAAGTTGAGGCTTTTGCGCAAGAGAGAATTCGAGAATTAGAATTCGTTTTTTCATTGTTTCTTCAATCAAAAAGAATATCATTTTTCTATTAGAATAAACAGTTTTTAATAATTCAAAATCTAAAGCTGAAAAAGAATCGTTTACTATTCTTTGACTGACTGATTGACTCTAAAAAAAAAACAAAACAGATCCTGCGATGGAAATGGCCAGAATCAAGTCTCACTGTGCTCGCTGAACACCCAACTCCGACGCTCGCAAGCCGTCCCATCCGACTTTGCCACGTATTCAGGTTTCTTTTGGAAGGGTTTTGAAAGGGTTTTTGAAATCACAGATATTTGACATCATTACCTGATTCCCGTAGTTAGTAAAAGTACGAGTACGAGTACGAGTCAGAGTCAAGACGAGTACGAGTCAGAGTTGTACTAAAGTACGAGTCAGAGAAGTTCACTTGACACTAAGAAGTTCAATCATCGCTGGGATATCCTTTTTCGGCGATTCTGGATGTCATTCTTCCCTAGTAGCATATTATTTTCCATCCAAAGTCATTCTTTTCATCCACTAGGCACTACAAGCTTCAAGCTACAAACTACAAACTCCAAAATACAAATACAAGCCTTGATTACCCGATTTTTATCAATCCTGGATGTCATTCTTGCTTTGAACAATATCATTTTCAAATTCCAAGGCGTTTCTCCATTTCCCTTTTAGTTAAAATGAGTACAATGAAATTAGTGAGACACCGAGATACCCTATAAGCTTAAACACTCTTATTTGTCAATTCTGGATGTCATTCTTGCTCTAAACCATATCATTTCCCGGTTCCAAGGCGTTTCTCCATTTCCCTTTTAGTTAAAATGAGTACAATGAAATTGGTGAGACACCGAGATACCCTATAAGCTTAAACATTTTTATTCGTCAATTCTGGATGTCACTTCACTATATAATTACATTAAAACCATACAATTGCATGATTTAAATTTTCAGGCCGCTCCTCTTCCTCCTCTTCCTCCTCCTTGTCCTCCTCTTCCTCCTCCCGCTACTCCCCGGCCGCCTCGCAACAAATGTGCTACAATGCCGGCGATTTCGGCGAAATCTGTTGCTGTCAATGGGATTACTGTAATGGAAATGGACGAAATAACTTCTTGATAGCTTTGTCGATTCTATTTTTCATTCTCATATACAGTAATCTGTAAATTTTAAAACTCCAAAAAATCTCCTCATTTTCCCTTCTTTCCCCAGCGTGATATCCAATTTTTGCAATAAGCTTTGAATTTTTTGAAAATTCAACATCTAGCCGACAAATTCAGCGCCAATCTCCAATCAGCGTAAAAAGGACGACTAGAATCATTTAAACTCGAATTTTTTCATCATTTTTTCATTAGAATTGTCTAAACTTGAATTTTTTTCATTTTTAAACTCTCTTGTGCGCTCCAGGATTTCGTTATTTTATGGAATTTTATGGAATTTCGTAAAAATTCAAACGTCAAACCGTGAATACTGTAGAGTTATTTTATTTTATTTTTTTCTTTTTCTTTTTTTTTTAAACCTCTCTAATGGCCTTTAGAGTTTGATTATTTTATTGAATAATTTGTAATTTTCGTCGAATTCAAAGTTCAAAAGTGGACTCAAGTCGAAAAAAAAGATAAGAAAAAAAAAGTTCATTTTTTTTTACCTCAAAAGTGTCTTTCCGTATTTTTTAAAATTTTTGTTTTTATTTTTTTTTATTTTTATTTTTCAATTGATATTTTTGTCTGTAAATTTATTCCCTATTCCCTAAACGGGTTTCATGGCTAAACGTGTGTGTGCTCATAGAAATTATTTTCATTTCATTTCAAAAAAAATGCAAATTTTTTGAGTTGAGAATAAATCTTTTTATAAATAAATAAATAAGAATCTTTTTTTTTTTGAAAGCTGCAAAATAAAAATGAAATTAGAACGTAAAGAAAGAAAAAGAAAAAAAGCGATAAACGAAACCGATATTCTGAACGATATTCAGCTCTTCTGAATTCTTTTCTGGCCTCTTCGCCAGCTTTTTTGTCGCTTATTTGCGTATAGCTAAGCAGCTGCGTAATTCTAGCTTCGTTGATTTTTCTCCGGTAAAAGCTTGACAAATTTCGGGTGCTTTCTAGAGATTAAAACTTGAAAACCCTGAAAAAAAAGACTTTGAAAAAAATTGGGTAATTAAACCGGCCGAGTTGGCTTTTCGGGTTGTTAACCAAACAGCCGTGTGCCAGACACCGCTTTTTCTTACGAGCGACATGAAAGGTACGCACAAAGCACAACGGTCTTTTGTGTGTACCTTTCATGTCGCTCGTAAGAAAAAGCGGCGTCTGGCACACTGGCCTGAAAAAACTTGGGTAATTAAACCGGCCGAGTTGGCTTTTTGGGATCTTAAGCAAACAGCCGTGTGCCAGACACCGCTTTTTCTTACGAGCGACATGAAAGGTACGCACAAAGCACAACGGTCTTTTGTGCGTACCTTTCATGTCGCTCGTAAGAAAAAGCGGCGTCTGGCACACTGGGCCGATGTGGGGTCCCGAAAAGTGCCTTTCTTCGGTTTAATTACCCAAGTTTTTCGATTTTTTTTCTTTTTTTTGAGCTTTTGTCTAGAATTTGTTTTGCTAAATCTCTCTGAACAATTCTAGTACTCGTTTGCGAACTAGTACTAGAATAACTAGTACAAATAACTAGTACGCCATTTCGATCACTAAACCAATGCAAAAATCAATTTTTCCCAAGGAACATTGACCCTTGCGATACCGTAATCCTTGGCTGATCTCGGCTGATCAAAAGCGTATAGAATTTTGCGTCAGAGTCCGATCAGCTGAAGAAAAAAAGAAACGTTCATTGAAACGGGAAACGATTTTCAAGCAAAATTTTTCTGATTTTCTCACAAAAATGCGACTCAGCTTATCAATTTTCGAATTAAACGTCACAAAAAGAAAAGAAAAAAAGTCGTGTCTAGAAGAAAATTCGATTCATTTTTTGATTGTGATTTGTTTCAATGTTTCTAGTGGGAAAGCTCAAAAAAGAGTATAAAGATTCAATTGTTAAACGAATTTTTAAAGATATTGACATTCAATCGTTTCACTTTATCGAATCTGAGCCAAAAAGCTGAGCCAAAAGCTGAGCCAAAAAGCTGAGCCAAAAAAGGCTGAGCCAAAAGCTGAGCCAAATTTCAGCTCCAGATCCCAGCTCCCTATTCATAGGAATATCGAAAGATATAAAAATGAATAAATTCGATAAAAGATATGTTACGTTATCTGTCTGACAGTTGACACATTTTAGAAAACGACGTCAATAGGAAAAGGGTTGCAAAGTCACAGGGATTTCTCCTGATTCCAGCGAGATTTCTATCAATCTTTTCACACGATCTGGAACGCAGGAGATCTAAAAATTGTAAAATTGGACAAGTTTTGACCTTTTTGAAAACTTGGATTACTGTAGCTGGCTTGGGGAGGAGATTTTTGGAGAATTTCGATTCAAAGAGATTTTCTAATAGGCTTTTCACACGATCTGGAACGCAGGAGACCGAAAAATTGACAAAATTTGCATTTTTTCGATGGTTGCACGATAGTGTAGTGGATTTCGCAACCTTTGCCGCGCCAGAGGTCGCGGGTTCGATCCCGGTCGCGGACAAAGTTTTTTTGAAAGCGCAAAATCTAGTCTTTTTTTGATTTGCTTCAATGTTGCAAGATCAAACATGACAAAAACCGAAGTTGAAGGCATTTAGAGAGCCATTTAGAGAGCGAATTCGGCTCCAAAAACTTGTCAACAAATACAAAAAACGAAAATTCATTTACTTACCTATACCTATTATTTATTAATCTTTTTTCTGGATCAACCAGGAAATGAATGAAGCCGTGCGTGTTAATTAAAGCCGGATTAACAGCCGGATTGCTGTCGCTGGGCAATCGCCGGGGAACTAAAGTGTTGTCAGTGACGTCCAGTGAGTCCACTTTGCACCCTTTTTGCACTTTGCACCAGCATTTTTGCTTTCTCTCTGAATCTAGTTTGCTTCCAGCCAACCGTTCACAAATCTCGATGAATTTTTCGCCGGAATTTGAGCGCTTATCGGAATTTGTGAGATTATCGGAATTGCTTAGCGGGGCGGCTGAGCGAAGGTGGTGATCTCGGTCAATTTCTCACAAAAACTACAAATTTTTGCTTTCAAGATGTTGTGTGCGTTCCAGACTCGAGATTTTATTAATTGAATACCGATTAGCATGACTCAGGATTACTGTAGCCTCTTGCTAACCGATCGGCATAAGTGACTTTGCCAAATCGCTTTCAAAACGATAGATTTCAATTTTAAAATGCAACCTGCGTTCCAGGATACGCGTTTTGCTATTTGGATTACTGTAATTTAATAAGATAAGGGCTATAACTTTATCGGTTTTCATCTGCATCGGTTTTCTCCAAGAATTATCGAAATTCTGGACGGAATAACATTTGTAAACCTTGGATTCCTAAATCCTGGAAGGCAGTTAACTCCTTGGTTCACTTCTCCAGTTCTAAAACTATGATTTCCAGATGGCCGAGTGGTTAGCACTCCAGGTTTCCAATCCGGAGCTTGGTTCTTTGACCCTGGTTCGAGTCCGCTTGCCGCTTTTCGGGTTTATTCTTTTTTAAAGGCTTTTTCAACGAAATTTGTCGTTTCTGGAAGTCACCAGAGGAAACTGGGTAGACGAAAAGTTGATTGTTTCCAAAAATGAACAAAGTGACGAGTGTGGATGAACGGGAGCGGGGAGCTGGCTGACGGGATTTTTGGGGTGTTAGGTGAGAAATCTCAACAATCTCAACCCCTTTTTTCCATGAGATTTGTGCTTTTTGGAGAGCACTGATGTCATTCGGCATCATTTTTTCAAAAAAAACGATTATCCTTTAGATCATCATTTAGATCATCATTTAGATTTTGCACAAAAATAGAGACGATTTTTTTTTGGATTCCGGATTCCGCCGGGAATACGGTAGTTTAAAAATGGAAATTTAAATGCTAATCCGCTTGGTACAAATCTCGTACAAGCCGGGGGAAATGTGCGGAAATTTTTGATTTCAAATTTTAATTCCAATCCTTAATCCCTCAAAAAAAGCGGATTTAAATCAAAATTGAAATTTTTGCAATTTTTGCAAATTTCTCATTTCCATTTTGTAGCATGAGATCCAGGATTTAAGATTTGCAAAAAAATATTTAATTTTAATCAAAATTTGAAGTAAAAAACGTCTCCATCTCTAACTTTCCTATTTTCAATTTTTAACGAATTCAGAATTTCTCCAAATTTTCATTTTAATCATCTTCAATGCCCTCCAGGATATGCAAATTTACTGGAATTTTTTTGAAAACCTTATTTTAAGGCATGAAAAATCGTCCAGCTATATATCCCCGAAATCAAAAATTTTTTAGATTTTTAAATTCTACGAAATTTACATTTAAAATCACTTTTGTGCTATCCAGAAGAGGCTAATTTATAAAAATTTTACAAAAACAATTCTTTACTATCGAGAAATTCGGTCAGCTACCGATTTTGCCCGCATCTCCTTTCCAGAGAAAAGTTTTCCTTTTTCAACCGGACGTTCTCTGTTTTCCTCAGATTTTCCGCAATTTCCCGGTGATATTTTTGATATTGTCTCTTTTCGGGGCGGGGTGATTGATCGAGCACAAAAACGGAAATCTTGTCGCCACGCAATAACCGCAAAAAAAGAGGGGGGGAGAATTTTTGCGAATCTCGAATTTCTCCCAAATTTCTCAACTCCATCGCCGTCTGTGACACCCAGGATCACCAAAAGTTAGCCGATCTCTCTCCCATAAACCCAAAAATCTCCCGAGATTCTCAACTTTGAACGATCGCCGTCATCCTCTATAAAATGAAACTGTCGTCCCGCGAAAATCCGCCAAATTTTACTGATTTTACTGATTTTCCTTATTTTTCGTATTTTCTTAATTTCAATGATTATGAAGCGCATTTTATAAAATTCTGCTTTTTTTCAGCCGTCTTTTTTCAGCCTGATTTCTCGGGCTCACGATTTTGATCAATTTCACCGCTTCTAGTAACTCATTTTCTATCTTTTCTTAAATAAATCGTAATCCTGGCAGGCACTGTGGCTGCTGAATACAAGAAAACAAATTTTTCATGCATTTAAGTTCTTTCCATTTTTGGCATCTCTTCGTTGAACCTTTGACCTTCTCTCGCAAAATTTGCATTTAAAATGGCCAAATTTGCATATTAATCATTTTTAATGCCCTCCAGAATATGCAAATTTAATGGAATTTTTTTGAAAACCCTATTTTAAGGCATGAAAAATCGTCCAGCTATATATCCCAAAAATCAAAAATTTTGGTTTTTTAAATTCTACGAAATTTACATTTAAAATAGCTTTTGTGCTATCCAGAATATGCAAATTTTGTGAAATTTTTTTGAAAAAGCTATTTTAGAACCTAAAAAAACGTCCAGCTATATCCAAAAAATCAAAAATTTTTCAAATTTTTGAATTCTACCAAATTTACATTTAAAATCACTTCTGTGCTATCCAGAATAAGGTAATTTATAAAAAATTTTACAAAAACAATGCTTTACTATCGAGAAATTCGGCCAGCTACCGATTTCCGGCACCTCCTTTCTTTCTTTATTTCCCGGGCTCATCCTGTACCCTGATTTCTTGAATTTCCTCAATTTTAGCTCACAAATCTCTCTCATTGATGCTATTAATTGTGTTCATTCTGCTCGCATGGATCCTTTGGTCGATTTTGGTGAAAACGAGCGTCGGCAAAAACGGAAAACTTCAAATGCCTCCCAGTGAGTTTTCTGGGGGGAATTTCGGGGGTGATTCTTATATTTCCAGCTCATAAACTACATCAGATTACGGTAGTTGTATTACCGTAATCTGATTACGGTACATTCTTTAGCTGAAATCCCGATTCTTTTTCGGAAATTTTGAGTTCACCCAAAAATTTCCAAAACCAGTGATCAGATTTGAGATTTGAGTACTTGATTCGTGAATCCTGGAACGCACACTACACATTCAGCTATTCAGTTAGCCATATTCTTGATATGTCCGAGTGGCCGAATGGTTAGCGCGTCAGTTTTCCAGGCGAACCTGGTCTGGTCAGGGTCCCGGTTCGAGTCCTCCCAGTGATTTTTGATCGGTCTTTTTGGTCGGTTTGATCGGTTAATTGAAATCTACCGTAACCTGTATCGTAAGTAAACCCCGTAGACCAGATTGTCATGCGTGTGGACTCATAAAAACCCCATAAGTCTGCCCTAGACAGACTAGTCGCTACCGTAACCCTTCTCTTGTAGAAAACAAGACAGATCGAGACACTGGCGCTTTGTAAAATGATGTAAACCTCAGAAATCTTAATCGAAATCTATTCCCATGAAGGTTTTAGGTCCGCGAGGCCAGCTGCCGATTTTGGGGCATTTATGGCGTTTCGACCCGACTCGACCCTTTCGCACCATCGATAAATGGGCTAAAGAGTTGGGCGATGTGATCACCGTCTATTTCGGCTCAACACCAGTCATCGTTTTGTCAAGGTCTGCACGATTTTTCACAAGATTTAACCGCAAAATAGCAAAATAATAGCAAAATTTCGAGTTCTCCCAAAAATTTCCAAATCCAGGCAATAAACCAGACTTTTGAGCATTTGATTCGTGAATCCTGGAACGCACACTACACATTCGGCTATTTAGTTAGCCATATTCTTGATATGTTCGGATGGCCGAGTGGTTAGCGCGTCAGTTTTCCAGGCGAACCTGGTCTGATGAGGGTCCCTGGTTCGAGTCCTCTCGCCGTTTTTCAGAAATTTTTGATCAAAAATCTACTGTTTTTTTTACTTTTTACCTTTTTTCTTTACAAAATCCTTTTCCATTTTCGATCTCTGCTCATCAAGTTGATCTCAAAAAAGCCAAAAATTCGACCGGAAAAATTCGATCGACGATTAAACCGGAAACGACAAAAAAAAAAATTTTTTTGTTCGATGGGTGCGGTGCGATCCAAAAAAGCCAAAAAAGCCAAAAAAGCCAAAAAAGCTTTAGTTCTCTCAGATGACCAATCAACGAGGAATTCAGTGAAGAAAAGAGTTCTGTCTTGTGTAAATCTCTCTTTTTTTTCTTTCAGTGTCTGATTAGATCTCCGATTTTTGCGCAGTTTCTGACTCGCAAAAATGTCACTGATCATTGCGAGAGAGCGGGCAAAAGCAAAGGCAAAAGAAAGCACAAAAAAAAAGCACAAAATTCTTGAGCCGAACACGATTTGAGAACACGGTAGCTCTGATGGGATAAGAGTGGGAAATTGGGAGCTGGGCGGTTTCCCAGAGATTAGCTACGTTGAGCCGGGTGGGTGAGACTCTTTTTGGTCGATCTGGAGCGCACACCAGTGATTCTAGCAGCTAACTGGGGAAATGGGAGTGGTTGCCAACTCTGAGACTGATCACCTCAATTCCAAGAAATTGAGCTCAATACAATTAGGATTTTGTGTCACTTTTGGGTGAACTGGATGTCACAGCATAGAATCCAGCAGTCCAGGGGGTCGATGGAGGTACTACAGTAGTCAGTACCAGGCAGTACAGTAGCTGAACAGTACACCGTAATTCCAAGCGTTACAATGTACAGTGATCAATTCTTTTGCTATTTTTGATCTATCTGGATGTCACCGAAGAATGCTGGCATATTGTTTTTCATCAAAACACATTTCTAGGTGTACCTGGTTCGGGCGGGGTTCAGGCTACTAAAAATAGCTCTCCAGAGCCTATTTTCCTTTTGTTTTCTTGATCCCCTTGAACAATTCGGTCACAATGTTGCCCAGGGAAAACATATTTACCGCAATATCAATAAATAGAATTAATAGAATCAATAGAAAACCATTAAAAACCAGTGAAATCTTGTTGATCAAGAGCTGTGATCATCTCACCAAAATATGGCCTATTTTACTCTGTTTTCTGCTCTTTTTTTTGAGAGAAAGCTTCATTCTGGAGGTCACATTAGCAATTTGAGATGATCATTTACTTGCGGGATCACTTTTGTCCAAGTTTTTCTACGCTAGATCCTTCAACTCGCCAAAACTCGCTCCAAATTGCCTTATGGCTAAAAGTTTTGTCAGTAAAGTTCAATCTGGAGCTCATGTTTGCAATTGCAACGATTTACGGACAGTGGAAACAATTTTGTTGAACTTTCTTTTCAACAGATCCCTCAACTCAACGAAACTCGCTTCCAATTGCCGGGAGGTCAAAGATTTTGTCACCAATACGCCTTCTGGAGGTCACAAAACGTTCTTTGGTTTATCAGACGATCAGACGATCAGCTTTGTCGATCTGGTTTTTGAATCATTTGATGCAATGCTCAAGTCTCCACCGTGCGTTTCTACGATGAGCAGAGGAGGCAGGAAATGCTATTTCCGTGTATCCTGGAAGTCACCAAAGCCATTAAATCCATTTACGATGGAGAAATTTGGGTTTTCGATTTTTTTCGATTTTTTCGATTTTTTTTTATTTTTTTGATTTTGACGGACAAGAAACCCCAAGCGGAGACGAATCAATCAAAAATTTCATTTAGAAAAAAGGATTGGATAGATAGATTTTTCACGTGTTTGCCCCATCTCTAAAGGAAATATTTGATCGGAGATTTTTTTTGGGAAAATTTCAAAAAAGACGATTTCGTCGATTTTCGCTTTTAAATAAGAAAATTAATGAAAACAACGGTTTTTCAATTTTTTTCAATTTTTTTTCCCCATCATTTCGTCACAAAACACATTTAAATGCTAATTCTGGATGACAGCTCGAGTTGAGAGATCAACGGAAAGCCGGGATTGATGGTCAAGTTCGCTCAGTTCACCCGAGCTCACCCGATTCGTTTACCCCATCGTTAAATGGCTAGAGTATAGTCTCGGAAAAAAATTGATGCGATTTTTTGCCAAGCTGGAACGCAGTGAAGCCAAATGCAGTGAAATTTCTGTTCAAAACCGAAATTTGCGAAAGTTGGATTTTGTAGAGAAGCGTAGCTGGATGATTTTCTTGCGAAGTCATTGTCTTTTAAGCAAAATAACTGCTTTTTCTGCTAATCTGGAACGCATTTTAGTGATCTGAGAAGAATTTTTGGTTCAAAATCGAAATTTGCGAAAGTTGGATTTCTAGGGAAGCGTAGCTGGATCATTTTCTTGCGAAATCATTGTCTTCTAAGCAAAATAACTTCTTTTTCTGCTAATCTGGAACGCATTTTAGTGATCTGAAAAGTTCTGGGATTGAAAATGAAAATCTAGCAAAAGGTGGTTTTGGTCGCGTCGAGTTTGACGCATTTCCTTGTCGAGACTCGCTTTTTAAGGGAAACGAAACTTTTTTTTGAGCTTTCTGGAAGGCACACAGGCTATTGGCTACATAAGAATATTAAAATATTGAAAAATTTAGGCAACGAGTGATTCGTGAGGCTTTTCTGAAAGAAGGCGAGAATTTCTCGGGACGTCCATCGCTTTTCGTGCATGAGTCTTGCTGGGGAAAGGGTGAGATTTTGAAAGCTAGGCAAAGTGATAGGCAAAGTGTTAAGCCAGTAAGCCAGATAGCAATGGATTTCAAAATTTCAGGTCATGTAATATCAGACGGACCTCGGAATTCTCTTTTGAGACGACATTTGTTGGCGATTTTACGTTCAAGTCAGTTTTTTTGAGTTTAGAAGTTGCTAAGAATTGAAGCTAGATGGGTCTAGTAGAGGTCTCAGCTAGCCTGCGCGTCTAGCTAAGCCACTCGAGTCTAGCTAAGCCAATAGAAGACTGAAAAATCTGATCTAACGGATTTCTGAGAGACTCGAGCGACTACCAAAGCCAACGATTTGTTTTTAGCTTATCTGGAAGTCACACTAGGATTTGCTTCAAGTAGATTTTTGTTTTATAGAGTTAGAGTCATACTGTAATGGCAACTTTAAGGTATACGGTAGCGACAAAAGTACGATAATGAACTATGTTCTTTTGGTGTTTCTAAACGGATTTTTTTGATAGCCTGCGTTCCAGAATATTGTTTTATTTTATAAAATAACCCTTAAAATATCAAATTCAGAGTGCCGAGGCGTCGACTCGATTCAAGAGCTCGTCACTGTGGAAATTAAAAGAATGCATGAGTACATCGAAAAGCAAATGGTTCGAGTCATCTATATTGTCTATAGGGCAATTCTAGATTCAAAGATTACAGGGAAAAAACGATTACGCCGACATTTTTCTTGAAGACACCGTTTTCTATGTTGTCGGCAACGTTTTGACTCAACTTGTTTTAGGCCGGAGACACGAACACGGCTCAATCGAGTTTCGGTGAGACTTTCAGAGCTCAATAATTGCTCTAGCTTGAACCCAAGCTAGCTAGAATCTATCAGAACCCTGGTCGAAGCAGAATGGATCAGATTCAGCTTGAAAATCGATAGCTGGGCGGTTTCCCAGAGTTTAACTACGTTAAGCCGGATGGGTGAGGCTATTTTTGGTCGATCTGGAGCGCACACCAGTGATTCTAGCAGCTAACTGGGGAAATGGGAGTAGTTGCCAACTCTGAGACTGATCACCTCAATTCTAAGAAATTGAGCTCAATACAATTAGGGTTTTCTGTCACTTTTGGGTGAACTGGATGTCACGGCATAAAACCCAGCAGTCCAGGGGGTCGATGGAGGTACTACAGTAGTCAGTACCACGCTGATCAGTACGCCGTAATTCCAAGCGTTACAATGGACAGTGATCAATTCTTTTGTGATTTTTGGTCTATCTGGATGTCACCAGAGAATTCTAGAATATTATTTTGAACAAAACAAACAAAAAAAAAATGAGAGTTGGAAATTGTTGGAAATTGGCGATTTTTCTACAAAAATTTTCTAAATTCAAAATTACAAATGAAATTTTTCAGAGAATCAGCCCGTTGGTTAGACGAAACGACACGTTTAATGGAGAAATCATCAGCTTTAACATTTCTTCCGTGGTTGCGTCACTTGCCAGGCGGTGGTCTTGGGTACGCCGAGATGAAAACTCAAGCGAAACGAGTGCAAGATCTGATGCGAGAAGATATCCACGATAGGCGGCGGAGTGGAGGTGATTCTTTTATCGGAAAGCGTCGATCTGGAAGTCACGGAAACTAATGCAATCGAGTTTTCATTGCAGTAGCTTCTGTGCGTTTCTCTCCAAAGAAGATTTCCTATTCTCGAGTACACGAGCATTCTAGTGACGTCAATATGCAAATTTTTTGAAAAGTATAGCCGATCTGGAAGGCACAGGAGCTAATGAAATAGAGTTTTGATGAAAATTTGTGATTTGAGTTTTGCTGAAAAAAGTATAGAAAAAGATTGGGGGAAAATTTTTGGGTTACTGTAGGTTTTTGAAAAACTAAATTTGTAGATTTCCATTCTGGATGTCAACTTAGATTCTGGCTTAAAGAAATGATGAATTTACAGAATATAAAGACCCTTCGCGTACCGACTTGACATCGGTGTTTATGAGGAAAATTGATGAGGAAATGGTGGGAAATGAGGATCTCTTTTCCGACGAGATGCTTGTCCGTTTGATGACTGAGATGTTCTTCGCCGGGATACAGGTGAAATGTCGAGCTTTTCTTGGGGATTTGTTTTGGATCTGGAATGCACTGGATTGCCTAAAGTGGGGAGAATTCGATTTTTGTAATTTTTCCAGAAAATCAACTTTCTTTTTTGACTCAAAATCCACTGTGCGTTCCAGATTGGCGATTTAAGTTTTGAAAATTCGATTCCAGACAGAATGCAATACTTTTGGGTGGGCGTTTCTTTATTTTCTGTTCTATCCCGAAGTGCAGAGGGAGTGTCGTCAGCAAATTTTGGAAGCAGTGAGCGTGCCATCCGGGATTACGTAGGATTGAGTTTTCAGTTGGATTCAAGCGAAGAGATCTTGTGGAATGAGAAGGATCGAATACCGTATCTAGAGGCCACAGTTGCCGAGGTGCAGAGGTGGATTTTGAAAAGATAAAATAGCTACCGTATGTTGGAGCATGGCTACCGTACCCTAAAGCTTAACTCTACCGTACCCTAAAGCCTGTCTCTAAAAGCTACCGTACCCTAAAGCTTGGCTATATAAGCTACCGTACCCTAAAGCTTAACTCTAAAAGCTACCGTACCCTAAACCCTAACTCTAAAGCTACCGTACCTTTTTTTGCTTCTTTCCAGAATCCCGTATCTCAAAGAGCTACCGTAATCCAGACTGGCTAGTTTTCAACTACCGTATCCCTAGCACCCTAGCGACTAGCTTCCTTCACAACCCGATTAAGTTAAAGTCATTATTGCCATCGTTTTGCCATTGTTTCCCTTGATCTTTTCGACTTGCAGACTCGCCAACATTGCTCCATTCTCGATGCCACACAAAAACCATGAAGAAACAACTCTTGACGGCTATCGGATACCAGCCGGATCACTCATTTTCATGAATCTTTACACCACTTTGCTAGATGATCACGTTTTTGAGAGTCAGTTTTTAAAAGAAAACGTTTCTAGTCTGTTTTATAGTTAGGCTAAACTCGTTAGCCTTTCAATTCCTAAAGAATCTCGTCTTCGTTATCTCTTCTCAAGTATTTTAACATATTCCTGACGTTGATATGCAAATTTTTTTGAAAAGTATAGCCGATCTGGAAGGCACAGCAGCTAATGCAATCGAGTTTTCGTCGAAATTTTCGATTTGGGTTTTGCTGAAAAATGCATAGAAAAAGATTGGGGGGAAATTTTTGGATTACTATAGGTTTTTGAAAAACTAAATTTGTAGATCTCCATTCTGGCTGTCAACTTAGATTCTGGCTTAAAGAAATGATGAATATTTAGAATATAGAAGAAGTTGTAGATCTGGCTGGCAACTGAGACTTTGGCTGTCAAATTGCAAAAGAAAAGTCACTTTTTCAGAATTTAGACTAGAGCTTAACAGAGCCAAAAACCTAATTCTAACCACCAGCGACTTTTCAGATGCCAAAGAGTTTCGCCCGGAACGTTTTCTAAACGGATTGAGGCTGGATCGAGCAAGAATGGCTGCCTCAATGCCTTATGGAATTGGACCAAGAATGTGTATGGGAGAATCGATTGCCAGGTGAGAAAAGACTCCTGGATCCCCCTGGCACAGGGCTTGCATTCATCCTTGCTCTCGTCCAGCGTCTAGACTAGAAGGGATACTTGAGAAGATCAAGGCAAGGCGAGACCAAGCCAAACCCAGATCTCATTCTGGATAGTCGTCCAGTGTCTAGGCTGGCTTCAAACAGTGCTGTGCCCGCCAGATAACACTTCTGCACTTGTCACCTATCTTGAGCAAGAGTCCGGAACTAATTGAGAGCCCAGCTACCGACCGTAGTCTTAGGATTTGAGCTACTGTAGCCACTGTAGCTACCGAGCTACTGTAGACATAAATCTAGCTACAAACTACCGTAATCTTATCCAAGCTATCGTAATGTTATCTAATTTCAGGCTAGAGCTGTTTTGCGTGATCGGCAGCCTGTTGCGCACGTACTCTTTCGAGCAAACGCCTGGCGAGAAGTACTCGCTCGACCAAAAAATGGAACTCACCATTCATCCATCAAAATATCGAATCCGAGTGCGCAAGCTGGCACGCACGGACTAAAAATATTCTATTTTTAATCATTTTTGTCTATTTTTGCTAATGCAGGTATAGTGTCGGGGCTACCGTAACCCATAAGATATTTTTTTAAGATGTCATCAATTTAAGCTATTCTTTACCTGTTGTGACATCCAGCTAGGCGTTTCTATATTTTGTAGCAATCCTACAGTAATCCGGAAGCTAGAATCTAGATGGTGTCCAAGTTACAGTAATCGCCTACAATTTTTTAAAAGATAACATCAATTTAAGCTATTCTTTATCTATTGTGACACCCAACTAGACGTTTCTATGTTTTGTAGCAATGCTACAGTAATCCAGAAGCCAGTTTCTAGACGGTGTCCAAGCTACAGTAACCGGCCACCATTTTTTAAAAGATAACATTAGTTTAACCAATTCTTTAACTGTTGTGACATCCAACTAGATGCCTTGGTCATTTGTTTCATTGATACAGTAATCTAGACGTCTCGTTTCTAAATGACAACTGAATCATCGTAATCTCTCAGTAAATTCTTTTGAAATCTCTGTTTTTCGCTAATTTTTATCTAGCCTGACATCCAATTCGACGTCCCGACGCTTTATTTTTAATCTATCGCCACAAAAGCGAGCTTATCCGTCCTTGATCTCGTTTCTTGCAATGTTTGATGTGATTTGAGGTGATTTTTTGCGTCGAAATGTTTTATTTTCGTTTATTTTGGTTTATTTTCGTTTTATTTTCGTTTATTCGCACTGTTTATGTACAAAATTGAAGGCACAGCGGTGAATAATATTATTAGAAAATTTAAATAAATCGAAAAAATAAAATAAAATAAAATAAAAAAAAATTTGCATAAAAAAAATTTAAATAAAAAAAATCTAGCGTTAAATACTAAATTTTTTTTTTTGAAAAATTTTTTGAAAAAAACCGGGATAAAATAAAGAAAAAGAGAGCTTTTAAAGACAGAACTCTACATAAAAACAATTAGCATTTAATACGTGAAATGGTTTTGCGGCAGGCAAGAGAGAGAAATCAAAGCTAGCAAAAATTTCAGAAAAAAAAAAAAATCATTTTAAAGACTAAATAATTATTTTGATGGCTACTGTGACATCCAGAATTGACAAAAAAAAAGTTACGCAACACCGGAAAGTGTAGTGCTGCCGGTGGATCGACGCCGTAGTCGTAGCACCTCTTCACTGCCCTTGTTGGCGACGCCGAGTCGCTCCAAGCGGCCTTCTTCCATCACGACGCGATGATTTTCTTTCTCTTCGGTCAGTTGCCAAGCAGCTGTTCTGCAAGAAGGGGAGTTTATGGAGGGGAAAGCTGGTGTAAAGCTACCGTAATCCATAGCCTAAGCTACCGTAATCCATACCCAAACTACCGTAATCCAATTTTCTCACCTGTAGACTTTTGTATGAATGAGATGACCCATTTTCTCCGTTCCATAGGCTTTCTCGAAAAGCTCTCGATACCAGAATTCTTCTTTTGTCTGTAAAAAAAATGAAATTCCTTTTATTTCTCTGATTTCTAGCCAAGATCAGAGAAAATCAGAGAAAATCAAATAAGATTTTGACTCCAAACGCTTTTCACGTGATTTTCACAAGTTTTGATAAAATTTTTCAGCAAAAGTTGAAGATCTGGAAGTCATTGGAGGTTTTGCAAAAAAAAAAGAACTGACCTCTGGCGTCCTTTCTGGATAAAGGGTATGACGGGTTGAGAAAAGCTTATCAGAAATCGTTTCAGCACAACGAGCGCCAATGATTTCACCGAGATCCTGCTTTCCTGGAAGTCACATCACTTTTTGAGATCAACATTTAAAGTCGTTGTCGTTGTTTTAAATAATCTGTTAAGCTACCGTAACCCTGGAATCCTGGGAAACTTACCTGAATCTAAACTTAGCTAACTACTTGTTCCTTAAGCTACTGCCTAGCTAGCTACTGTCTAGCTACTGTCTAGCTACTGTCTAGCTGTCTAGCTAGCCTACAGCCCTTCTAGACCTCACTACAATACTCAAAACGAGACTACGGTAACTATAAACAGCTCTAGCTGGATTAGTTTTATAGTCGGGCTACGGTAGCTAGTTCAGATTGAGGCTGGTACCAACCTAAAGCCTCTCCGAATCCCTCTTTGCTTCTCCAAAGCACTTCCTCTGGTAGCCAACCCTCAAACGCTGCCCTTAGCATGTGTTTCTCGAGCTTCATCGGCTGCAACTTGTACGCGGGCGGCAATCGGGCGACAAGGTCGATGAACTAAAAAGCGATGCATTAAGCTCAATCCTGGATGTCACACTATCGGCCAAGGTACTCAAACTTGGTTGTTACCATTCATTCTACACCTACAGTAACCCGGTTTGATAACTGGCGCCCGAACTACCGTAATCCTTCCTTATTTCTAAAGATCTTCGAGCTACAGTAATCCTGGATGTCACACTCTCGTTTGCTACGGTACTCGACCTAGGTTTCTCACATTTGACATCTGGCTACAGTAACCCCGTTTGATAAGTGGTGCCCGAACTACCGTAAGCCTTGCTTATTTCTAAAAATCTTCGAGCTACAGTAACCCTGGATGTCACCCTAACGGCTACGGTATTTAAACTTGGTTGTTACCATTCATTCTACACCTACAGTACCCCGGTTTGATAACTGAGGCCCAAACTACCGTAATCCTTCCTTGTTTCTAAAGATCTTCGAGCTACAGTAATCCTGGATGTCACACTCTCGTTTGCTACGGTACTCGAGCTTAGCTAACACTCTACAGTAATCCGACTAAACGGTGCTTAAACTACCGTAACCGTTGCTCGTTTCTAAAAGATCCTACAGTAATCCTGGTAAATTGTGTCTAAATTGCTAACTACTACTCTAGAAGACAGAGTTATCGTATAAAGCCACTCACTTTCTTATCCAAAAACGGGACTCGAATTTCCAAACCATGGCACGACGTGGCTCGATCGCATCTCAGCACATCGTATTGATGCAACATTTGCAATCGTCGGTGAATCTCTTTATGCAAATGGAAAGCGTTTGGCGCTTTCTGCATATAGGCATACGAGCCAAATAGCTCATCGGCTCCTTCTCCTGAAATCGAGCACGATTATTGACAAGCTTAACACATGAAATCGTCAATCTGGATGTCACAGAACACCCTCGATATCATAGTTTTCATTTTTGACGGATTTGACGGGATTTTCTCGGGATTAGTTTTACAGTCGAGCTACGGTAGCTAGTACAGTCGAGCTACGGTAGCTAGTACAGTCGAGCTACGGTAGCTAGTACAGTCGAGCTACGGTAGCTAGTACAGTCGAGCGTACAGTCGCGTAGTTGTTACTGATTTTGTGTAAATAAAAAGAAAAATGAAAGTATTAACAAAAAAAAAAGGATACTTTAAACTCTTCAAAGACTTTAGATTTGTTCAAAAGCAAATCCCCGATCAACTAAGCTACACTTGTTCAAAACTAAGCTGTACTCGAGCTGTAATCGAGTCTGACGCTCCAAGCTACACAACTAAGCTGTAATCGAGTCTGACGCTTAGCTATTTGCTCAGAAACCAGATCGAGAGCTGATAAGCTCACGTTTTGGGGATAGATTAAAACTAAACTATTTGGGCGTCGAACTGGATGTCAGGCTAGATAAAAATTATTGAAAAACGGAGATTTCAAAAGAATTTACTGAGAGATTACGATGGTTCAGTTGTCATTTAGAAACGAGACGTCTAGATTACTGTATCAGTGAAACAAATGACCAAGGCATCTAGTTGGATGTCACAACAGTTAAAGAATTGGTTAAATTGATGATATCTTTTAAAAAATGGTAGGCGGTTACTGTAACTTGGGTGCCATCTAGAATCTGCCTCCCGGATTACTGTAGCATTTCTACAAAACATAGAAACGTCTAGCTGGATGTCACAATAGATAAAGAATAGCTTAAACTAATGCTATCTTTTAAAAAATAGTAGACGGTTACTGTAACTTGGGTGCTATCTAGAAATTGACTTCTGGATTACTGTAGCATTTCTACAAAACATAGAAACGCCTAGCTGGATATCACAACAGCTAAAGAATAGGTTAAACTGATGATATCTTGTAAAAAATGGTAGACGGTTACTGTAGCTTGGACACCGTCTAGAAATTGGCTTCTGGATTACTGTAGTATCGCTACGAAACCTAGAAGCGTCTAGCTGGATGTCACAACAGATAAAGGATAGATTAAACTGAGGATATCTGAAAAAACGAATGCTAGCTGTAGATAGAGTGAAGCCTAAGCTCTAGACTAAGCTCTAGACTCTAGCCTCTACCCTTTCTCTTGCTTTTTAAGATGAATCCCAGTGCAACTAGGTTCCACAACAACCCACCAGACAACAGCACTTTCACATCGGAAATCGAGGCGATATGTCGGCAGAGTAAATAGTGCGCGATCCCACACCGCACGATCGCCGGCTCATACGTCTCCAGAGCATAGATAACTTCTAAATTTTAACGATTTTCCCAATCCTGGATGTCACTAAAGCTTTTCATCCAAAAAAAACATCAAAATTTTTGAATTTAAACTTTTTTACATATCCCAGTTTTTCTATAAAGCAAAAACCTTGAAATCACCTTTCAGAAAATTTTATTTTTATTTTTTCTAATTTTTATTTTTTCTAATTTCTATTTCATTTCCTATTTCATTTCTCTTTTCTAGAGTGCTTACCAGGAATCACATTGAGACAATCCTCGGCGGTGATCACATGGACCACGTGGTTGATGTTCAGGTATTGAGCAACGCGGCGCGCGTTCACCAAATCTTCCGAGTCCTCGAAACCAACCGAAAACGCCACCTGAAGGGTTTTTGGAATTGATGACCTCCAGAACTTGAATTGAACTCGGTTACGAGATTGTCCTGGCTCTAGTTTAGCTTAAACGAGCCTGGTCCTGATCCAGCCTTGACCCTAGTCCAGTTCTGAGCTTGATCTTGATCTAACCTTGACCCACCCCTAAGAAGCAGGCTAGGGGAAGCTAGGGGAAGCTAGGGAAGGCTAGGGAGGCTAGGCTAGGCTTAGGCGAGGCTAGGCGAGGCTAGGCGAGGCTTAGACTCGGCTTAGGACCCTGATCTGCCCCTGATCTGCCCCCTGATCATTAGACCGGTGTTATTGAATGTATTTCCGAAATCTTTAGGTTCGGTGACATCCAGGATCGCCGAATTTTTCAAAAAATTCAAAAAATGATCGTTTTTTACGGAAAAACCGAGCTGGACTTAAAGCGGAGTGTGAAAATTGGAAAATTCCCTAAATTCGCGAATTTTCAAAATCCTTAGATTCGGTGACATCCAGAATCGGCAAATTTTTCAAAAAAATCCAAAAAATCACCGTTTTTCACGGAAAAACAGCGCCGAATTCGAAGCGGAGTTGAGGGTGAAAATTCGAGAATTACCCAAATTCGTCAATTCCCGAAATTTTTAGGTTACGTGACATCCAGGATGGCCGAATTTTTTTGAAAAATCCAAACAATCACTGATTTTTTCGGCAAAACAGCGCCGAACTTGAACCGCAGTTGAGTGTCAAATTCGAAAATTCCCCCAATTCGCGAATTCTTAAGATTTTTACAATTGCGTGACACCCAGGATCGCCGAATTTTTTTTGAAAACTCGAGAAAATCATCGACTTTTGAAGGGAAAACAGCGCTGAACTGTTGATGGCACGAACCGGTTTATGTTTGAGTGCTCGGGTGGCGATGGCGGCGATGAGACTCGAATCCAATCCGCCGGAAAGCATGAAACCGAAATGTCGATTGCCCATCAAGCGCTTTTCCACGCTTTTCGTCAACACCTCTCGGATGAGTAGCTGAAATTTTGGGGAATTGGGTACGGTAGAATGAAATAGATTGAGATTCCGGGAAAATCAGACACTCCAGGATTACGGTAGCTTTAGAAAGGGCTTTAGGAAGGGCTTTAGAAAGGGCATCTTTTAGGAAACTCTTCACAGGATTACGGTAAGGCCCAAGGGATTACGGTAAGGCCCCAAGGGATTACCTCCAGGGATTACGGTAAGGCCCAAGGGATTACGGTAAGACCTCCAGGGATCACGGTAAGGCCCCAAGGCTTTACGGTAACTTTTCCCACCTGTGCATTCTCGATGCTCACGAAGCGGTCGGCGATTTGGGGCACGAAATAGTAGCGTTCGGTCTTGAAAGGACGCGGATGGCCGTTCGTGAAAGCAATCGTCGCACAGCAACCCGGCGGAAACACTTCCACGCGTTCACACAGCTCCGAGATCGATTTCACCTGGATTTTTTCACGTAAATTGTCAATCTGGATGTCACAACACATTTTGCATATCATAATTTGCACTTCAGACTATTTTAAGACTTATAGACTTGCAAGGATTACGGTAATTTTGAAATTTCAAATTTCAAGATTTATGTTTTTTGAAGTTTTTAAAATGTAGCGTGCGCTCCAGCTTTACCTCTGATCCAATCGCCAAATTCCCCTGACTCGTATAGCCGTAGAAAAGTGGGCGAACGCCGAGGGGATCCCTCCCAACGTAGACATTCTGCTCGTCGGCCATGATGAAAGCGAAAACTCCGTCAAGCATAGCGCAAGTTTTTCTAAATGACATTAAAAGGTTTTGGCTTAAGAAAACGGCTTACTTGAGATCGTTTCCATTTTTATGAAAAGCATGAATGATGGCCGCGCAATCGCTTCCATTGTTCGTCAACTCCAATGAGCTTCCCTCCTTAAAAATTAATATTAACAAGAAAATAATATTTTTATTTTCCGACGTGACTTCCAGGATCGCTGAATATTATCAAAAAAATTTCGATTTTCTGGAAAATTTCGAAGATTTCGAGGTGGAGTCATTTCATTGCAATAATTTTGGCGTTCAAAAGAAAGTAAAATTTTTATTTTCCGTGGTGACCTCCAGGATCACTGAATATTATCGAAAAAATTTCGATTTTCTTGAGGATTTCGAAAATTTCGAGCTGAAGTCATTTCATTGCACTAGTTTTGGCATTTTTTTGCGATTTTTTTTGCATTTTAGCATTTTGGCATTGTCAAAAATGTCAAAAAGTTAATTTTCTCTAAAATTCGAAAAATTCTCACCTTGATTTGCAAATGATTATACAATTCTCCATTGCAGACAACACTTTTCCCTTGTCCGACGATTGGCTGCTCGCTTGGAGTGTCACCAGGCTGAAAAGAAGAGCATCAAATTTTTGATATTCTTGAAATTTTTGGAATTCTTGAAATCCAAAGTTTTAAATCTCTTTTCAATCTTTTAAAATCTCTTTTCAATCTCTAAAACGCCATCTTTCTTTCCCCGCTTTTTCCCCAAAGCTTTTCTCAAAGCTTTTTCCCAAATTGTTTGATCTTTTCATCAAGACTTTCTTTTTTTTTTCATTCCTTTTCGATGGAGCTGTTTTGAGTCCATTTTCGGAAAAGGAAGCGCTTTTTGGGGAAGGGAAAGAGTCACTGGAAAGAGTGCTTCCTGGTGTTCCTCGTGTTCCTAGTGTTCCTGCTGTTCCTGCTGTTGCTGGTGTCCCTGGTGTCCCTGGTGTTCCTGGTGTCCCTGGTGTTCCTCGTGTTCCTCGTGTCCACAAGGGTCAGCGAATTCATCAGCTTTCACAAAAAATCATCCCATTTCCCATACATTAGCTTTCACGTAGCTTCGCGTCTACGTAGATGCTCTCTCAATAAAGGATTATTGCAAAAGGATCATTGGAAAAGGATACTCCCCAACTCCAATTCCCCTCGCAAACAGATCAACGCAGAGACTGAGTAAAGAAGACTGCTTTCATCGAGTCGTCGAATCAAACCCGGCTACCTGGGTCCTCTTCTTCCTCTTCTTCCTCCTCTTCTTCCTCCTCTTCTTCCTCCTCGTGTGTCTCTTCCCCTACCCAGCCAGACCCAGAGCGCCTAACTTTTGACAACTTTTGAAGATTCCTCTCTGCTTTGCTCAGGAACAAAAAAAGCGGTGATGAAATGAGCCAAATTCTATGGTTCTATGGTTATCGATACTGTAAAAGATATCTAAGGTTTGAGCCTCGTTACAGTAAGCTGGGAGACAAGCTACGTTCTACTACATTTGGGGCATACTGTAGGAGGATATGAAGCCGGAACTTGAGAATCTGTGGCCTCTAAGGTCCTAGAACCTGGGACCTTGGACCCTGAGAACCGTGAACCCTGCACCCTGGATCCTGGACCCCGGGATCCTAATACCCTGGGCCCTGGGGACCGTGGACTTTGGAAAGCCTGGGCCCGGGATCCCGGGGAATCTGGAACCCTGGAACCCTAAACCCTGGGGCCCTGGGGACCCTGAAGAGCTTGGATCTTGGGGACCTTGGACCCTTGGGATTCTGGATCCTGGACCCTGAAATCCTAAAACCTGGAACCCTGGATCCTGGGGATCCTGTATCCTGGACCCTGGAGGCCTTGGACCCTGGAACTCTGGACCCCGGGATCCTGTGCCCTGGGGACCCTGGGACTCATGGCCCCGGGATCCTGGACCCTGGGGACCCTGGGACTCTGGACCCCGGGATCCTGGACCCTGGGACCCTGGACCCCGGGATCCTGGGCCCTGAGACCCTGGATCCTAGATCCTAGATCCTGGGGAGCCTGGAGAACCTGGATCCTGGGACCCTTAGACCTTAGCATGTAACGAGTACCGTAACGGACACCTGCAGACTTACTTGAGTTCCCTTTCTCGAAAAATTTCTTCTTTTCTAGATCTTTCTTAAGTCATTCTACAGTAACCGGGAAAAGTTTAAAGAGTTTAGAAAAAAAAAAACACTTTGTAAGCCCGATGAAGACGTGATTTTATGTTCAAAAATGAAACTGGAACCCACGATGACGATTGCGAGTCGATGAAAGCCGAGATGCACACGCGGATGGACCTCCTTGAGCACGTGCAAGTCCGGGCCGCGACCCATGATGCGCATGAATTGAGCCTGCTCGAAGGGACTCACCTCGTCCGACCCCAAAAGGGCCCAGATTCCGCACATTTAGTAACCCGTTTACTAGAAAACCTTTGAATAGAATAGAGAAGAAGAAGAAGAAGGAAGAAGAAGAAGCAAAAAACAGAGAACAAGAGTTTGAAAGGTTTTTGACAGAATCCAAAAACTAATCAACAAAAGAAATATTTTTTTTGGGCAATCTGGAAGTCACAGAAGATAATAAAACAAAAATGAATCAAAAAGGAAAAGAAATGAAAACTTTGAGTGAATCTAGATTTCTCAAAGGCTCAGGGACTTTCAAAGGCTTAGAAAAAATTTCCCCATTGCTTATTTCATTGATAATGGGTCGCAGGCGAGAGACTGGGACGAGGGTTGGCGGTCGGGAATCGCTTTTATTTCGATCTCTCGGGGCTGGTGGTGGGGGGGTTGGAGGGTCGAGAAGCAACGAGACAGGCAAGCCAAGAGCCAGCCAGTCTCTTCCCAGCCTCTCTTCCCCAGCCTCTCTTCCCCAGCCTCTCTTTCCAATCATTGTTGAGGACCCTAATCCTATCACAAACATGCCCTCTCACGCGGAACAATCGTAAACCGGAGCCGGAATCATGAATGATATCTGATAGACTGGGATTAGTCGACAGGCACCGAGGATTACTCTAAAGCTAAAGCCTTAGGGTCAATCTGGCTGTACCTCATCTCATATAGTACACCGGTTCAGGAACAGGCTTAGGAACAGGCTTAGGCTTAGACTTAGGCTCAGGAACAGGCTTAGGCTCAAGAACAGGCTTAGACTTAGGCTTAGGAACAGCCTCAGGCTCCGGAACAGACTTAGGCTTAGGCTTAGGAAAAGGCTTAGGCTTAGGCTCAAGAACAGGCTTAGGCTTAGGCTTAGGCTTAGGAACAGGCTCAAGCTTAGGCTTAGGCTTGGGCTTAGGAACAGCTACAGGCTCAGGAATAGGCTCAGGTTTACGCTTAGGCTCAGGAACAGGAACAGTGTTTCCTTCCAAGACAAATCCAAGGCAGGGCATTGTAACCAGATCATGAAACTGCCTAGTTTAGAAGTTACTGTAACTGAAACTGTTTTGTTTCAAAGTGGAGTACTGTATGAACTGAAACAAATTCATCAACTCCATCATTTCAGACTTAAACACCTCTCGAAAATCTGATTCAAAAGCCGACCGGAAACCAGCTAAGAATCAGAAAAGAAAGAAGAGGGGAAGAAGAGGGGAAGAGGGGAAGAGGGGAAGAAGAGCGGAAGAGGGGAAGAGGCTTTTCCGCAAATGGGGGTCAGCTTTTCTGGAAGTGCTGGTTCAGGGAAGTGAAATGATTAGAAAGAAAGAAAGAAAGGAAAGAAAGGAAGGAAAGAAAGGAAAGAAAGAAAGGGAAGAAAGGAAAGGCCATGTTTAGAGAAGAGCAACAATTGGATAGACACCTGGGCGCCTTTTCTGATGAATGTTTGGCCTCCAACCCTGAGGAATGCGGAAGAGAAACCCGGTTGATCCATCTACGGAAACGAATCATTGGATTGGTTTTAAAGCTCTAGCTCCAGTAACTGTGGCTAAGACGGTCAGCCATTCAGTCAGGCATTCAGCCAGGCATTCAGCTAGCCATTGAGCTAGCCATTCAGTCAGCCATTCAGTCAGCCATTCAGCTAGCCATTCAGCTAATTCAATCAGCTCCAGATCATCTCAACTCAAATCAAAACCTCTTCCCCTTAACCTATCAAATGCTAAGAACCGAAAAATTAGAGAAAAGCAAGTTCTCTAATTTTCTGATTTCTTTATGCATTCTGGATATCATTGATGCTAGTTTTCCAAATGAAAGCTCAAGAATTGTAGAACCAGTTTTCCGTCTCTGTCTCTATCTCTTCCACTTGACCCCGATATACTTTCGATGATCGGATTGTGCCCGGGTCGAGCCAGAAGCCTCACTAATCACACATGAATAGTTTGAATGATCGACAGGACTTTGTGTGCTCACCGATCTCACCAATCTCACCAATCTCACCGATCTCACCGATCATGCGGTCTCCGGGTCCCGAGAGAAGCGGAAGCGTCACCCCAACTTTCCGATCGTGAGATCCCCCTTGACTATCGACTATCAAACTATCGACAAAGATCAGGGAAAGAAAGGGGAATGGAAATTCTAGCAATCTGCAAGCTGGATGACACTAGGCAGGGAGAAACTCTGAAAGTAAGAAAAATGCGAAAAATTTCGACTTTTAAAGTCATCGTATTTTATCCTGCTCGATTCCTGAGCTAAAATTAAGATCTTTAAACAAAACAACAAGTTCTTCTTTCGATCTGGATGTCACAGTGATAGAAAAATTTTTACAAACTTTGTTAGAGTCAATTTTGAACGAGTCAACCTAGAAGATTTTGCTTTGGCCTCGAGAAAATCGAAATTTTTATTTAAAACCAAACTTTTTTTATTCTTTTGTTAATCCTGGATGTCACAGGTGTTAGATTTTTAAAAAATAAAGAAAAAAAAAGAAAATAAAAAATCGGTAACTAAGCCTGGCTTTGCATTGACAAAAATCGAAATTTCAAAAAAAAAAATTTCTCAAATTTCCCTCTAACCTCCTAAAGTTTCTCAAGACTTTAAAACTACTCAAAAAAGAAAAAAAGAAAGCGACTGTTGATCTGTCATTGGGAATCAAAGAAATCCCATGGCTCGTTTACTCAACGAGTTACTCGAGTTCATCAAGTCCATCAAAGAAATTCTTTTCTCTACTTCCTCACCCGGGGAAAGTGTGTGGTGCTCCAGCTTGAACACTCCCGAATTTTCCTATTGTCATTGTTTGACCATTGTTGTGGCCCTGAGGCGAGAAGTCGAGGAGAAGTCGAGAAGAAAGTCGCGCAAAACCCATATTGCCTCAGGTTGTCCCGTTCTCGTTTCCGTTCAACAGTGTGCGTCCCAGTACGACCAAAAGATGGACCCGAGCGACTCGTGGAATGATTGTACCAAAGATACAGGTGAGTCAATGATTTTTACTTTAATTTTTCATTGATTCAGTATTTTTCTATATTTTCTTTTACTATATTCATGTTTTTCTTTTTTTTAAGTACTAAGGATTTGTGGATTGGGAAGATTGGGGATTTGGGGTGGCAGCCAGGCACGCGTGCCGTTGACAGCCAGCCAGCAGCCCATCCAAGTCTCGGAGCTGCGTGCCGACAAGGTGTGTGCCCAACGGCACCCAATCGCTTTTCTAACAGCTGCAAAATCTCGCGTGACATCCAGAACACTTATATCAATTCAAGATCTCGTCCAGAATCTCCATTTTAAGAGCTTTCTATGCTCAAACTCAGTACATTCAATCATTGTATGCCCAATAGCACCCAATCGCTTTCATAACAGCCGCAAAATCTCGTGTGACATCCAGAATTCTTATACCAATTCAAGATTTCATCTAGAATCTTCATTTTTACAACTTTCTAAGCTCAAACTCAGTACTTTCAATCATTGTATGCCCGATGACACCCAATCGCTTTCCTAACAGCTGCAAAATCTCGCGTGATATCCAGAACTCTTATATCAATTCAAGATTTCATCCACAATCTCCATTTTTTCAATTTTCTAAGCTCAAACTCAGTACTTTCAATCATTGTATGCCCAATAGCACCCAATCGCTTTCCCAACAGCTGCAAAATCTCGTGTGATATCCAGAACTCTTATATCAATTCAAGATCTCGTCCAGAATCTCCATTTTAACAGCTTTCTATGCTCAAACTCAGTACATTCAATCATTGTATGCCCAATGGCACCCAATCGCTTTCCCAACAGCCGCAAAATCTCGTGTGACATCCAGAACTCTTATATCAATTCAAGATTTCATCCACAATCTCCATTTTAACAGCTTTCTATGCTCAAACTCTGTACTTCCAATCATTATATGCCCAATGGCATCAAATCGCTTTTCTAACAGCTGCAAAATCTCGTGTGATATCCAGAATTCTTATATCAATTCAGGATCTCATCCAGAATCTCCTTTTTTTTCATTTTTTCTAACCTCAAACCTTTTCAATCGAAATTGTGCGTTCTCTTGCTCAAACTTTTTCACAAATTGTCTGATGACGTCTTGAGACCGCCACGGGTCACTTGGTCTCGATTTTTGCGGGTAAATTTGATCGGCTTTGATGTGCGTTTGTTTTCCCGTTCTCCGAAACGGCGCCTCACTGGCTGCTGGATGTCGAAAAGAAAAGTCGAATGGAAAGAAAAAGGAGGAAGGAAAGGGAAGAAGGGAAAGCTTTTCGAAAATGATCGAACTCAGTACGGGTATCGGTTGCGGAAGCAAAGGAAGAAGGAAAGAAAGAAGGAATCGTTTTTTTCTGATACCGGCCTCAATGTTGGCTCACCTATCATTTTTATATTGCGCGTTGATAGAGAAAGCTTTCCTTTGCTTTCTTGCTTTTTCCTTTTTCCATTCCTTTTTCTTTTAAGCGACCAGAATACACTCGGATTGTGGATTTTGAGGAAATTCGAGGATTTTCGAGGATTGCACGCCGATCTTTCAAAGTTTTGACGGCCAGAGTACGAGAGGGCCAAGGCTGACCACTCGATGAGTGCGAAAATGGAAATTAGGGGACTGATTTTGCTTGGAAATGGTAGAGTGATATCCATAGAATTGATAAATAAACCGATTCCTATTTACAGCTTAGCTACCGTAAGCTGGAAATTCTTAAGGAAACAAGAATCGACGCCGCTCATCGATGAATGTGAAAACGGAAATTAGGAACTGATTTTGCTTGGCAAGGAAGAGTGACATCCAGAATTGATAAATAAACCGATTCTATTCACAGCCTAGCCAGCAGTAAGCTGAAATTCTTGAGGAAAGGAATCGACGCTGCTCATCGACAAGCAGGAAAACGGGAATTAGGGGACTTGATTTTAGCTGGTGCTGCCGGAGATGACATCCGAGACACCGATAACAAAACCGATTCGGCCCATGAACTGCTCCAGCCACTGTGTTTGAAATCCCTGAGGAAAGGAATCGACGCGGCCTTGTCGGAAAAACAAAAATGAAAACGGGAGTTTCCCAATTTGATCTTTCAACATGACCCAGATAACGGAACTAGGGCTTCTGCCTAAGCCTAAGCCTAAGCCTAAGCCTAAGCCTAAGCCTAAGCCTAAGCCCTAAGCCTAAGCCTAAGCCTAAGCCTAAGCCTAAGCCCTAAGCCTAAGCCTCAAGCCTAAGCCTAAGCCTAAGCCTAAGCCTGCCAAGCCTAAGCCCAAGCCTAAGCCTAAGCTTCTAAGCCTAAGCCTAAGCCTAAGCCTAAGCCTAAGCCTGAGCCTCCAAGCCTAAGCCTAAGCCTAAGCCTAAGCCTAAGCCTAAGCCTAAGCCTAAGCCTAAGCCCCAAGCCTAAGCCTAAGCCCTAAGCCCTAAGCCTAAGCCTAAGCCTAAGCCTAAGCCTAAGCCTAAGCCCAAGCCTAAGCCTAAGCCTAAGCCCCAAGCCTAAGCCTAAGCCTAAGCCTAAGCCTAAGCCTAAGCCTAAGCCTAAGCCTAAGCCTAAGCCTCAAGCCTAAGCCTAAGCCTAAGCCTAAGCCTAAGCCTAAGCCTAAGCCTAAGCCTAAGCCTAAGCCTAAGCCTAAGCCTAAGCCTAAGCCTTTGCTCTCATCTAGGTAAAAACGTTCAACAGTACATTAATGGGACCTTCCAAAGACAACTCGTCACGGCAAGTCCACCCATGAAAACTGCTATAAAGAGCTGCCTGATTCGTTGCATGATGCATTGTTCTTTTGTTTCAGATGTACAATACCGAGCAAAAGCTTTCAAAAAAAATCGATGAAATTTTTTTATAGAAAATGCCACCCGTTCGTAGGGCTTTTTTGTTTTTAATTAAAATAATACATGTACACTTTATTTACAAAAACAAATTTGAAGTTCAGCGTAAAACAAAAAAGTTAATGACAAAGCTACTAAAAAATACCCTAAAAACTGGGTGCAAAATTCTTGCAACATTCTATGTTTCTCATTTTTATTGTTTTCAAATTTATTAATTTACTAATTTTTGTTTTTTTCAGATGCCAGGTACCTACTTGACGACTCCCGAAAAAGAAAAAATCATGAAAGCAAGAAAAAAAGGAATTTCTCGAGCCGTTGTCTCCGATCTCTTCAAATGCGAGCCTTCGACCGTTTCTCGCATTGTTTCAAAAGCAAAAACAACTGGACTTATGCACCGAAGGGAAAAGAAAGGACGGCCAAGAAGGCAACGGCAAAAGAGGATCGAATACTCGTGATGGCTTCCAAAAAGGATCCGAACATGGCATCAACTGAGGGAGCTCGGCTGTTCAAGGATGTTCCAAAAAAAAAGGATATCTCTCGATGGACCGTTTCTCGACGATTGGCTCAAGCAGGACTGTATAGCCGGAGGGCTGTACGAAAGCCTTTGATGACCGCTGGCCACAGGAAACAACGGCTTCTATCCGCCAGGACGTATCAAAGTTGGACAAATCAGGATTGGGCCAACGTGACTTTTGTCGATGAAGCAGAAGTGGATATCTTTTCTCCAAAAGGCAACCACTTGATCAGACGACCCATTGGAAAGCAAATACTCCTTAAATATGTGCGACCTACAATGCGAGGCGGCGGAGGATCAATCATGTGTTTTGGGAAGCCTTATTTCTAATACATGCATTAATTTGTCTTTTTCTAAGGGATGGCAAAAAATGTGGCAGATCCGCTCATCCTCGTCCAGTCAACCATGAATGCTCGCCAGTATATGGAAATACTATTAGGTTGTTCGGATATAAACGAGCGTTTTAGTAGTCGACAAAATTTATCTTAAAAACAGAAACAACACAGTTTAATCTAAAATATATTCACCATTATTATTGATTACTTCTTGCCATCTTTTGCACAAAAAATTGATGCCGCTCTTGATAAACTCAGCCGGCTGTGACTCGAAAAACTTGGCGACCCAATTTTGGTCATCTTCACGGTTTTTGAATTTCTCCTTGGCCAAAAAGTTTTGAATCGACCGGAATCAAAGGTAATCTGAGGGAGCCAAATCGGGAGCATACGGCGGATGTGGTAAAATCTCCCATCCTAGATTCTCTAGTTTTTGCTGAGACATTTTTGCAACGTGAGGTCTAGCGTTGTTATGGATGAACTTTATCTTTGATGTGTCTACTCCTTGACGAATGAGAACTTCATTAACCCGATCAAGTTGCTGTTTGTAGAGGTCGGATGTGACTGTTTGGCCGGTTTGTAGAAGCTCGAAATACACAAGGACCTTGTTATTCCACCATACTGAGAGCATGATCTTATTCCCATGAATGTCCGGTTTCACGGTCGGATTTGGCCGTTCTCCTGGTCCTAGTCATTTCCGTTTTCGAATAGTATTATCGAAATGAATCCACTTCTCATCTCCAGTAACAAGAGAATCAAAAAAGCCATGATCTTTAGCGTGGCGGCTGAGGATTCCGGTAATAGCGACCCGTGATGCCTTGTTTGCACTGCTTAACTCGTGAGGAAGCCATTTCCCACATCTGATCGTCTTTCCAATGGCGTGGAGATGCTCATGAATGGTAGAATTTGAACATAGAAACTGTTGAGCAAGTTTGCGCGTCGTTTGACATGGATCCGGTTCGATTGCAGCCCTCAAAATATCGTTGTCTACCGCTTGAGGTCGACGAGAGTGTTCATCATCCTCGAGACTTTCATCACCATTCCGAAAGCGTCGGAACCAGGCTCGGCATCGGCTTTCGGACAATACATCATTCCCGAATGCTTTGACCAAATCTCAATGGAATTCCGCGACTGTTTTGCCCAGTTTGAAGTCATAAAGTAGACAGACGCGAACTTGATGTTTCAAGTCGGCCATCTAAAGCTCATTGCCAGGAAAAGCTCATTGCCTGGATGGTTTGCCTTTAATAATGTTTTGTTGATCAATGTGCCCCCTATGTCGCCTGATTTAAACGTTATTGAGAAGTTATGGGCTTACGTGAAGACAAAATTACGAGGAAAAGACTTTCACACAAAAGTTGACTTATGGTTCTACATACGAAAAGTTTGGAGCTCAATTCGACCAGCAATTCTTCACGAATTAGTCGGCTCAATGCCTAAACGACTTAATGAAGTGATTTTGGCAAAAGGTGGACCGATTGAATATTAATTGTTAATGTTTCTGTATAATGTTGCAAGACTTTTGCACCCAGTTTTTAGGGTATTTTTTAGTAGTTTTGTCATTAACTTTTTTTTTTACGCTGAACTTCAAATTTGTTTTTGTAAATAAAGTGTACATGTATTATTCTAATTAAAAACAAAAAAATCCCTACGAACGGGTGGCATTTTCTATAAAAAAATTTCATCGATTTTTTTGAAAAAGTGATGTTGCAAGACTTTTGCTCGGTATTGTATTTTTTGATTTCCCCAAAGTCCAGCCCAAATATTTGTCTCATCGTTATTAGGGGAAATCTGTCAAGATTTTAGGATAGGATGTCGAGTATAGGATACGCTCAAAAACAAAATCCGGCTAGATGGCGAAGCATCGTTGCATTGATGGTAAATGCCATCAAAATTTTACCCTGGCTTATTTTTTCGCATGAAATCACCCTTTCTTCGTATAAGTTTACGGGATCCAGTTAAATACCCTCAAATCAGTTTCACCCCTTTTCTATTTCGCGCCCCAATTACTACCTTTTTCTCTTTCATTTCCCTTTTGTCATTTCATTTCTTCCCACCCTCGGTCAATAATTTTTTTCAGATATTCATGCCATTCTTCCTCAATGATGGTGCCCAAAAAAGGAAAGGCAAATCGAGCAACGTAAAGGGATCGAAGAGGAAGACTCTGGTGTGTTTTTTGATAATTGATGTGATATGTTGTTGGCGTTTTAAAACGTTAAAATCGTTTTTAAGGTTTTTCGCTCGAAATTTAGTCTTACCTTTAATTCAAACACGACAGCTCTATAACGGTATACGAAGATTAGCTAAATTTAGAATGTTTGAAGATAACGTCTACTTGTTAGTTTTCTTGCCTTAAATCAAACTTTAGAATTCTACGCATGAAGCAAAAGGAGCGGCAAAGCGAAAAAAAATTCTGGATGACGAGGTTATTTTGTCTGATGAAGAGGTTAGTTAAATTTTTTTGACTGAAAGTGATCTTAATGGCAACTTTTAGTATTCCGATGACGAAGATGCGTATGCAGCTGGTTCCGGCTCGGATGGCGAATATGAAGATAGCAAGGATAAAGAATACAGACAAGCAAAAGATCTACTTGATCAGCTCATCGCGGTTTGTTTTTGGTACTTATCCCTTATCGGGGGCAAAATTCGAATTTTTTTTCATTTTTTCCAGAGAGCCTGTCCACTGACCCCCTCCTGGAGCTGCCTAAGTTCATCCCCGCCTGACTATTAAAAATAAAAAAAAGAACAAAAAGTGGCAGAAAACTATAGAAAAAGGTAAGAAGAGCATAAAAACCGAAAAAAGTTGGAGCTTTCCCCCTCCCCCCCCCTCGCTCCGATAAGGAATAAATACCCGATTTTTTTCTCTTGTTCAAAAATCTATTACCTTCCATGATTTTAGGAAGGTGATCTTGGCGACGAAGATGGAGATTCAGAAGAAGAGGCTGCACATGCAAACATTGGGGAGAAGCTCAAGGAAGTTGCATCAATCAAAGTGAAGTGCCTGGTGATTATATGCACGGTATAATTGGTTTAGACTGGAACGTTTCATCGAAAAGTTGCAAATAAGCTCGAAGTAGTCGAAGGTCAAGAAACATCACATGGAAGGCACAGGTTGTTAGTTTTCTTACCGTATAAAGATCTGACTTTGCTTTTTTAGATTTACGCCTTTAAGTGTGGCTTTCTCTCCGTGTGCGGAGTTCATCTTTAGTACAGGGAAAGACTCACAAGTGGTAAAGTGTAAGTTACAGTTTTTTAATAATATCATTACAGCTGTTATTTTAGATAGCCTCAAAAAGAAGCAAACGATTGGTGTAATTCGACGGGAAAAAGCAAACGGAAAAATGCAAGACGCACACTCTGGCCATATTTTTGCAGTAGCTGTGTCTCCAGATGGAAAATATGTTGCAACTGGCGGAGTCGATTGCTTAATAAAAGTTAATTATATATACTTATAATAAACCTTTTGCCTTTAGATTTGGGATGCATCATCGTTAAAGTTCCTGAAAGATTTGAAAGGACATCTACAGCCAATAACTTCCTTATGCTTTCGTCTTAAATCGACACAACTTTTTTCGTCAAGCAAAGACCGAATGGTTAAGGTATTTATTTAAACGACTTACTTATCTACTTGTTGTTTTAGCTTTGGGATTTGGAACAGATGGGCTTGCTCGACACGATGTTTGGTCACCAGGATGCGGTACTGTCAATTGACTGCTTGAACAAAGAACGTGTCCTAAGTTGTGGAGGTCAAGATCGATCAGTTAGATTGTGGAAGGTCGATACGGAAAGCCAGCTGGTAAGTTGTTGGCTTGTATTCGATAAAATATCTTTCAGGTTCTAAATGGCTCTCACGATTGCGGAAGTATTGATTGTGTTGCGATGCTCAATGAAGACCATTTTGTTAGCGGATCAGCTGATGGGTAGCTATTTTGCGCTTAGGCTTTATTGTTTAGCAATTTTAGATCGTTATGTGTCTGGTCAATATTTAAGAAGAAGCCTACAACTGTCAAAAAGTGTGCTCATGATCGCAATAACAAACAGGAACCTTTTTGGATTGTAAGTTTGTTAGCAACTTTTGATAAGCTTTCCATAAAACTTGTTGGTGAACCCATTTAGGTATCTGTTGCGGCTTTGCCATTTACCGATCTAGTGGCATCCGGCTCAAATAATGGCGAATTACGTTTCTGGCGCGTTGCTGATGACTACAAAACTCTTCTTTTGACTTACACGTACGAAATGGTATTAACTTTTTATATTAATAGTTATTGATCTGTTTTAGAAAGGTTTCATTAATCAAATTCGCTTCTCAAATGATGGAAATTTTGTATCCTGCGCTACAGGTCAAGAACACAAGTTCGGTAGATGGTGGGTCGACTTGGAAGCGCGAAATAAGGTTTGATTTTGCACAAACTGCATCTATTTATTAGTTGTTCTGCCGTTGATAGATCGACCGTTCTCATACTACTCGTGTGTAAATAAATTTTGTTCATGCTTCAGATATTTGTCCTGCCGCTAACATATGGCCAAGAAGAAATTCCACACGTCAATAGCTAGATGTTTGGTAGTTCGATATAAACTCTTTTGAATCGTTTGTTGATTATTTTGTTTTGTTGTTGATTTTTGTTGTTATTTGAAATAAATTTTTATAACTGATTGCTCAGAGACTTGTTGGTTGCTTTCCTATTTACTCATTTGAATGGGAGTTTGTTGAACGTTAAGCAGTTACTTACCTACCTATTTAGAAGATCAAAGGATGGAAGCCAACGTTCTTTTAGTGTCAGGTAAACCCGCGGCCATGTAACAAATGTAAGATTAATATTTAGTGATCAGTGCGCGTGGGCTCTATTTGAAAGGCCACTCAACTATGGAGGCCCTTGTTACAGTGACTATGCACGGGAAGGTTCGACATGTTTTTAATCCATAAAAAAATATTCTAGAGTAATCTGCGAAGTCGTGCTGTCACCGAGCCCATACACACGGAAGGAGAGTGCCATTGGGACGAGCACATGGAATTGTTTGATTTGCTTTACTAATATCAATTGTTGTATAATTTAGCAAAATCAACGACCCGACTGCAGAACTAGTTGTGTGTGCCCAGCACAAATCGCGGATTGGTCGGAATGATGTAATCGGTCGAGTGGAGATGCCGTTGGATAAAGCAAAAGCGATCAGAGGAGATCATTGGTAAGTCATGGTCTAACTTTTAGGCAGTGACACAACAGACATGAAAACTTGTATCATTTTCGTTTTAGGTATCCGCTTCGGAAGAAAGCCAGCGAAGAAAAGTATCGAGGAGAGGTTCAATTGAGATTCGAATTTCGTCTTGAGAAATCCAATCTTTCAATCTCAAATCAATCTCTGAACACTATCGGACACAAAGGTCAGCTTTTATGAAGAATTTTAAAATTGAAAAAACACGTTTTCTTGAGCTTTTGGCGTAAGCTTATTTTGCGTTTGAGTCCTACCTTTAGATTCGATGCTTGACAAAATCAAAGGAAAGATCAAGTTAGGGAAGTTACGACACAAAAATGACCCCGACAGCCTTAGTATCGCCAGTGGTATTTCTGGTGTTTCAGCAATTTCCGCAGTCAGCAAGGTTTACAGCCCGATTAAAGCTTTATAACTTTATTTTTTGCATTAGGTAAGCAAAGGAGGGACAATTTCACGTTTGTTTGGGAAGAAAAAGCAGAAATATGAAGAGGACGGAATTAGCGGATCGCACTCAATAGAAGAGCCAGCAAATGGGTAGACAAGCTTTCTTTATGCTTACTAATATCTTAAAGAAGTACATAGTTTAATAGCATTTAAAAAGTATTTTAATTTAGGCACTCTCCTGCCTCGCATCGTTCCAATTTGCTAGAACCATTGGGTCACTCAAATCCTCCTGCTGCTTTTCAACGTATGGGTAGTCAACGATGGCGCCAAAACTCATTCAAACAGGTATTTTTATTTTGTTGGTATCTATTGAATGACTTTTACTTAAGTTATCAACGGATATGCAAGAAAAAGATCCAGATGAAACGTTAAGAGAAAATAACAAAGCAGAGGTGAAGTCGATCATTAAACGCTACGAATCCTTTGGTTACTTGCGCAATGAGATTTATTATAAGCCCGCAAGCCCCACCACAGTGACCACGGTAAGCATTTTTTCTTTGCGCTTTTAATTATTTAGTTAGTTAATTAGGTAAAATAGGTTGTTGATTTAAACACCTAAATTATGTAGTCTTTTTAGGGTGCGGAGATTTCAACATTGTCGACAGCGGAAAGCTTTCAGTCACCACCACATCCGGCTCGTCCGCCATCCGTTGCTAGCTCGGGAATCAGCTCAAATCACAGAAACCAGGCTTGAATTACCATATTTTGTTTATTGTAAAAGTATAAAGCATTTTAACGGGAAGGTTTAATATATCTGACTTTTAGACTGTTTCCGATGAAATGCATGATGCTGCGCATCGACAAGATTTACTTGCAAAAATTGATAAACTGGAAATGGAAGTTCGCGTAAAGGTTCGAATCAATTATCAATAAAGAGTGTAATGTTTTTTAGGATTCTCGGCTTCGTGATATGGAAGAATATTTGGATGATTTACTCTCTCGTGTTATGGAGCGTTGTCCCGAGGTAAATATCGTGGAAGACTGAATTCCATCTTTATTTAATCCAAAATATATGTCATAACCGATTAAGATTGAAACATAAAACGCCCTTATATATGCAAATTAAACCTCACGTGCTAATTGAGTAAATGTTTCTTTAGATTAAATTCCTTGTAATTTTTGGCCTTTTTTCTTTTTAAAGTTTATCATGACTTGAAACATAACAAAATGAACCATAAGAGCAAAAAATACAAAAAATTAATGTTAAGTGCAAACAAACTACTAGAATCATAACAAAATGCAACTAATCAACTGAAATTTTACTTATTCGTGCAGTTTCTGCTATGGTGACATCGATTGTTGCATTCAACGTTGGCTTTTAAACATCATATAAATCAATCCTTGTATTTAGACGGAGAATCAAAGAAATTTGTCAACTTAATGTGTGTTTAGATAGCTATTCGAATATCATATTCGCAAGAATGGTTAACTTTGCTAAACTCCCCTTTATTAAATCAATTTGCATTTACCCAATTAGCATTTGAGGTTTTATGTTTTAATCTTAATCGGCTAACCGGTTAAGTTTTGACTAGCGAAAATTTTTTAATCTTAATCGGCTATGACATATATAATTTTTAGGTTTTGGCCTCTGCGACTGGAAACGGTGCATTAAAAGGCATGAAAAACAACCGCCGTTTTTTCTCGACAATTGGTTTTTAGTCCAGTTCTCAACTATCTTATTTGGTCTCGTAAATGTGATTTGATTTATATACCTATCTATTTTTGAAGGTACCCTAACTAGGCTCAAAAATTTATCGGCATGTTTTACAATGCTTATATTTTCGACGTTTTGCTCACCAATGATCATTCTCATCGAATACATAAATTGCAATATCTAGTTAGTCAATTTTTGTGAATTTAGAATTTAAGTGAAATCATTGCTGTGATTGCGTTCCTTTTGTGATATACAAAATATTAGCACGGCTTTATACCTGAAAAGATTCTCATGCAATGTCAACTTTTGTGAATCTAGGAGAAATCATTGGATGTAATTGCGTTCTGTTTGTGATATACAAGATATCAGCACGGCTTTGTACCTGTATAAAGATTCTAAGTATGGGGCATTACATTAATGAATGGATAATTCCGTACATTGTATTATATTTAACTGCGTTTACCGTATTACCAAATTATAGTATGTCAGGAAACGGCTGAACTGAAGTAATTCGTCTTTAAGTAAAATGCTTTGTTAACATTTTCTGTAGAAACAGTGGTTGTCTGTTTCCTTCTTTACCACATCCTGTAAGCTGTTCGGCCGTGTACTCTCCTTCTCTTAATTTTAGTTTTTTATGTACAGGCTTCTTTTATTTGTTTGCCGACTAGCAGCTAAATTTTATTTAGATGAATCAGCGGTTAGTGTCAATTGGCGTTTCGGAAAGAAGCCTGGTTTTATTCGACGGAAAAAATGGTATAAAGGCTTATGTATTAAGGGTTGCCTATCTCATTGTTTAGTTTTCAAAGAGCTGCTCGCGTCAGAATCATTTTTCGATGGTCGTCAAACATTGCTGAAAACGGTTTCGCGTTATAACAGTTTTTTTTAATGTTTTCATGTTTTTAGGTATCTAAACTGCATGACATTTTTACGATTTCCCGAGCGCAGGCAACGATTAACGATGGTCTCACTCCACAAGAGTAAGCTCCGATTTTCATAATTTGTATTTGTTTACTTTTCCCAAAGTGTCCTTTTTCAGAATATCTGCGATCTCTGAAAAATATTTGGACGTTCTGAAAGCTGCTGCAATTGAAGGGTTGGCCTTAAAATTGCGTTGTTTATAAGTTGTCTTTTAGTGAATCAAAGATTCTGTGGCACGAATTCACCGCCTGGAGCCTTTTTCACTTTCTGTATTTCACGCATTCTGGTAATTTCATTATTCGTTATAATGTATGACGGGTTGCTTACAATTAGATAATAAGCTGGTTTTCGATTTGATAACTTGGGCGTCCACATCATTTAGCACCGCTGAGGTAAAATTTTTATTAAGAATGCTGTTGTAAACGTATAATTCAGCTGCTGTTTTACAATTTTCAAGCGAACTACGAGACAAACAACAAAATAACGGATTCGGAAGACTATTGGAAAACAGTTGTCTATCAAATTTTGTCGTTTCGTTATGATCGATGCGCTAGCCTTCTAGCAATTTGTGATTCTCAAGTAAGTTTCTTTTGTATTTTATTGATTATTTAACTTATATTATAGTTAAGTAGAAGTTGCTAATTCAGGATCAAGCAACGGATGTTATGGTCGATACACTTCATAGAATGGATGTTGAATGGCTCATTGAGAAGAATGATGTATATTTTAGTCAAAGATTATTAAAGACAACTATTTTACTAAGCCTAAATTCTCGTAAGATTTCGGTTTTTAATTCAGATTTCGGCTTTAAAGTCCTGGCAACGAGGTCTTGGTGAAAAGCTTGCATCTGGCGTATTCGATCAAAATCTAAATATTCGTTTCTTGGCGGGATTATTGACTGGGGATAAAGAAGTGAGCTATCCACACAATCTTTCTACAGGTTTTTAGGTTTTTAATCGGCTCTGCAATGTGATTGTTGATGAGTGGTATCATGTACTTCCATTGTACTTGGCGAATTGGCACCCCTCTTCAGATTTATTGCAGCTACCAAATCTTGTAAAGGTAATCTGAGTAAATGGAGAGTAAATGATTTTTTGTACAGAAGTGCAGACAAATATTCAACGATGAAATGCTGAAGGTCGATGTTTTTTTCCAGATTGTCATAATGGATCCATTGGCGGTCGTCCAGGGTAGAGTGACCTTAATCTTATTATGTTATTAAATGTTTCAGAGTTATTCGAATCACAACATTTGGCTGTTCATCTCGCGGACTTATTATTTTACGCTGTGAAAAACACTCAAACAAAGGGTTGTATATTTCTTTGCACTTTAATTTATATTTGAAAAATTTTAGAGCACAATGAACAGTTGCTAAATTTAAATGAAGTTAGAACATACCTCGTAGCAGATTATGGCAATACATTGATGACAAAAACTAGGTATTTTGATGTTTTGAGCGAATGATCAAAATTTGATCTTTTAGTCTATGGCGTCTCGGAGCTGATTATCTGAATGTCCTTGGAGGCTTGGGGAAAAAGTATGTCGAAAGAAACATTTTATCGATTACAATCTATGGAGAACGCGAGGCTCAAGAAGTTTGTAACGAATCGGGCTAACACGCGTAAAGTTTAGGTATTTCGGTTTACGAAAGCATCTGAAATGAAAGAAGCTACAGTAATGATTGCTAATACGATGTTTAATAGGTAACGGGTAAGTTTGCGGACTGAATATTTTCTTTTCCAGATATCTACGACGAGAAAATTGGGGACAAGCCTTGTCTTGGAGTCTTCGTGAGGAGAATTCGTCAAAAAACATCGACACATTTTGCAATACGCTTTTTTTAAAGGGCAAGCTTGCTTTTTAAGCGACTTTGACAATCTCATCCTTTAAGCAACGGGAGATGAAATTGCAAATTTACACCTCCTTGAGAATTTGGGAGACAAACTATTGATTTCGCCTGGCTTGTTATTGCTACACACGTACTACCAGTTCTGCAAATGTTTGGCCGATGGTTTTATTGAAGATGCACTGAAGGTAGATTTGTTATGGGGTTTAATTTTAATTTTTTGGGTTTAGCTATTGATTGTTCTGATGAAATTTTCCGTTATTCCTACTGGTTTCTATGAGCGATTGATTCAACATTTAATTGAAATCTTTGAAGTCCAACACGAGGTAACTGTATGAATTGGTTTAAATATAAAAACTTAATTAATATGCATTAAACAGCAATTTTAACGATTTTTGTTTAGCTGAAGATCGCAAAAGATGACATCGTCGAAGTGATGTCGCTGATTAATCGCTATGATTTTACACACCGGGCGGATCTGGCACACCAAGAAATTGTAGAGACAATGAGCGAGAAGTTGGCGGCTTTACAAGAACTTTTATCTAGAGCCCATTTGAAAGCTATAACCTCTTTTTGTTGAGTGCCTGCGTTTAAATTTTATTCATGGTATTGTGTTCTTTGCGCTTTGTATATCACAAATGATCTCTTGGGTTACCCAAGTTGGGTATATATTTATTTTTTTTATGTTTTATTTATCAGTTGTTTCTCGGTATAAATCATTATTACAATTAGACAAAATTGCATAAAGTTTCATACTTTAGAAATACCTGTTTGGCATTTTATTCTCCAAAGTCAGATTGCTCTAGTTTTCTCAAAAACAACCGAAAAAATAAAAGTGGTCTAGTGCCCCAATTTAGCACAATGCTTACTCGAGGATTGCCAAAGCTTCTTGGGCTGCGCGCCCTTGAGAAACGATTTGTTGGGACCTATTGTATCGATCGTAAGTGGCATGTTTTATGAAAATAAAGCACATAGATAGATAAAGGTATCAACCAAACCAAAAATTAGTACAAACTTTGGGGCTATACGGTTTGGGGGGAGGGGGGCTCAAAGATGCCTCTGACAAGTACCAAAAACAGTTTTTCTAGGGTTTTCGCTCGCGCTAAATCGATTGGTAATATTGATTCTGATTCTCCTACGCCTGAGGTGAGTTTCGTTCCAGCTAGGAGCCACGTACTTCCGGTATGAAACTCACCTCAGTCGTAGGAGAATCAGGCGATAGCCTAGGAGCCTCGTGCCTCTAAGGTGCGGAGCCAAAGCCTAAGGAAAGAATACGCAAACAACGCGGGAGCGGCAAAGAGGGATGTACGTAACATGTCTAGATCGTTAACAACACTCGAGGCAGCATCAAACCTAGCCGGTACTCTGAGCTATAGCCTAGTATAAGCTTAGTGTAGCAAGAACAAGCTCTGAAAATATTGCCAATCGATTTACCATGACCGAAAACCCTAGAAAAACTGTTTTTGGTACTTGGCAGAGGTATTTTTGAGGCCCGGCCCATTGCCCCCAACCCGTATAGCCCCCAAACTTTTACCTTACATTTTAGCACGTCTGGGTCTATCACCTGAGTTAAAAGACATACAAAGTGTGGCCCGAGATTTCGCCCTAAAGGAAATGTATCCTAATATGCAAACTTGGGATGAAAAAGTAATTTTTATATTGTTAGTAATTGGAATAAACAGATGCTTAGGAGGAGATGCCTCTTGATTGTTTGAGAAAAGCTGGCGAACTCGGATTTGGAGCCATATATTGTAAAGAGGACTTTGGTGGTACAGGTAACCTATTTTTTATAATCTGAAGACAACCCATGGTGCTCTTACGTTATTCAAACGAAATTTTAGGCCTTGGCCGAATAGAAGCTTCAGTGATATTTGAGGCTTTAGCTACTGGCTGCACTTCAACGGCGGCTTACATTAGTATTCACAATATGTATGTTGTGTTAATTTTTGGCAGTCATTAATTTTGTTTAGGTGCGCTTGGATGATCGATTCGTATGCGAATGAGAAGATAAAGGCTCGATTACTTCCCAAAATGGCGACGTTTGAAACCTTGGGATCTTATTGTCTGACAGAGCCGGATGCAGGCAAATTAGTTTGACTTGCTTTCATTAAATTTCTCTTTTAAGGGTCGGACGCAGCAAACTTGCGCACAACCGCAAAGCGAGTCGGTGATTATTATGTTATCAATGGTAGCAAAGCTTTCATTTCTGGAAGTGGCAACAGTGGGAAGTAAGTGGAAGTCATTCAGAATGTGCAGGACATGTTTTTAGTTATCTAGTCATGGTGAGGCATGAAGGCCAACCTGGAGCAAAGGGAATATTCTGCATATTGGTGATATTCGGCGAAGTTTTTATCAATTGTGTTTATGTCTTTAGATTGAAGATGGCATGGACGGGTTTACTCTTGGCAAAAAGGAAAAAAAGCTTGGCTGGAACTCGCATCCCGCAAGAATTTTGAATTTCGAAGATTGTAAAGTTAGTTTTGGTTAAACGGGTTTGATTTAAACTTGGCTAGCTGATTTTTAGGTGCCTGTAACAAATCAAATTGGACACGATAATCAAGGATTTTCCATTGCAATGGCGGGAATAAACGGTGGCCGATTAAATGTGGCAAGTTGCTCTTTGGGCGCTGCACAAATGAGTATGGATCTTGCGATAAATCACCTAAAGGTTTTTTAATGTGTCATTCAGCATTAGATTTATTTTAGATTCGGAAGCAATTTGGCAAGGCCCTCTCCGAATTTCAATGGAATCAATTTAAATTGGCGGAGATGGCTGCGAAGTTGCACTCTTCAAGATTAATGGCATGAATTTTAATGATAATTTAGTATTTATGTATAATAATGTAGATTATGGATTTGTGCAACTTGTGCTCCAAACCAAAACTGTGGATCATTAACCTTTTGTTTAGGTTCGTGATGCGGCTCATCATTTGGATCAAAACACCGCACACAAAGTACCGTTATGTGCTATGGCAAAACTTCATGCTACCGACAATTGCTTTGAGGTACGGTTTGCTTCTAAATTGATTCCTCTTCACATTATATACTCTAGGTTGTGAATCAATGTCTCCAGTTCTTTGGTGGCTATGGATTTTTGAAAGAGTTTCCGTTGCAACAGTTTTTGCGTGATTCAAGAGCTCACCAAATCATAGAAGGAACAAACGAGGCTTTTATTATATTGCAATATCTATTCGAGACTTATTTAGATCATGAGGATGCTGGTTGCAAGAGATCTTCTAACAAATCAAACATGGTATACACAGTAGTCATCACACAGAGAAATAGTTTTTTAGCTTTGATTTTATGTTGAGCATTTAATTTCGATTTATTCAGTGAATGTTTTTTGTTTAGCATTTTTTCTTTATTTTGTGCTAATTTGTGTCATTTGTAGGTTTGAACATTTGAAGATCGGGTTTACGACGAGACTTTATTTTTTGAAGTGATAATAAAGAGTTTATTACGAAAATCCGGTTATAAGCAAGAACTTTTTGATTCTTTGATTCTTATCAATTTTGTCAAAATCCACTTCTTCAGGGGGTACTAAATTAAAGTAGAGAAGATGGGTGATTTTTTTTAGATATAACACATATTTTTAGCATTAACCAGCGCTTAGAACAAAATGATTGAAAAATGATGAAAAATCGGCTTTTTTGCCACTACTATTACAGCGTTACTATTACAGGTATTACGGTAAGTGAAAATTAGATACGAGCGAAATAATACCTAATTTCGCATCAAAAAGCTCATCTTCAAATTAAAGGTTCTAACAAAGCTCCTCGATGATTTCAACTACAACGATAAACTTACCCGAATTGGATGTCCATGAGGCGATAAGTGATTCACCAAGGTTTCGCTTACAGGTAAATTTATCCTTGGAAAGCAATTTGAAATTCTTTTTAGCTGAAAAATCATGAGCATTATTTTCAACGACTAGAAGCCAAATTAAACGAGGTATTTTTTTGCTTGCATTTCATTTTTATACAGCTGTTCAGATTCTCAAAAATTTGATGCATATGAACGAATACGGGCGGAATTATACATCTTCATTATAGTAGGCTTTTTTATTGTGAATGTATTAAACGGAAAACAATGTGTACTTTTAGTAAACTTTCCGTGTCGGTTAATCAACTGTGCCAGGAAAGTTTCTCGGACAATGCCCTAGCTCAATCGACTTTTGGAACTCTTTCGGAGGCATACGGCCGAACTGTGGATTTAACAAGGTTAGTTTTGCTTTATATGATACAGTACGAAAGTTGTTTATTTAGGTCGTTTTACGAAAATAGCATTTCAGTTGTCTATGAGAAGCTACAAAAGTTTATAAAAAAGTGCGTTTGTCTAAATGAGTTTGATTGTTAATTGATATTATCAGAGAGCTTGCGGATATCACGATGATGCGTAATAGCTTCGACAGCATGGCAGTAATGACTGACGAGGCATTGACTAAAAACGCGGCGGTTTCAAAAGGCAAACCAGTTGAAGCGGTTGGTTTACAAGGAAAAGTTTTTGAATTTTGACTATTGGATTGGAGTCCACTCCGTTAAGATATAGCGTTAAGATTTATTTTCGATTTGCATAGTTAGGCTTAAGTACCTAACTCCAATTCTCTCATAATTTGCACATACCTTAACGGTTGGATCTAATGGACAAGAGCTGGTATTTGCCAAGATTTCCTTTATTTTAGGCTGATATTCGGAATCATCTAATGACGGTCGGAGCTTGTCATGCACATACAGCACTTGATTTTATGGAAAAAATAAACCTGGCTCATGCACAAAAGGATCACATTATCATTGATGCAGTTAGTGGTCTCTTAAATATTTTAGTTACATAATGCTTTTAGCTCTGGACTTTTGTGAAGGAAACCTCCTCATATTTTTCCCGCGGTCATGCATTCTTCGATGAATGGACTGCTCTGGATAATGGAGGTACTGTTAGATGGTTTTTTTCTTGTATAAATAAAAAATATTCAGGCATTGCCGATGCTGTAGAGGGATTGGCTCGCAAGCGGGATTATACGATTCGGCAAATGCAAGACATTCATGGCCTTGTTCCAACGGTGGGTTTTTGTTTGGAAAATTCTTTGCAAAGCAAAGCGACTGAACCTTATCAAACCTCTTCAATAGTCACTTGACGCTGTGCAAACAACCTTTGTAAAGGTATTTCAAATTCTGATCTAGTATAAAAGCTATTTGCGACACATTGGTCGATTACCGCATTTGCTTAAATGTTGTTTTTCTATTTTGTTTGTTTGGTAGAGGGCTAGCAAGGTTGAATGGGTGATGAGTCATAGGCTTTTGTCTTCTCTCTATCTCTCTTTCTCTCCTGTTGGCAATCAATGTGGACGGGGCACTCGTGTGCTATTGAACAACTATCAAAGTGACTGTGAACTATGTTACCCAGTGATAATCGCTTCCGTTTCTATTTGCAAGAAGATTGTTCTAATGATTTTGTTAAAGAAATCTGCACTTCGGCTTCATCTTATCAAATTCAAAATACTGCCCCAAAAATGGGCGGGTATGAAGCTCACGCTACTGAGCCCACTTGTTCTACAAGTCATCATCTTTTGAGAAAACATTCGAATGAAGAACTAATATTTGGATCAGTTATACCAAGACGTCACAAAGATAACATGAATGCTTCACCGGGAAATCTTTACAAGTGTAATCTGACCAGTAATGGCTTACAGTATACAAGTTCAGATTTAAAGGTGAATAAGTTGAAAATTAAGAGTTAAAGACAAGATATGTCAATGAACCGATAAACAAGTAACCTGAAATCTTTGGTATATACTGTTTTTGTTATTTGATAAAACAGTTTGACCCATTTAAAGATAGTTTTTCAGGAAATGTATCAACACCCGCCCGGAATATCTCTTGACGCCGACGTCGTGATGGAGGGTTATTTATATAAACGAAGTAGCAATGCCTTCAAGACATGGAATCGAAGATGGTTTCAAATCAAGGATAATAAATTAGTATGTGTTTATTGTTAAATTTTCCATATTTATTTAGTTGTACGTGCATCGATCTGGAGACAATGCAGAGCCGACAACGATGGAAGATAATTTGATGTTATGCCTGGTTAGACCCGCCCCACCTTCAATCGACCGTTTGGGCTGTTTTGAACTAGTGACTCCAACTAGGTATGTTAAAATTGTTGATTAGAAGCTAAATAAAGTTTTATTCATGACTTTATGGCAAGTTCTAAATAATTTTTAAAATGTATGCCTAGGTTCTTAATAGCCTTTTAAAACTCACGAATATCTTTATTATGCAGCTTTTAGGTCTCATTTATTGCAAGCCGACTCCGAATCTTTGTGCAATGTGTGGATGCGTGCGCTTCAGCGAACCATATTACACCTTCACGAGTCAGACCATAGGGTAAATATTGGCGGTCATTAGTTACTTCTTATCAGACAATTTAGCCTCAAACTACATCAACCGCTTGTTCATTTGTGCCAACGGCATCAAAAGACAAGGAGCCACATGCATCTACAGCAAAGGGACTAGAAGTACATGAGACCCCCAAGTTAAACGAGGAGGTAGTTTAATACACGGTTGCATGTTATGAACATCAAATGCTTTAGCATGCAGAGCTAGTATACGAGAAAGTTCGAAGTGCACCGGGAAATCATCGCTGTGCTGATTGTGGACATGCGGATCCAAAATGGGCCTCAATTAACTTGGGCGTGGTGATATGTATAGAATGCTGCGGAATCCACAGAAGTCTGGGCGTTCAAATTTCAAAAGTTCGTTTTTTATTTTGGAGACAAATATTAGGTTGTCTTTTCGTTCCTTTTTGTACTTCCATTTAAAACCAAAAAATGCACCAATTGAACTATGGTTTTTTTTCATTAGAAAGATCAATTGTTTTTCTGCAAAATAACGTTAAAACGGATTTAAAATTTCTTATGTCTGAATTTTTTGGGAGCGTGAAGTCGGGTAGTCAAAAAGGGCGACCACTCGATGATGCGGTTTAGACACGTTAGCTAAGGAAACCTATCTTTGTGTCAATGGATAAACGATAGACGTACATAGCCAAATTTTCAGAGAAATTGATTCAGCTAATTTCTTGGTAGAGATTTTTATAGATTTTTACGAAAAACACGCTTTCACTCTCGGATTTGCTTGAAAGTGAACCCAAATTGACTTAAAAAGATGGGAAATTGAACAATAAACACCTTTTATTTAGAGCAAACCATAGGTTAATTGGTGAATTTATTACTTTCCAACGAAAGTACGAAAAGACTTTCTAGACAGCTTAATATAAACAGATTTTAAGATACGATCTTTGACAATGGATTCGATTGACGACGTTGTTACGAATGTTCTCGTTGCATTAGGAAATGATAAAGTTAACCAGATTTTGCTGGAAGGGTTACCATCCAAAAATGTCGTACCTCCACCCCGAATGAGAGTTCCCCTCGAGCGGTTGGTGTTGTTTTTCTTCCAATACTATCTGCTTTTAAAGGTACGTGAGGCGTGGATTATAGCCAAATATGTTGAACGTCGTTTCGCCGTCCATAGAATGCCACATAAAAACTTACAAAAGCGCAATAGTTCAGGAGGTATTTTGTATTGTATGTAATAAATTGTTAGCTTTTATTTTTAGTCAATCGATCAGCATCTACCGTTGACGTGGTCGCTCTTGAAAAGGCTTATGGAAATTCAACTTCGGATACTCACAGTGATGTTGACGAAAATGCAGTACATTGGAGGGGTGAAGAGACAGTTAATGATCAGTGTGTTACAGGTTTAAACGCTTAATTTTTTAAAATCTATTGTGTGTTTCAGGCTCAAAGTTGATAAACGGGGCAAAATCAGGCGACTTGCCGACGTTACTTGTTAGCTTGTTTGCTGGAGCTGATGTAAACTCGTTTGTAGATGGAACAACGCCTTTGCACATTGCAATTAAAATGGTATTTTATTTGGAGACGATTGTCTTTCCCCTAATAATATGGCGCCATATTATTTTTAACCCCTTTCACTTTGCATACTATTAGAGTTTCACATATTAATGAGTTGTTTAAATGTTCTTTTTTGCAGGGAAACGCGACTGTTGTTGAATTCTTATTACTAAATGGGGCAAAGATCACACTGGCAGATGCGCACGGTGATACAGCACTTCATATTGCTGCTCGAGAAGGGAGAACTTTGTGAGTCGATAATTTGATATAATTATCGATAATTATAAAATCGTTAGAAATCAAATATTAATTTTTAGGGAAGCATGTCTTCTAATGAAGAGAGGTGCTGATAAAGATCTGATAAATAGTCGCGGAGAAACACCGATGCAAATAGCAATTGATGGCAAACATGCGGATATTGTAACTTTGTGGGTTTAAGCATAGTAATCGTCTTCTCAGCCCAAACATAGATGCATTTGCATAAACACAAGCTACACAATGGAGATTATCTTAGATTTAGTAATTTTGATTATTTTAGGTTTCGAATCCACAAGATGCGAGATGAGCTGAGTGAAGAATTCGACAACCCAATGAACAAAACGGTAGAAGAGATTATTAACGACATTACAAAGGGTGCTACAAAAGCGGCAACGTTACGATAAAATTTGGCCATTTTTTATTTTTGAATTCTATTTCTTTTGTGCTTGCCATATTGCATATTATTACTTTAATTTTATAATTGGTGCTTTTTTTAAAAAATTGTGATTGATTCTAAATTCATTATATTTATCTTTACCGTGTTGTAAATCGATAGTTACTGCACTTAATAAATATTTTAAATTAAAACGGAAACTTTACTATGCAATAGGATTTTGGTTTGCCAGGGTTTATTTCAAAAATTGAAACCATCAGTGATTTTGCGTTTATCTAAACGAGTCGAAGCTTCTTGTCAATGTAAAATTAGGTAATCGGTATAATGTTTAGTGATGGCCAGTCCGGAGCGAATTTTGAAGGCCTTACGGGGGTTAGTGTGCGTTTATAAACCTGTCGACATTCAACTAAATAGCTTCAAGAAGGTAGGTATTCAATGTTTTGACATACTTAAATTGCATTTGCAAGTGCTTAGTTTGGATTTATCTTTTTAGACAATTTTAAATCGAATTGTCGAAGAATGCAACTTGGTTTTGCCGCAAGCTGAGCAAAAGATAATCGATTATCCACTAGTTTGTTGTTATCTACTTATGCACCAGCATTGTTTATCGCTTAGGTGGAAGAAAATGAGAATGGAGCGTTGGTGATTGTGGGAAGTAGGCGACAAAGAGATTATTGGTAGGTGTTGCAATCATTTTGATACTTTTTTTAGTTCATTTTAGTTTTGAAATTCTCTGATAATGTATGGTATATTTAGTCACGATCCTCTCGTTGTTGGCTCAAGTTTTCGTGTTGAAGACATTAGAATGGACGAATACACTTCAATGGAAGCTACTACTTCTGGTGTTTGCTTGTTTGGCATAAATGAAGGGTAATCATTTCAACGCTTATGTTATTTCTAATATGATTTTAGATGTGATTTATTGCCACAGATTCGAGATAATGCATGGTCTTCCACTTACCGCTTAGAGGGGACTTTGGGGAAGAAAACTCGAGAAAATCTGGCAAGCTTTTAAGTCTCTACTTTCAAAGTTTTTTCTATTTTGAAATAGTTCGTGATACTATTTGTAGAAATTCGATAAGGCTTGTTTATACAAAATTTTAGATTAAAGGAAGGGTAACAGAAACTGCCGAATTTGAATCTATCAGCCGAGGGAAAGTTCAGAAACTATTTGGCAAAGTAACTGTTTTTAAAATTTTGGTATACTAAAAGCTAATAGATTCTCTCAAATTTTCGCCGTCTTTCCTTTGAATTGAGCGGAATCGATCCTCAAAGTGAAACGGTTTTTGAACTGGCAAGACGCGGAATTCCAAGGCCTTCTGTACCTGGCCAATTAGTGAGTGTTTTTATAGTTTATAACTTTAAGATTTCAAATTTAGCTGATGCATCGACTAGAGCTTGTCATTTGGAAACCTCCATACTTTGCAATTGAGGTTTCAAATACTGCAACAAATTTGACAATTTTAATGACTTTAGTTAAGCTGCTCTGGAGAAACCGATGCCACACTGAGAAATTTCGTGAATGAAATTGGTCTTTCCTTGGGAACTTTGGCTTCTCCGGTTCGATTGACAAGACGAGGAATTGGACGATTTCAGGCAGAAAATGCTCTACTAAGCAAACAACTGAATTTGCAAAATTTTGTGAGTGAACTGTATACAAATACTGTTAGGTATTTTTAAAAGAACGACAATTGAGTTTTGTAGGTTCGAAATATTGCGTTGAATCACGAAATCCTCCTAAATCATCGTCGTAATACGTCACCGATTTTTGAGGAAACAAAACCGAAGGAACTAGAAAGGAAAGTATGTCATTTTTTAACGAAAAATATTTCAAGTACAAATAAGTGCATCACTGTTTAAAACTTCGCAACTTTAGGTGATCGATGCTATTGGTCTTCGAAGTCAGAGCGAGCCCTTGGATGCCATGAAGCCTTATTGGAAACGCGAGTACAATTAAGCACTTTGTCGGCTTTACTTTGAAGTTTCAATAAATGTGCATAGTCGGTGAACGAACATCAAGATTTACATAACGAATATTAAAATTTGCATTCACACTAAATTAACATATGAATGAAAAGAGGGATTTTCTATGCCGCTTCGTTTTCATTCACATTTTATTTTCTGCGTCAATTGGTCACGCTGACAATTTCAACGATGGAACGCCGGCAATCTTCGTAAGTTTTTGCATTTGTTTAAGTTTACCTAAATATCAATCGTTATGTTGCTGTGCACATAACAATCGAGAAGTTGAAAGCAGTTAGAGATAAGCATGTTTAGTATACCTACAATGTAACCACACTTTGTTAACGATACAAATAAATGAAAGGATGTGATTTCATATCTTTACATATCATTTCTTTAGAAAAGAGAAACGACCTCGCCGAGAAGCTTCCAAGACCGCTTTGGAGCTAATCACGAAAATTGCAAGAGCCGAACTTCGTCTGCCAATGATTAAACGTGAGTTGTTACTTCTGTGATATTTATGTTTTTATTTAGATGGTAGGAGAATGCGTCGAATCGGCTCAAATGTTGCTGTTAGTACTGAGGCAATCGTGGAACCCGCGAGAAATGGAGAGGATGAACGCGAGGAAATCATCAATACACCGATTCATCGACATCAAGTAGTTTAGACAGATTTTTATTTGAATTCCTTACATTTAGATAAGTCCAAAACAAGCCAAAGTTTTGTCCATCTTTCAAGAGGTTAACATTTTGATAAATTTGCATGCACCTTCAAGCTTTTAGGATCCAAATTCTCCCCAAAAAGCTACAATCAATCAAGCTGAAAGAAAATTCGATTATGATCTCGTTGATGATGTAAGTTTCTTTGTGTTTAAATGCTCATCTCAACTGTTTAATTTAGTATGATGTCACATCGAAGGCCGAAGTTGTTCAAGAAAGTGCTGAGCTTCAAAATGACAAGAAAGAGGTTACTTCGAAAAGGATTCAACATAGGTATGTAAACGTGTTAAACATTTATAATTTGATGTTTTGTATAGAGAAATTCGTCGTGGACGTATCACCGAAGTTAAAGTTGGACCTTGGACATTCTCGCTCTTCGATATGATGCAGTAAAGGGAAAATTGAAGATTTGAAGATATAAACATTTGATGTGACCAAAATAAAAGTTTATTTTCGGGAATAAATACTATGTTTGCACAAGAAATGAAATTGAATCAAGAGGTTTTTTTGGTATTATTTTTGGTGGTGCTCTGATCAGGCATCTGGGTTGTCCAGGTAGATACTCCAATAGGCAATATTGAACATGAAAAAAGCCAAAGGAAATATGATTCTGTAAATTGTGTAAGCTAGTTATTATCCTTTTCATTTTTCACTCATTTTCTCGTAGCACAAACCTCGCAATGATATCAATCCGCTCAGCTCTTCCTCTTGATGACAAAACACTACACCATCTAACCAATTCAACCCGTTTCCTTTGACCGAAAAATACCAAATCGGTTGTGTCCTGTAAAGTGGTTTTAGGTTAAAATCAAAAATTTCAACTTTTCGAATAACTTTTCGAATAACTTTTTCAAATAATTCAGCCACTTCACCTGAAATGTCCATCCTTCAGGGCCGGTGACTGCTGCTTGTGGTGGTCTTCGCTCAGACAACTCGATTCCATCAGCAAACCCTGAGAATGTGAAAAATTTACTGATTTACAAATGATACTGTTTTTGAATTCTTTGAATTTCCAAACCTTCCTCTTCTTCGCGTAACTCAAAACTTTTGCGACGTTTCCGACGGAGAAGTCGCTGAATTGAATGAGAATTAATTTGCCTCTTAAAAATCCCTTTTTTTTTACCGTTTTTTTTTTCAGATGACTTAAACATGAATGTTTACAATTACAAATTTCTAGAGCATGTATTGACGAGTACCTTTTTCTCTTGTGGACTAAACCCTCCACTCGTTGGACTCGAGATGAGTTGCTCACAATTTTGCATAAACATTTCATTGTCGAGCACATTCGAGAGACGACTCCGATTACAGGCAGCTTTTCGCATTTGACTAAAATTTGTTTTTGGTTGGCACATGATTATAATACTATCTACCGTAAATACTGTAATAGTACCCCACCCCCATAATGACGGTGCGGAGTGTTGCGTAGTCTAGCTTTGAACGAGTTTTTCTCGACACTGATTTATGCTACAATGCGCGCTTAGGTATCAAAAAATAGCCCTGAATTTCAGCTATTTTTCGATACCAAAGACGCATTTTTGAAAGTACGGGCGCTTTGAAAAAAATGGAATACTAAAAAACCTTTGCGACTACGCGACTGTACGAGGGGGGTGGGGTACTATTACAGTATTTACGGTAAGCAAAAATGAGATTTTTGTTACGCTGTGGTCCTCTGGTAAATTAAAAAAGGCACAATAAAAACAAGACAAACCGGTGTTCATCGACGATTCCCATATAGTTCACAATCGCATATTCGATCAACGAGAAGAAAATGAAAACTGTAGTTATGTTGTTTTTTCCCCTGCAAATTTCCCACTCACCAACACAGGCTCCCACCCAGATATCAAGGGATTTTGCATAGGAAACGGGCGGAAGGTTTGAGTTGATTGCTGAAAATGATAAATGCATCTGATTCTCGTGAGCAGAGCATAGACACGTTTTTAGAAAACCCGAGGAACACACTCTAATCGTAGCTTGATGCTTGAGAGAAATTAAAGCGAGTCAGGCTTCATAAGGCTAGACATGGGAAAATTCCAACCCAAACCCAATTCCATCGTCGTTTTCTCGGCCTTTCCTAGTCCGATTGCTCTGAAATTTTGTCTACAAGCTGAAAATGTCGATTTCTATCTGTAGACAAAATTTCAGAGCAATCGGCCGAGAAAATGAAGGTGGAATTAGGTTCGGGTTGGAATTTTCCTTTGTCTACATAAGACACACCATGCGATGTGGTGATCATTGAGAGAAGCGTGATGATTGCGAGTGGAACACGGGCAGCCGTCGATTTCCAATCAATCCAATATGACACCCAGGCCACTCCGACCAACCTGAACATTTGATGGAAATCTAGCTGAAGATTTAGATTTAATTAGACGCATACATTGATGAGGGAATGTAGAGCTGAAGGAGGAAAAATGAGAAGACCCGTGACAGGCGAAGCTCCACTCGAAGACACGAGTAGTTGCCTGGGAAAAATTGATGTTAAGAAGGTTTGTTTGTGGATATCAAACATTATCAAATTTAAATCTGCTATTAAATCTTGATTCAATTCAAAACTTTCGTAAGAATGGCTAGTTTTTGAAACTTTTATGCAAGAATTTGATTAGCCAGTTTAGTTTTGAGTATCAAGAAGCACAAATTGCCCGCTGAGACAATGAAAGAGACATTTTTGTTGGATGAATTTGGTATTTGACTTATTGCTATATAGCTACCGTATACCGGTGCCTATAAGCTTCAGCTTGCATACAATGTCTAAAGGAAAATAATTCAGTCAATCTTTTGTTTCCATTGAAGAACTCAAAGAGAGTAGGGTTTACAGATTTAGATTCGCCAACTCACCGGTGTTTGTTTGTGAATGGCAAGTCGAATTCGAGTAGGAGGTAATATCGAAATTCGGCAATGCTCCATTCGCTCCTTCGTGCAGCCTGAAAAAAAAAGAGAAATTGTACGCAAAGCTTTTAGGTTTTCGAAGGCGTCTTTTAAGTTCAAATTCGGTTTTCTTATTACAATAATGCTTTATGTTTCGGGAAATAAGTTTGCCATGAAGTGTAGAAAGATCTGAAGGCAAAATGCTCGTATTGACTTGAAGGGAATTTGATTTTTGTGTAGAATCTAGGTCTCTTGAATCCGTTGAGTTCCCCTTTAGAAGCTTATATAGAAGCTGAATTATTCTCATTTCAGGATTACCCAGCGCTGATCAAGGCTGTTTCAAAAAGCCATAAAAAAACCATTGATTTGCAAAAAAGCATTTGCAAAAATTATTTGAAAGAAAAAAGAAAAAACAATAAGTGTTATATATCATTTTAATGCTCTTGATTTCCTCTTTTAAATGATATAAAAAATAATTTTAGTTTTCTATAGTTTTATAGTTTTTGATGGCTCTGAAAAGTACTCAAATTAGGCCGTTTTTTAAACGTTTTATATTTTTCCTCGCCTTTTCAGAGCCATCAAAAACTACAAAAGTATAGAAAAGTAAACTTTTTTTTATATCACTTAAAAGAGGAAATCAAGAGCATTAAAATTATATAAAACACTTATTGTTTTGCTTTTTTCTTTCAATTTATTTTTGCAAGTGATTTTCAATGGCTTTTAAATTAAAACAGCCTTGGCGCTAATAAACTGTTTTTTTTTTCAAAACTAAACTAAACTAAGCTAGCTAAACTAGCTAAACTTACTGTATCGGTGGGGAATCCCATTCGTATTGAATGTCCTGTGTTGTGTAAGCATCTAAAACATCGATTTAAACTAAAAACTCTGTAAAATACTGGGAATGTAGAAGCTTTTCTATAAACTGACAACTTGCAAAATCGACGACACAATTTTGCACGTCCATCGGGTATCGAACGAGCGACATTGAGCAGGAAAGATGAAGGGTTAAACGGCGATCATAGAAAAGACGACCGTCCGAGCGAATCTTCACAAAACGGTTCTCCTGAAAGAATGCCAAGAGTTGAATCTCTTTTAGTGATATCGCCAAAGTTTTGAGTCTAATGCTAGTGGGTAACTGATATTTGATACTTCATATCAAGCATTACTTTATATCTTTTTGGTGTACTCGATTTCACCCACCAATGTCAACTACAACTTCAAGATTCAAAAAGAACTTCCTAAAGAATTTTTCTTAAACCTTGACTTAAACTCGAACCTAGTCGAATCTAAATCACTGAATAATTTTGAATTGCCGTACTTTTTGGACAGTTTTCACTTTAGCTTCGAATTCAGGCAATTTAGGACCAATTTCGTCAAACAGATCCCAATAACATTCATAATTATTCAAATTAAAAACCAGTTTTTGAAATCTCCGGATTAAGTGGTTGAATTGCACCCGATCATCTCCGCGCCTATCCCCTCAACCCACCTGATCCAAATCATGATACCATCCATTGCGTTCATTTTGGAAGAACGTGTCTGGTATCCATAAACGTTGATCTCTATAAATGAAAATTGAGAAAAGAAGCTTTTGGAAAGGAATTTTTTTGCGAAAAGGCATTAGATTTATCCTTAAATTTCTCTCAAACCCAACCTGGCCACATTGATGAATTCCTCTCGACGATAGTTCCCATTCGACATGCTGTTCGTTCTGGAAAATCCCATTTTCAAAGAATATAAGAATGCAGAGTATAAATAAAGCTTCGATTTAAAGAATTCCCAAAGCTAGCTGATTTCCCGAACCTTTTACTCGAATCTTCCGGTTCTGGCTCAGTGAATCTCAATCGATCGTCGTACCATTCTTGTCGAAAACGAAACTGAGCCACGAATTCCTGAAAGGGAATTTCTTGAATAAGCTAAAAATAAAAAGAATAAACCATATTTTTCTCAGAGACAGCTGAAATTGAGCGAATGTTGAGACTGGTGGTCACGATGACTGGACCCTCTAGAAATTTGAGTTTATTAATGCTTTTCATTTCAATTTTCTATATTATTTTTGATCTATTCTATATTTCTTTATATTCATTTTATATTTTACATAAAGTAGTTGCTAGAATAGTGTACCGAACCTATTTGCACCAGTGATCAGATACAATTCGAGTTAAAGCAACTCAAAACCTTTATAGCTATTTGATAGGTTCTTTGACTTTAGACGACTTGAGAAGCTTTAAAGGGTTATTCGGCTACCTTAACCCGGTAGTTTCTACCGTAACATTGACTAACTTGGAGCTGGAGAATGAGAGCAAGGCCAGGCTATGGTAGTTGAGGCATGCTTTAGAGCGCCTACCCGAGTCGCCTTCGAAAAGTTCGCAAGTCTTTGATCTAGTATCCGATTCGAAATCCATTAGCATCGATTCAAGACAAATTGACTAGGCTTATTACTACTTTTGTAATTTTTATGGTACATTGTTTGCATTGGGAAATCTAGACTAAAAGAAAACAAACTCGTATTTCCATTGAGTGGTGATCGGCCGCTCGGTCTGACAGCTGGATCATATTCATCAAGGAGATCACAAACTGTCATCTGTTCTCTCCATGCTTGATAGTTTGTTGTGTGTCGATTGAAAGCTGTCCTTTTGCTAAAAAATATGATTTACATCGAGTATTACGGTAGTTTTCACAACATTATCAACGCTACAATCAATGACTAATTGTAGTGCGATTTTTTAGGATCAATTTAGGTGAATGTTTCTATTGCAAATCTATTTCTTATGTTAATTATTAAAGCTTTTCAGAATTTCCTCAACTTTTCCAAAGAAAAGCCTCAAAAACGTTTAGAAATTTGCATTGGTGATTTGTGTGTGAAAGGAATTTTAGAGAAAGAAATTTTAGAGAAAAGAATTTTTAAGTCACCAATTTTTTTTCTGAAAAAAATTGATGACGGTTAATGTTTAATTTTCGTAAAGATCCTTTCCGAACTCACCACGATTTAGTTTTGTGTCTTTTCGGATCGACGAATGTGATGAGATGAGAAAAGAAAAGAAAATGAATGATGAGCGAAAGAAAAGAATTGAACGGAGACGATGATGATGATGATCTCATCTCGGTTTTTGTCTCATTTCATTCATCAGTGATCATCGATTGTTGATGAGATTTACATGAGATGACATCACTGAAAGAAGATTTTCAATTTGAGGAGACGGGCATGGAGAGGTGGAATTGTTGGGATCAAGAGAATGGGAAAGAAAAAAGGAAACCCTACTCATCTTGATCTTACAGTCAGAGATTGCAAGGGTAACCCGCGCAAGAAATTTTAGCAAATATTGGGTTGGTGAATTGAAAACTGCGGGCTATTGTCATATGTGACAGTTTGAGCACTTTCTTCAAAAGAAACCCATTTTGGTGTCAATGGAAAAGTTGTAGAGAATCAAAAATCAAGCTTATATCCAAATTTTTAGAACGATTCAAAAACTGGTTTTCAAGAAATGCGAAATTTACGAATTTTCACAAAACTTGCATTTTAAGCGAAACTACTAAGTGTATCTTTTTGGAAATTTGGATATAAGCTTGATTTTTGATTCTCTACAACTTTTCTATTGACACCAAAATGGGTTTCTTTTGAAGAAAGTGCTCAAACTGGGACATCTCCAGTCCTCCATTTTTGAGTGTCACACTTGTCTCACACACAAACCAAAATTCTACTACGAAAGAGGAATCCGCAAATTGCCTGTAAAATGGGCACAAGTCGTCAATAATAATGGTAATTATTTGGAAGGAATTTATGGTTTTATGTTGAATAAATTTTAGTTCAAAGTCCCGCAGTTTTCAATTCACCAACCTAATAGCAATGTTGCAAATGTTGAGAATGTGCAAGCTGGTTTAGGGACATTTTGGGTAAGTGGAAGTGCTTCTACGGGTCAATTCATCATTCAAAAATCAAAAACTAGGATCTTTTTATGAAAATTGATGTATTCAGGCGTCAATTACGTGTGCCAGATGCCTCTTTTTTACAAGCAATGTGGAAAAAAAGCACATAATAGCTATCACGATGGTTTTCACGCAGAATAATCGCAATGCTATTTTAAAAATTGAAAAAGGGTTCAAAGTTACATTTTGCTGTGAAGTTTCAAAAGTTTTGGTCGGGATATTAATGAGAAATGGTCGGTCTATGCCACGAAAAGATATAAAAATCAGAAACTAGGTAAAAGGAGTAAAATCTTTTGATACCTAGGTGATAAAGGGATTCGGGAAAAGGGGAGCAAAAGCGGGGGCAAATCCGTGCAGAGTGCGAGGAGGGGGACTCCTCCACCCTCCACCGCTCCCCTCCTCTCCATATAGAGGACCTCCACTCCATACACAACACGGCACTCTCTTTCTTCTCTCTTTTATTTCTTTCATCGAAATCTTTTCTTTTCACTTCTATCACCATCCCCTCTTTTCAAAGAAGATCTCCTAATCGTGTTTCGTCGGCACTTTTCTCGCTGCTTCTTTCCTTCTCCTTTCTTTTCATTGCCAGATTTAGAAAAGTAGATGAATCTCTGGTGGAAAAATTGACAAATCGATTGTTTACAGGTTTTCAAACCTCTCGGCAAACGGGTCAAATGCATCTATTTCAGAAAGCCACCATAATCGAACTGCCAGTTTTCATTCGATTGGTATCATTTGATGAGGCTAAGCTAATGATATCAAAATTGGGCTGATCCAATGAAACTGGCGGTTTGATTAGGATAGCTTTCGAAAATTGATCGGCGATTTTTAGAAAACGCTCGAAAGTCCAAAATAGCTCAGGTCTATTGCAAATCATAATCAAGACAAGATTCAACACTAAAAGAAGATCTTGAAAGGTCTGGTAAGACCAGGCTGAATTTTTTAACCTAACAATCATTGACCTAAAGAAAGTTTCAGAAAAAAAAAGAGAAAATCAAATCAAAAACTAATTCTGCTGAATGGAAACTTTGTCCTTTCGAAGAATAAAAAAAGGAAAGGAAAAGGGGTCCTCTCGAGCGTCGAGAGGAAAAGGAAATCGCATGAAAAATTTATTGGCCGCTTTTCGATTTGTGCCCCGCTTTTTTGCCTGAAAGAAACCCTTTTCCATTCTTGGGTATTACACCTGGAAAGTGATTATAAAGTTAGATTTGGTTTTGAGAGAAGGTGAAATTAGAAATGACGATCTGTAGAACGAAAGCACTGGAGTTTTAGAGACGCGCAAGATTTGAAAATGGGTTTTATCAGTCAGCATAATACTCATCGATCGTTACAAATTTCGAGTCAATCAAGGAAGCTTTTTCGAATCATTTCTGCAACTGTAAGAATTCAGCCAAAGCACCAAAACAACACGTTGAAATATTTTTGGAGAGAAATTTTTCAATGAATGGAAAAAATGGGGGAAGTTGAGTGGAAAAATGGACAAAGGGAAAAGCAGGAGTGGTGCCGAAAATGGGGCCATTTCTTGAAATGGAGGGAAAGGGGTCTAAAGAGGAGTCTCCAGGTGAGGGCAGGGTCATGCTTTGTATTTTGACATCATTCTTGAGTTCCCTATTGAATAAGTTCAAGGCTTTTTTACTCGTTCGTGTTAAGACATTTGTTGTTGTTGTTGTTGGAAACGTTTTCAAGCTCGATTAAGATTACATTTTGCATCCAGAGTTTTGGGCGAAATGAGTCAACTCCAATCTGGTACACCTTTGACTTTTATGCGAAACTGATGTCGGATTCGGGTTCGTCGCCGTTAAAACCCTGGTTACAGCCCGTTAGTTAGAAATTTTTCAGCCTTAAACAAATGCTAGATACCGCACGATTCATGGGTCATAGGTAGATCGTGTTAAACGATTAGAATTTGAAAGTTAAACGATTAGAATACGACATGATCTATTCGCTCAATAATGCTACAATTTAGTATCAGAATCGGGAGTATATTCAATTTGATATCAGAATGACAAGACAATTTGATATCAGAATGTGGGATGAAAATCAGTTAAAGTTTGCCAATAGTTCGCCAATCGCCTTTTCGTTTACCCGTCCGCCAAAACTAAAAGCATTTCGAATAAAATTAGGCATTAAAGATAAACCAATTTAAAGACCAATTAAAGATAAACCAAAAAACAAATACTATGCAACTTATGAAAAGCTATAGAAGGAAAGAAAAATCGATTTCTTGTCTCAATGAGGGCACGAGACGAAGGACAAGAGCTCTTGAGCACGCAATTTCTTGCAAATTGTAAATTGTCTTACTTGTTTTATGATAAATGAAACCTTACAATGAAAATGCGTTTAAGAAATTAGTAATAAAATTTGAGGAATTGTGAGCAAAAAAAAAGAGGAAAGTGATAGAGGAGAGGAAAGAGTGAGAAAAGAGAGATCTCAAGCCAAGCTCGACGACGCACAGATCTCAAATTTCAAAACGCCACCCAAAAGAACCACTTTTTTTTACGTTTTACATTTGAAAAAGTTCAAAAGATTATTATGAATTGGTCTTTTAGAAAACGAAAGGATCACACTCTGAACAAACTAAACTATCCTTTAACTATCGTAATCGTAAAGTGTGCTTAGATCACAACTTTTGGCTCAAGTCTTTACAAAAACTGCACTTAATGAATTAGTCAAAGAATCTTGCAGATTTTGATCTCACAACAAAGCTCGTCGCTTCTTGAACGAGCTTTCCATCAGATTTTATCTGATTTACTTAATGATGATCACATTCGATGAAGAATCAAACTGTGAATGGAATAAGATCAAAATTAAGTCTTTGTGCTTTCATAAACGTGTGGCTTCTGGCAGATTTCGAAAATTTTAACTAACAAGGCTTGGTATTCGAGTTCGAGGATACAAAACAAGAAAGCAATTCAAGAAATAGAGTATGTAGAAAAAATGATGGATGGTTAAAATCGGGAAGGCAAAAGAGTTGTCCTTTTTGTAACGAAGCTCATTACAACAGCTTTCTCCCCTTTTTTTTCCACGATTATGAGTGATGAGAGCTGGGGGAAGAGTAGAGAAAACAAAAGATTTCATTGGCAATAAAACAGATGATTTGAATGCATGAGATGTATGGATTTGAATGCAATCATAGACGATTCAATTGCAATCGTTTTTACTTACAATACTTAGTGATTTTCTTAATAAATTATGTATGTATCGAAAGCCTGACGGTCAACCTGGTTATTTTAAAGATTTTGGCAAGTTTTTTTTTGTTTTGATTTTTGTGATTACAGTACTGAAATTGAGCTAAATTATGGATTCATCTAAAAGGTGGGTATTTTTGTTTCAAGTGAAGTCAGAAGATGTCCTTTGTTGAAATCCCAGAAATGTCCAAAATGCCTTGATCAGAGCCAAGATCTGTCTTGGTTGACAAGACCAAGGTCTGACCAAAATGCCTTGTTCTGCGGAAAGGATGCCACTTTTTAGGAAGCAAGTTACGTTTGTTCACAAACATTGTTTTCTCATCACATCCACCATTTAGCAAGTAGAACTTGTTTCCTAAAACGTGACATCTGGTTTGCAGACCGGACTAGAGCCATTTTTAGCCATCTTTTGGCCATCTTTTGTCTCAAAAATCTCTAGAGAAATTCGATAAAGAAAGTGACTCGTTGCCCATGTGTGGTAAGTATTCAGTTGATAAGGGTGAATATTTTATGATTCCTCAGTTAAAGCCAAAACTTGTTTACCCGTGATAAACGTTTCACTTTTTTCTGCATTATTGTCTGGTTTTTTTTTTCAATGTTTCGTGCTTTCATTTCAAATAATGCATTTACTCCCGTCGACTACAACAACGACATTTCATTCAATTATCAGTAAACGAAGAGATGGAAAGGAGCGAAATTTGTGCTAAATTACCCCATCAGCGTAGGCTAAAAGATTAGCGTTTTTTTTTTCATTTTCTACTAAAATTCTATGAAGGCATCGTATATTTCTTGTTGATCAAAGACACATTATTTACCCGTCAGAAATCAAATGGACACTCGAAAAGACGTTTTTCTCGTGCCCCTCAATTTGCATTCAATTTAGCCGACGTGAAAGAAAAGAAGGGTAAAAGTTTTTGGGGTAAAAGAAGACGAAGAATAGAATTTGAACGCCATAAATGTGTTTTTTTGAATTTATTCTCTTTACTTTTACGAATAATCAACAAAACGTTATGCTCCTCTCGGCTACGTTTTCTAAAAAGCAATTCTTTTTACCGTAATCAGCTTGTCAGTTTACATTCGATTAGCTCAATTTTGGTTTCATTGAGTGAGTCTTTTGATTCCTCATTCAATAATACAAAGATTGAGCTAGTTGGATGAAAATAAACAGCTTGATTATGGCAGGTTCTTAAAGGTCTTTTAGAAAACGAAAGGAACACATTCTGAACAAGCCAAACAAGCAACAATCCTTTGACTATCATAATCGTAAAGTGTGCTTGGATCACAACTTTTGGCTTAAGTCTTTACAAAAACTGCACTTAATAGAACAAAAACTGGACTGGAGTTAGGTAAAGAACCTTCAGTTGATTTAGTAAGACTAAAGAAACTTCTTTAGAGACAACAAATTGTGCAAATTATCAGGCGAATTCTAACAAACAAGAAGAAAATTCTCTTTACCCGACAATCTGCCCTTTTTTTCATTTCGCTTGATCTTCCGATTCCTAGTGAGCCTCACCCACGCTAACTCCCAAAGAATCCATTTTTCCTTTCTCAATCCATCAACGTTCTTTTTTTTCCAAACTTTCCCCCTCTATATTTTCTCACCCAAAAAGTTATTTGTTGGGGAAATCGAGCGGAAATCAGTCCTCCCCACGCACCAAATATTCATTTGCTCCACAAATTTTTGCACTTCAACTTTGTTGAGTACTTTTAAAACAATCTCTTATATCTTAAATCTAGATCGATCTTCATTTTGGAAACCATTCAACGTAACGCGAATTTCGTCACATAATCCATTTGAAAATAATCAACTTTTATCGGACTCTCACGCGAATATTGGAATCGTTTTTGTCGAGTTTAGGTGTTTTTATCAAATTTCTCCTTCGTTGTTAAACATTTTTTTTGGTTTAATGATTATTCATTCGAAATCCTCATTCTTGACTAACCTTCAGCTCGCTTCAGGGATTATTTCACGAAATGCGAGCCGCACAAAAATGTTTTTTGACCATTTCTCCCGCTTCGAGCTTTGAGACGTTGTAATTTTTTATTCTAGGATTTGACAATTTCAATTACAAAATCAATGTCCATATCTAGAATTGGTGAACAAGTGATTTTTGGTCATTTTTGGCTCAGCGATTAGCCAGAAACACGAATTCTATGCGCCACTTGACCCAAGATTACAATTTATTCACAAAAAAAGCTAATGTCAATCGGATAGAGGAGATAAAATTAACTAAATAAAATAGAACTAAGGTGCAATGCGTACAAGATTTTGGTCAAGTAGTTAGCAGTCTTGACTAGCGTTCCAAAGGGTAATGGTTCCGGAAAAAGGCTCCGGACTTACAGTCTTTTACTGTATATTTCCATTCTCCAGATATCATTTGCCTATTCGGAAGCCATTGTTGTCCCCTTATCCACCCACGCTCCCCAGAGACAATCCATCTGCATTGTCAAAGCGTCCAACATTCCCGGGTTTCTCTCAAAGTCAAAACGAATATATTTTCCATTCTCGGGTCACACCCATTGTCGATAAATCATTCTTCTCGATATTTTTGGTCTTCTCCTTCTTTTCCTTTCTTTTTTCCAATCTTCCATTCATCAAAAAGTGCCCTCTTTCTCCAAAACTTCTCCATTTTTTTTGTTCAAATTCTCGAATCCTTCAGAATCCTTCCTTTCGCTCAGAAATCTCACGTCACCCCCTATTTTGCATATAAAACTTGTGATCATTATTTGAATCCTTGAGCTTAGCAATAAAAATAAGATCTAAATAATGTCATAAAGCTTGAAAACTTAAGATGACATCCGTCCCTGTCTCGTTACAATATGCTTCAATTAAAGGATAAAGTAGAATTTAAAGAGTTTGAAAGTTATTCAGTCTAAGTGACTGCCCCCCCCCCCCCCCCTCCCTCCCCCTCCCCCCCCCCCCCCCCCCCCCCCCCCCCCCCCCCCTCCCCCCCCCCCCCCCCCCCTACCTTTCTATAGCTTTCTGCTAAGCCTTACTGGAATGAGACTATAGTAATTTTAAAAGCATTGAGCTCAAATAGATTGAAAACTGTAGATATTGCTGAAATAAAACTCAAAATGAATTCAAAGTTTATTCGGCTTTCTCTCTTTCTCTTCCTTTGCGCTTTCAAAATATTTAATTCTTTTCAATTGCCCAATCCAGAAATGCGTCTCATCACCTCATCTCGATCAATTTTCACGTCCATTTTCTTCTTGGTCATCATTTTGTTGATTAGTTCGATTCAGTCGTATCGATATGATTTCCCTGAACAGGTTCGTTTCAGAAGAAAATAGACTTTTGTAAGGTTAAAACAAAACAAACAAAAGTAGATAGATATATTTAAATAACCTCAATTCAGGATTTGCAAGCGGCTCTCCGACCGTATTCGAACTTCGGCAAACGATCCGGATTCTACACCCTGAACAAGTGAGGGCTTACAAATCATATAAACCTACCAAAATTGGGACCAAACTTTGTACACCAAATATCCCGCGTCACAGAGCTCTTCCGGAAAAGTTAAAACCGGATTCGCAATCAGCGTAAAAAAACTCTATCAGATAGGCTTGGTCTCATTCGAAAAGCCTACAGCGAAAAGCCCGAAAAGCCTTGACAACATTCCCTAGTTAGCTCAATTTTAAAATAAAAGTTTGATGGTTCTAATTTTCTAAAGAACTCCATAAATACTCCATAAATTTTCTAGACATTTCAACTATCGAACGTGGAAACGACCGGATGCCTCATGGTCGATTACAGATTAAAAACGGAAACAAAAAGTAACGATTGAATGTGAAAGTTGAATCAACGCATTGAATTTGATCCTAAATAAATACCATTTTGTTTTCGGAAAGCGTCATAAATCAAAAGACACAGGAGAAAAACGGGGTTTTCAAAAAAATGATTATGAATATTCTAAAAAAAGTTTAAGTAATAGGGATTTTAAAGTTATTTTAATGCACTTTCTAAAAGGCAGCTGTTTGAGAAAAATAAAACTAAATAAAACGTAACTAAACTGCCATAACTAAACGTAACTAAACTGCTAAACTGATATTCGATATCAAATAAAAAATTGATTACACAATTTTTCTAAATTTCTCTAGAACCTAAATTTGTCTAGAATCTAAATTTGTCTAAAGAGTTTTATCATTTTGAACTTTGTTATTTGAGTAATAGATGGTAAAAATTTGACTACAATAGTATTTTAAATATTTAGAAAACGCGGTTTAATGCTAAGATGCTTGATGAAGGAGATTTATAATGATACTTTATTCAGATGATAAAGTGAAACCCAATAAATCATAGAGATGCAATAATAATAATGCATAATGCAACAACAACAGATAATGCAAAGCGGGTCATAAATGTAGAGATAAAAGAAAGGTACGAAGATACAAGATAGAGTGAAAATGCAAATAATCAGATGCAAATAATCGGATTACGAGAGAGAGCCGTTAGATCTGCGCTAGCTCTATTTGTTTCTTGAAAATGGAAAGTGACTGAATTTCTCGTATGTATATTTATATATTTTCTTGTATGTAAAGTATGGTTAAAGAGAGCACGAACTCAGCTTTCTAATGGTATATAACATTACGCACTTTATTTCAAAAGAACGCCCCGCCGGCCTCTCCCTCCCCCTCCCCCCCTCTAAAATTAAATCCCCGTACCCCAAAGAGCCAGAAAAAAACACTAAATAACCCCAAAGGCAAGGGACGCAAAGGACGATCCTTTCTAAATCAAGATATTTATTGTCCATGTATTATAAGGCACAGAGCATACTTTATTGAGAAAAATATACCCAAATAATAAACAATACAAAACGCTCATTTATTTCCGGGCAACCTAATAATTTGGGAGCAAGTTCCATAACCTAGCGACTCTAACGGGAAATGAGTTTGATAAAGAAGCGCTAAACGCAAAGGGAATCTGCAAAAGGAATGAACCACTTCTGGACTCTGACCTCGGGTTAAATTTTAAATTTCCATTATATAATATTCACCAGATCTTCCCTCAAAACGTCCCGCAAAACATTTGTGGATATAACATTAGTAATCCTTGGTTGGACTTAAATATTGAAATCTCTAGATCCGATTATACTCTTTCGAAACAGTTGTCAGTTTTGGTGAACTTCGCTCTTTCATTTGTGGGAGTGGGCCCGCTTCTCCCGATCACATGGATCCCCTTCGCCATTTCCCCTCTTTCCTTTCCTTTCTTCCCACTTTCCTTTCTTTCTTTCCCACTCTACTTTCCCCTACTCTCCTCATTTCCCCATTCTTTACTCAGTTTTCTTTTCCTTTTCCTCTTTTATTTCCGAGTCCATCCAAATCAATTCCCACACAAAATACCCGTCTTTTTCCTCGTTGCACCCAAAAGCACTCAATTTCTTCGGCGAGTTTTCTTTCATAATTTCGATATTACTGTTATACTTTAAAATTTGACTTTTTTTGATAATATTTCTCAGTTATCCCCTTCAAAAGTCTACTTCCATTTCTATACTTGAGACTTTTCTTTAAAATGCTCAGCATCCATTCCTCGAAACTTTGCGTCTCTTAAATCTGTCACCATTTAAAATCTAAACCTTTTACCTTTTAAGTATACCTAAAAATATTTAATTTTTCAAAAATGATGAAATTTTTTGTTTTTGTTGACTCAGAACGCTTCAGGTGGTCTCTTTTTACTTTTATCGGAAATTTCTGGAAGTGGGAAACTTTTTCGTTGTTTACCCCGCGGAAACCTTCAGGGCTTTTTGGAAAGATTTTTCATTGAAAAATCATGCAATTCACAACGACATCAATCACATGGAAATGGATAAATCGGGGAGAAGAAATGAAAGAAATGGGAAGGTCAAAGAGCACGTGGAGGAAGGGGAAACGGTGGTGATAAAGGGGAGAGGGTGTCATTGACAATCAAGAGTCCCAATCTCTTCTTTTCATTTCATTTCATTTCATTTCTTTATATTTATTTGCATTATACGCTTATTTGTATCCTTTTTTGATGTACATTGATGTACATTGATTATTGACATTGACAGTGAATTACATTGATGTACATTGATGTACATTGATTATTGACATTGACAGTGAATTACATTGATGTACATTGATGTACATTGATTATTGACATTGACAGTGAATTACATTGATGTACATTGATGTACATTGATTATTGACATTGACAGTGATGTACATTGATTTTAAGATCTTTAGCCGAGTGATTCATTTATTTAAGAATTTTAGAATAATGCACTCTCGAACTTTCTTGAAAATCAGTTTTCTTTTGAATCCTTAAAGCTTAAGCTCAAAGCAGTCGTCTATTAAATCCGAATCCTTATATTAATAACAAATCGTTTTAAACATCATCTTGAAAAAGTTATGGGATCAAAATTTGAGGATAAAAGCATGAGAATCTGAAACACATTGGAATAAAAATTCATTTTAAAATCGGTCTCCATGTAAATTTATTAGAAAATTAATTTCTTATACTCAAATTTCAAGGATGCTCACATCCAGTGATTGATGAAAGAGCCAAGAAAGACAACAAATATTTCCTTGTCATTTGTGGTTCATGTCATTGACAGGCGCTCCCTTTTTCCTCGTCCCCTTCCCCTTTCCCGCATCGAGTCCAATTGCTTCCCTTCAACATCAACACAATGAAATATTTTTATATATATTGTACTCTAAAAGTGCACCAGTTCTAGAGATTCGCTTTTATGCAATTTTATCGTTTTTCTTATCCCCGAATAAACAGCGAGCGCTCAATTTCTGTGATTTTGCAAAACCTGATAAATGAAAATCTGATAGATTTGTTTTTCTTTAATGAACTCGTTAAATATCTTTAAATTTAAAAATTGAAATCTCATTATCAGTTTCTTTATTGTATTCTGGGACAAAATTACTCAGAAGACAAGATACCGTATTTCTTCGAATAGAAGACCGGGTAAAGAGTATCATCGCGTACTCCTGCGTAGCAGCCCTTTTTAAAATTTCTTTTCTGCATAAAAGCTTTCAATCAAGTGCTATAGAACTGGAAAATGACTCAAAAATACCACATGAGCTAACAGATTTTTGAGCTAACTATTTTCCAGTTCTATAGCACTTGATTGAAAGCTTTTATGCAGAAAAGAAATTTTAAAAAGGGCTGCTACGCAGGAGTACGCGATGATACTCTTTACCCGGTCTTCTATTCGAAAAAAATACGGTACTCAGAAGACAAGATACTTTTATTTCGACATACTGTACTTCTATTTGATATCAAGAGTTGATAACTTTTACTTGATAACTTTTAACAACCATGTTCTCTTCTAAAATTTATGTTTTTTTTTCTGCTACTTGTACACAATTTTTCTAGGGTGATTGCCCAAGAAAGAGGACCACAAAAAGAACAATGGGTCTCTCAAATTTGCCGAATCGTGGTGGAATGGGTGTGACGATTGTCTTGTCAATTGTATTGGGAATGATGGGTCATGGATGGATTTCCTCTTTCCCTCTCCTTTCACTTATCATCTATCAAAGTTTGAAGAGGGAAAAGACAAAACAGGAAACGGTAAGTGTTTATATAAAATTTTAGGAAAATTTAAAATTCAAATTCGAAACATACCGTAAATACTGTAATAGTACCCCACCCCCATAATGACGGTGCGGAGCGTTGCGTAGTCTAGCTTTGGACGTGTTTTTCTCGACACTGGTTTATGCTACAATGCGCGCTTAGGTATCAAAAAATAGCTGAAATTCAGGGCTATTTTTTGATATCAAAGACGCATTTTTTGAAAGTACGGGTGCTTTGCAAAAAATGAAATACTAAAAAACTTTTGCGACTACCCGACTGTACGAGGGGGGTGGGGTACTATTACAGTATTTACGGTAGTTAATTGAAATTCCAGGCCGACGCCTTTTTCATGGATTTTCGCGTTGGCGGCCATCGAGGATCGCCGACAATTTTCCCTGAAAACAGCATGGCAAGCTTTGAACAGGTTCCGTTTTAGATCAAGTCAAACAATTAATATAATACTATAATATAATACTATAATATAATACTTAAACCATCATCTTCCACAAATCCCACTTGCAGGCCAAAGAAGATGGAGTCGATCTGATCGAATTCGACGTGGCGATGACAAAAGACGGATATGCGGTCATTTTACACGATGATGACCTTGATCGGTGAGTTGGTTCAAAAATTTGAGTAAAGAATTAAAGATTTAAGAGTTTCAAAACTTAGAAATATATTTATAAATCAAAATCTTTAGAACCACGAACATGAAGGGTCCAATTCGAGAGAGAAATCTCAGCGAGTTGAAGGATTGCAATATCGCTGCGCATTTCAAAAGAAGCGGGTAGGTTTTTGCGAAAAAATAGATTCTGTTTGAATAATTTAAATAGATAAAGTTATATTTACTTTAGAAATTTCAGAATTTAGATTAAATTTTGATTTCAGCCCCGGCTCGTCTCCAATCAAAGCCGAGGGTCTTCCATCGCTCGAATCACTCGTTTCGTGGTCGGCGAAGAACAAAATGAAGATGTTGTTTGATGTGAAAGATTACGATCCGGAGGTGAGTATTTGATTCATTTTGAGATTTTGAGATTTTGAGATAATCAAGTCCATTCCCAGTTCAATTTCCCAATCCCTTGATATTCCCGGTTTAATTCCCACATTTCAGCTCACCCAAATCATCGTCGAGCTGTTCTCCAAATATGATCTCTATCAGAACTCGATTGTTTGCTCCTTTTTCCCGTGGGTTGTCTATCGAGTGAAACGAGCTGACTCCCGAATTCTTACTGGTAAGTTGTAGAATTAAAAGCTGTTTGCATGGCTGAGGCTGTTAAAGCTGTTAAAGCTGCAAGGCTGTTAAAGCTCCTTTAAAGCTCCTTTAAAGCTCCTTTAAAGCTCCTTTAAAGCTCCTTTAAAGCTCCTACTGTACTCTTAGAGTATCCGTAATCGCGTTTAGTCGCGTACTTTAAGACTTCCGTTCACTTACTATTAGACTAAAAATCATTTTCAGGATTAACCTGGAGAAACAAATTCTTCTCGTATAAAGACGAGGAAATGTTGAATCGTCGTTTCGATTCGTTCCCTAAACATTACACGGCACTTCTTCTCGATTATATCTATCAATTGTCAATCAAGACATTTCTCCCATCATTTCTCGGAGTCGAACTGCTTCTCACAAACAACCACGAGATTTCAGTGTAAGTTTTAGAGTTTTTACGCAAACTAAAGCCTTTGTAAGCTAAAAAATTTCACATAAAAATCCCCTTTGGAGAAAGCGGGCTATCAAAAACGATATTTATTAGAAGTTGAAATGTTCTACGACTAAATAAGCCTAACTTTTAAGGACAAGCTCCCCAAAGCAACAACTTTTTCAGTGGTTACGTGCTGCGGCAACGAGCCAAGGGATTGGAAGTGGTTGCGTGGACGGTGAATGATGTGAATGAAATGCATTGGATGCTCGAGACACTGAAGGTGAAGATTTGTAAAGCTACAACTAAAACAACTAGAATTTTCGGTGTGAACGTCAATAGGTGTCCAACGAAAAAATAGCATATCTTGGCTAATTTCACTCCAATCTTTTTGTCTTTGATTTCAATCGATAGAAAATGAAATTCTGCGTCAATTGATATCAAAATCAAAGTGAAATTGGCCAAAATATGGTATTTTTCTAAAAATATCGATTCACAATCGTACAATCTACTTGTGATAACCCTAACTAAACTTGAAAAATGAAAAATGAAAATCTTTTCCATCAAATTTAATCTCGAATAGTTTTTTTAGATTCCAATCCTCACCGATCTTCCCTATCACATCAAAAAATAGCATATCTTGGCTAATTTCACTTTGATTCTGACATCAATTGACGCAGAATTTCATTTTCTATCGATTGAAATCAAAGACAAAAAGATTGGAGTGAAATTAGCCAAGATATGCTATTTTTTGATGTGATTCCATCAAATTTAATCTCGAATACATTTTTTAGATTCCAATCCTCACCGATCTTCCCTATCACATCAAAACATTAGCTCATTTGCGCAAATTTGGACAGGAAAATGGATACGTTGAAAATGTGGTCGCTGCTTGAAGATCTTTAATGCCTTCTTTAATATTTGCAAAAAAAAAAATTACGTGTCAAATGTTTTTGTAAATATTTCGTATCTTAAAACATTAAAAAAAATTTGGGTAAATACGAGTAATAAAGGTATCGATTTTGAATTGAGAAATTAATTGAGAAAATACATAAAAATTTCACAAAAAGATGAGAGGAAAGAAAAGGAAAGAAAATTGCAATCTATGTGTCGTAGCCGATTATGAATTTCAGCCGATTATGAATGAGCGGGTCCGGACGCGTCCAACCATCAAGTATTTGGTAACATTCAACGCAGAATCATTAATAATTATGTTAAATTTTTAAAATTAGAAAGATTGGATAAAAAGAACACAAATTATGGGGCTTCAAAGTTTTCTCTTGAACAAACAGTTTTTTTGCTCTAATTTTTTCTTCTTTTTATCCAATCTTTCTAATTTAAAAAATTTAACATAATTATCAATGATTCTGCGTTGAATGATACTAAATACTTGATGGTCCTAGACCCACTCATTCATAATCGGCTACGGGGGTCCCGCCGATTTTGAATGAAACGTTGTAGCGCCGGCAATTTTTAACCTAAACTCACAAATTTGGTACCAATCGACGCAGAATTCAATTCGCTACAAGATGATATAATATTGTCCTCATACATTAAATGGTTGCTCTACTAGAAAGATTTGCCAAAAAATTTCATTCATAATCGGCTACGACATATGGATTGAAATTTTCTTTCCTTTTTTTCCTTTTTTCTTTTCGCCAAATTTTGACTTTTGAATGAGAAAGAAAAGGAAAAGGAAAGAAAATTGCAATCCATAGATTTACTTGTGCATATCGATGATACACACAAAAAAGTGAGCAAAATCATTTCCTTTCCCTTTTTTTTCGATATTTCTCAAGGATTTCAAGGTGCATTGCAATTGCAAGAGCTTAGAGCTTCAAAAGAAATCAATTTTTTGATCATTATATCATTTTTGATCATTGTACTCCATTGTTAAACATTTGAGCGAATATTGCAAAATGTTTTATCAACAATTTCCTGCTTCAGAAAGCTTTTATAAAAGCGGCCATGTCGACTTTGACCCTTTTCTTATTGTGAACATGTATTTTTGCGAATAACTTTATTTCTCTGTCTTTCTGGATGTGTAGGCAATCCTTTTCTATATTGTAAAGAAGATTCAGAGCTTTTGAATGATACTTTGCAGTCATGATTATCTTTCACAAGTAAAAAACGGCGCTTTCTTTCTTGTCAGTCTAATAATTTTGCAATACTGCAAGAAAAATTGTGTTTCTATTAAATACTCAGTTAAAAATGGATAACTTGAAGAATTATCGTAATATTTCCCTTTAATTTTGTCCGTCTCTACATAGATTCGTCTCTACTACTTTAATGGCATACCCAGATCATTGTTACAATAGTAATAATGACAAAGCACAGATCTATCAATGACTTTCTATTGCAATAACTTTGAAAGAATGATTCAAGATGGATGAATGGTTAGGATTTTCTTCATAGAGGGAATGAGCCATGTCAATGACAAGAAATCCCTTTTCTTGCTTATAGAGGGAAAGAGGAAGACACCACTGTAAACCCCTTTCGCAGCATTAATCTCCATTCTCTTTTCAAAAACCCTTTTCTCATACCGTAATCGCGCAAACATCATTTTAGCTATCAACAAAAGTCTATGCTTTGGTGTTTCACTTTTTTCATGAGTCCGTTATCATTCTCCAAACTCTCAGCTTTTTCAGACTGACTTTTTTGCATATAAAGTCTTGAAGCTTTTTACCCTTTTTGCTTACCGTTATCCGTTTTGCAGCCCCACCCACGCCCACTCAAAATTTGATTGACCGGGATCTCTGAGCAAAAAAAATTGACAACGATTTCTCTCCCATTTCTCCATTTCTCCTTATCCTTTGCGATCCGGGTTTGATCGAGGGCATTTTTTGTGTATTCCAAATATAAAGTACAATGTATCACAAAATGAGATATTACGTTCAATTTCTAAAAGTCAAGGCTTAGCTCCGTTAGAAATTGAGGATGAAAAGAATTCCAAAATAAGATTAACATGATTAGAACTAGATCAGAACACATGAGTTCAAGTGAGTCTATAGATATCGTAGCCGTTTACGAAATTCAGCCGCTAACGAATGAGGGTATTTCCGGGCATCCAATCAAAAAGTCACCCACATAAAAAATGTTCATAATACATATATTTTATAATAAATTTTTGAAATTAGCTCATTTGGTTTAGTAGAAAATTTTTTTTGAGCCCCCAAAGTTTAGGTTCAAAAATGCCCTAAAATGGCTATAAAAAATTTTCTACTCAGCCAAAAAACTTGCCTAATAGCTCATTTTGTAGCCAATTTGATGTAGATTCTTAAAGTAAAGCCATCTAAAACAATTGTTTGTTGAAAGTAGGAGAAAGGGGGTGAGGAACAAATTGAGGGCAATTCTCAAATGTGAAAACAGCGATCGAGTTCAACTGAAGTCGTTTCTCGCCCTCTTTCTCCTAGCTTTGAAAAACAAATGTTCAATGTAGCTTTACTTTAAGAATCTACATCAAATTGGCTACAAAATGAGCTATTAGGCAAGTTTTTGGCTGAGTAGAAAATTTTTTATAGCTATTTTAGGGCATTTTTGAACCTAAACTTTGGGGGCTCAAAAAAATTTTTCTACTGAACCAAATGAGCTAATTTCAAAAATTTATTATAAAATATATGTATTATGAACATCTTTTATGTGGGTGACTTTTTGATTGGATGCCCGGAAATACCCTCATTCGTTAGCGGCTGAATTTCGTAAACGGCTACGACATATATATGTTGTGTCCGATTTAGATTTCCGTCCGATTTAGATTGAACAATAATATAAACATGCTTAATATATGTTCTTAAGCACGTTTATTATTGTTCGATCTGTATCGGAGGTCCGATATAGACTGTAATCAATAAAAGACCTTTGAAAAATGCAGAAAACTACAGAAAACGCTTAAGAACATATATTAAGCATGTTTATATTATTGTTCAATCTATATAAGATTTAGATTGAATCTAAATCGGACGTCCGATATAGACTGTAATCTAAATCGGACGTCCGCGATAAGTTCAATCTAAATCGGACGGAAATCTAAATCGGACACAACATATATATATACAAATTCTGGCAATTCTTATTAGAAAAGCGTTATGCAAAATTGGAAGTGATTGGAATTTCTAAAACGAAAGAACCACTCTTTGAATTAACCTTGGGATTAACTTTGAATAAATCTCGAAAAAGAGGGATAGATTGCTTGCCCTTTACAATTTTGAAACATTCTATTAAATCTATGACCAAGCGGCCGTGTCTAAGGGATTTACGATCAAAAACTTTAAGTCTATCTGTGTAACTCGAGTTTGCAAGTTTAGAAAAATCTATTTTCCATAGAGCTATCTTAGTATATCTCTGCTGGATTTTTTCTAGGCAAGAGATATCAACTTGTGTATGTGGAGACCAAACTTTAGATGCATATTCTAGAATGGGTCTAACATAATTGAAGAAACACTTTCTGTAAGTGTCAATTTTCGGAAAACAAATTGCTTTTTGGATTTTGCACAAAGAAAAAACTTTAGGACATATAATTTCAATGTGATTTGAGAAATTGAAAGGTGGGGAAATATGGACTCGAAGATCGCTGATGGAATCCTCTTTGCCAACTCTGTTTAATGCTGTAGAATTGATTTTCAAAGGGAGAAAATAGCATTTTCGGTGGAAAAATGATGGAATTTCATGTTGAAGCTAAAAACGAAGCTAGTTTCCAATTACGGGACCATTTTCCAACCAGATCAAGATCTGGCATGGCGACTCTTAAAGAAGCAAGCTTATCGGCTTCATCTTTAATGTGGATTTTAAAAGTTAGTTTAGCATGATCAGCATAAAGCCAGATAGATGAGTATCATTTTCCCGCCTTTGATTTGATTCACAAGAATCGTTGGTGGCACATTTAAACGAAATTAGTAAATAGGCGGTGTAAGAGGCACAGTATCGGACTTTGTATCGTGACTCTCCAAAATAAGAACTCAATTCGCAATCATAGCTAACAAGTCCACTTTTGGAGATGTTGCCTTCGAAAAAGAATAAGAAAACAACCGTATCCTTATTTTTTTATACCCAAATTTGTGAATTTCGTAAATTTGCACTCAACTTTATTTCAATTTTCGCTCAATGCATCTCGAAAGTTAATCCCACAGGGCATTCGCATTAGTATTTATGGGGTATAACGGTACAGTATCCTTGTATGCTTTCAATTTCAATTTAATAAGAGTTTCTCACTTTCAACTTCAATTTTTGAATAGTTTCGTATTTTCTGGCAAAGATTTGGTGGAACGCGTGCATGGTGGAACCGCCCAATTTCATTGACAGTTCATTGACAGTTTAATCGAGATCTTCTGTGAGCACAAAGATTTTTGAGCGGAAAAAAAAGCGTTTTCCACCCCGTTATTGCATGTGATCGTGGATGAAAATTTTGCGCAAGGTCACCAGCGATGATGCAGAATAGAGTGTAGAGATGGGAATGATGAGTGAAGAATGACCGGAAGTTAAAGATCATTCGCTCAAAATACTCGGTGAAAATTTCTGTAAGAAATCACGAAAATCTCTCCAGGAATCGAAAACGAAAACAACGAAAAAATGGAATGCCGTTTTTTTTTGGTGCAGGCGTTTTTTGAGTTGGGGGAATGTATAAAAGTGGACGGTGAAGGCCACAAAAGTACAGTAGGTTTTGAGATTTTGAATTGAGAATGTTCTCAAACAGACTATCCGGTTTGGTTGGGATTACTTACTTGGTTACTGTACTTTCCTAGAGTACTAGAGTACTGTACTTTCCACTTGATCTTTTGATATCTCCTTTATACCGTAATCTCATTAGTTCTCTTGCTACTGTTGAAAGCTTTAATAGTAAAGGGCTTTAAAAATACAGTAGATTTCGGAAAGAAAAGTTTCTTTAGCATCATACTGTGGTACTTAATGGGTAGCCTTTAGTGATCCGCTATATTATAAAGCAAGATTATCTGGCACTTACATCTAGCTTTAGCAACTATTCTGGGTTTTAAGCGACTCAAAAACTGATTTCATACATGAATTACCCATTATCCAAAATTACTCTGTCAACTAAAATTTATTGTTAGCAAGTTCTATGAATACTAGCCATAAATTACCCTATTTGGATGGATTACTGTAGTCTGAGCGTGCTGGAGTTTTCAATAGTTGGGATTTTCTGATAGATGCTTATTAGAGTCTGTGATTCATGATTCAATCTCCTTTAAAACTCTTTGTTCATTTGTACTACGATATCCTTTACTTACAATAGAATAAACCTTTTCAGTTTCCCCATATCAGAAATGTCTCGTCTATTCTCAAGAAGATTCGCGTGTGTCCTTTTCAACCCGCAAACCTCATCGACGCCTGGAGGTAACTGTTCCTCAAAAACGTTAATTGATCAAATTCAGTCACAATATCCTGCCGATTCATCACTACCTCAATCAAATCAAATCAAGTTGTCACCTAGATACGAAAATAGATTATCCAACTTTCAGGAGCTCATCAACTCCCCTCCTGAGATCTCATATCAGCCGTTCTATTCCCAGAAAACACAACGTGACAAGGTAATTTAGAAGTTGAATTTCTTGAAAAAAATCATCCTTAGAAAGCTTCTTTGGTGATATTCGATAAAGACGGCACGTTGATATGTTTTCATTCGATGTGGGTTCCGTGGACATTGCAAACAGCCCGCAAAATCGAGGAGCTTGCAAAGGTTCGTTAGAGTTATCGGTTTTACCCAATTGAAATTCTTTTCAGATCGGTTCTCTGTCCGAAAAAGTGTATCGACTATTAGGATACTGTCCAATAGAGATGAAGGTAAACATGAAAAAACATGGAAGCAAATTTCAATCCGAATAGGTCCGACCGGGCCTTCTCGCCGAAGGGACAATGCTCCAAATAAGAGAAGAGATCACAAAACTTTTGATAGAACAAGGACTTCGGAAAGATCAAGTAAGAACTCAATGGACTGTCGATTTCAACTCAGAACCCATAGGCTCAAGAAATCGTATCCACCTCGGTTTTGGATTGTCCCACACATTCGCGGAAATCTCTAAAACCCATTCACGATTTGAGGGAACTATTTTCAGCGCTGAAAAGCCACAATGTGAAAATTGCGATTTGTACGGCTGATAACAGGTATTGCGAATTGATAAAAACTGACAAAATGAATTGACAATGAAAAACTGAAAATCTTCAGGGTTGGCACGATGGCCATGCTTCGAGAGTTCGGAGTTGAAAGCTTAGTTGACGTGGTCGTTTGTGGAGATGATTATGGAGCTCAGCCAAAACCCAATCCTTACAATGCGCTGATGATTTGCAAAGTGCTCGGAATAGCACCAGAGGTTGAAATAAATGGGCATGTAGATCTAAAAAAATTTCAGGATACGTTAATGGTGGGAGACACACTAGCAGATATGGGAATGGGAAGGTCGGCCAAATTGAGAGGAACTGTCGGAGTACTTTCTGGAGTGGCTGGGAAAGAAGAGCTTAAACCGTTAGCTGATCATCTGGTAAGACAAAATACCTGCACTAGCTTACATAAGAACAATAAAATATAGGTCTCACATGTTGGCGAACTTATGCCGATCGTTCTTGGATCATCAACTTGTTGATAAATCCCTGCAAATTATAAACTACAGCACTTTCTAGGCAAAAAAAGTTGCATCGTTACAGCCAAAATCGTTTTAATAAATTTATTTCATCGACACAACCAAAATATCTAAACAAAGTTGTTTAACAGTCTCAAAAAACACATGTTTATAATTTGAAAGCGTCAATTGAGCACTCGACTTTGAACAAGTTTAAATTTTAACTAAAACAAAACAAAAAGTTTTAATAACAAAGATAAGCTGGAATGTGTTTGGATACCGCTCCTAACGGAAATATGTAAACTGGCCTTGTTGTTGAGGAGCACCAAAGAGTCCACCACCTTGCTGCCTAAACAAAAAAATATTAAAAAAAGAGTTTAATAGAACAACTAACCTATTCATTGCTCGACTTGGTGCAAAACCGAGAACTTTTTGCAGATTTTGGCGGATTGTCATCGTACACAAAATGTAGAGAAAAATGAAAGAGCAATCCGTCATGTCATCACCGGCCTAAAACAAGGTATTCAATTCTCTGGGATTCGAAAATTAAATTTGTTTTTGATTACTAAGAAACTAGGAGAAGTTTTACCAAATTTCGATGACTCAATCCTTGAATGAAGGAAATTGGAACAAATGGCAATTTGGCGACCACACGTCCTAAAATTTTAAAGTAAAAAATAGAATGCTATACACCAATTGACCCTCAAAAATAGAAGAAAATGTTGACAAAAGTGCTGTGAAGGCAAGACCAATTGCAAACATCGACTTCATCTTGAACATTGACATGTCCCGATTGGTAGCCTATAAAAATAGTTGATTTATGCATAAAGAGTGACTTAAAGAAACCTTCAGTCGCTCCTCTTCCCTGTCAATCCTTTTCTTCGCTGTTTTGCTGTCAAAAACATCGGTAGCCGCCTCTCGTTTTCTCTCTAACTTCTTTGTTTTACGCTCCATTTCATTCTTAAAATACAATACTTCATAAGATTACAAATTTCCAAACCTTCAACCGCTTATATTCTTCACTACGATAGACTAAAAGCCATGTTAGTCCTTCTCCTGCGAGAGCTGTACCAATCGCAATCACAATTATTAGCAGGCAATCTGAAAGCATGAGGCGACCCTAAAAAACAAATTTGATATCAGGTCGCTTTCAACTACGCTAATGTTCAACAAACACAACAACATCTCTTTGTCGACAGAGTTAAATATGAGTTAAGTTTTTACGTATGTCTTTGGGAACAAAACCATTTTAATTTACTGATTTCAAAATTTAAACTTTTATTAACAACAAAAATAACCATATTTAAAACAAAAAAAGCACATAAAAAATTTCCCTAACCGGACAACAAATCAAATAAATGGTTCAATATTCAACTCGACTGCTGACGTTGGAAGCGTAAGTCCAAAAGCCAGTATAACCTGAGTAAGTACATTGAATTAGCATTCATAAGAAATCAGGCTAATTAGGCAAATACGGGAATGTTTCAAAAACGGGTTTTTTCGATTGGAATCGATTGGATATTAGCTTAGAAGCATATAAAAAAGAAAAATAAAGACATATCGTATCTCCCATCTTGCTGTACCACCTCCTATATACACTATCATTTGCTTAGGCTGTGGCTCCACAGCCGCCGGGGTGCTGCATTCTTCGGACTGCAGCACACCGGAACGCGGTTACTGATCAAGAAAAAAGATAATAGTGTGGTTTTTTGTGTAGGTGACGCCTCCCGATGTTGGCCATTAGGCCAACCTAGATACGCGTCACTCACACAAAAGCCACAACAACGCGCTACCTTTCGACTTTAGCAGACGACGCAAATGTGTTACTACTGTCAGTCTATGACATTGGCTGCATCTTTTGACAAAATTCATGAGGGAGCCACATGAATTTTCAAAAATTAAAAATGATTTTGTTGAAAAAGGTGTCGAGCGGTCATTGTTTTTCCGTTTTTAAATGCTTCTAAGCTAATTCCAATCAAAAAACACGTTTTTGAAACATTCTAGTAGCTTCCAAACAACAAACAGCCTAAAAATCCAAGAAACCATACCTTTGGATGCAGTACCCCTAGATGACCCAATTTAACGCCCTTTGGCCCATAGATTGCTGCACATCGTCCAGGAAAGAAAGAGGGAGCTAAATGATTAATCGTATATGCGTCAAAAGTTAAAAATGTACCATCTTCTGCCTCAATATAGTAACCGGTGCCATCTTTTTTTGGTTTCACGTCGAGCAGCCGCATCACCCGATCAAGAAAACCATGAATAATCTGAACAACTCCTGTCAATTTTGGCAAAAACCAGCAGCCTACCTCGAATCCAGCGGCCTTGTTGTAGTAAACAGCCGCCAGTCTCCTTTCATTTTTTGCTCCAGTATCTTAAAAATATTGAATTTGAAGTGCGAATATTTTACAAACCCGATTGATCATCCTTCTTAATGATATCTTGACATTCAAAGATTTTTAGTGGCAAGGGCATATCCCGGTTGGAGGCAAGGGTTTTTAGTAACCCAGGCAACAACGTTGTACGAGCAATCTAAAGTAAAAAATGCAAAATGAGATCAAGCAACAAATCTCGCCTTTTGTTAAGACGTACCTGAAATTCCAATGTTTTTGGATTCGCTATCTTGACCGCATTATCAAGACCATTTGAATCAAGCAATTTTGTCGATACATCATCTCTAAAAGCAGAACGTAAAAAAGCTTTCATGGATACAAACCTAGAACATAGAGCGAAATTTAGAGCTTCTGTCCAACCGGTCATTGCCACTTCAGCTCGTAGCAACTCGCTTACAGCATTCAATGGAAATGGTTGCGCAACTGTGTTTGACTAAAAAATGTGATTACTTGTATTGTAAAGTTACTAGTCGTAACCTCACTCAGAAAAAATTTGTTCTAACCTCGGGAAGCTTCAGCTCGAGTTTGTTAAATCCATAAGCAATTCCCACATCCTCTGCGATATCACACTCATGCAGAATGTCGTGTCGATTTGGTGGTACTTCAACCTATAAAAACTTTTAGCCAGTCATAAAAATCAACCAACTTCAAGATGTTTCTCGTCTAGAACTTCAGCCACAAGACCCATTCGAGTCAACAACTGTGCCATTTCAGCTGCTTCCAACAAAAATCCAATCTTATTGTTGATGCTCTCCACTTCAACTTTCTCTTTCCGGTAAGCTAGCTTCTGAAATATCAAATGTAAGAGAAGAATATTTATTGTACCGGATATTCCTCTGTTCGGCCATCTGCTTCATAAAAGATTTCCACAGGCTCGACACTAAACTTTCACTTTGAATCGCGAGGCTTTGCGTAAAGTGCTTAATGCATTAAAGAAACGTAAAGATAAAACAGACGTGAATTCGTTCTTGCAGTATTGACTGAACATGATGACAATCGTATCCAAAACGATTGTTGCCTTTTGCAAATCGGTGGCCGTCACTTCGATAAACACATTTTTGGTATTCAGCGATATTTTTGAGTGATCGCCTAAATCCACAAATTAGAGTCTTAAAGCATAACTCACTATTTATGATTGGTGGAAGGGAGCAAAGTACACCATTGCTGTCACGAATCACAGGGTAGAGTTCTTTGTCTTTGATGATTGGCACATAAGGCTTTAAGTGAGCATATTCCGGTTTGGTCTAAAATATCAAAAATTTTAAATAAATTGTAGCTACAAACCTCATAAGCAGTAAGCAACTCATCAGCCAAATATTGTCTGGTTTGATTAAGTGGGGCAAATTGAATGTCCTTTGGCTTCTCAGCATTGTAGAAGAAAGGTCCTAAAAAGGTAAGAACGTGTCTTTGGGTCAAAACAATACCCTTAATGGTGTCATAGTCATGGGTGCCCATCGAGGCCAGAGTACGTTTACGGCAGATGTTTTGATGGAGTTTATCCTAAAATTTCAATATAAAAACAGAGTTACTAAAAAGTAAAGCAATTCGGTTAAACGCAAACCTGGAGGTCGATGAAAGAAGCATAGGAGTCCTCATTAAATGAAATATCACGCAGAATAGCTCCAACAACAAAAGGCCTAACGCCTTCGACCTGAATGAAAAATATATCCTACATATAAATATGTTTACTTCTTTTCTGACAACAATCCGTTCCAACTCGGGCTTTCTCTCAACAGCATATCGTGGCTGTTTGCCGCTAAATAGATCATATTTTAAAAGATAAAGGAAGCGTTTATAATTCTAATGTGAAAAGCTACTTACCCAGTGAAGACATTCATTGCTCTCGACAATCCCTCGATACATAGCAAGTCGTAGCGGTTGGCTGGGATTTCGATCTTGTAGATTTCTTCCGAGCTCAAATTGGCGGCGGCAGCACTCCCTCTTTCCTTTTCAACGGCAGCTTTTTCAGAAGTCTAAAGCAGTTTAATTACAAGAATCTTCCAATAAAAAGCTACCACTTCATCGAGCTCCAATCCAAACTCGAAACATAACGTCTCGAATTCTTCCTGATCTGGAACAAAAGAACTACAAAGTTTTTAAGAGAAGTGCAGCTGCAGACTACAATTTTCATAATCGAGCCTAGCCTAATCTGATATTACGTGTTTGATATTTACATATCAAGCAACTTACTATAAACTTTCGAGAAATGACGATCAATCACCGACTTTTTCACACCGATCGTCGGCATCTTGGCGATGGATACCTAAAAACAAGGCAACAATGTTTTCATGAAAGTGGAAAGAACACAAAAATCAATGTGAAAGAAACATTAGATAGTACTCCGACACTTTATCGCGTTCATCAAAAAGCATGATGCAAAAATTTATGTATCTTTGCTGTTCTCCAAATTTCAGATAGTACCCCGAAACCACTTCAAAGGGATTGTCAGAGAATAGCATGGCAAGTAGAAAGAGAGAGCAAAAATATTAGGAGAACTGCTCACCCTATTGTAATTTGTTCACAAATGTAAGCCTTTAAGTCATCACAATAGTTGAATGCACTTGTGAAAGATATTTTTGCGATTTGTGTCGTAAGTTTTTGTTCTAAAATTTATATCTTAATAATACTTGTCGAGAAGATATTAAACTAAGGAGATGACGATTTTTTTATTTCTAAGGGAAAAACTAAATAAATTCTCGCTAAAAACTGCGTAAATTCATTTCCTTCTTGGTTGAAAGTCTGCGTACATTTTTGAAATTAGATTTTTTCGCTCAGGATACACTTTTATATGTTGGCATGATTGTTCTTTAAGATCTAGTTGGATGTTGTTCTTTAGATGGTTAACGTCACCTTCAAAACGATTACGAGCCAACAATTCAACATTGACGTCGATGGAGAAACAGTGGTCGGTTGATCGTTTTTAGCATTTACATTGTCAAATCACGCACCTATTTCTATTTATTGTTCTAGTACAATCCTATGATTATACCTTTTTGCGTTTGAGTTTGCAAAAAACACTAGGGGAAAATAATTTATGGACAAAGAATTAGTCGATTTGGCGACTGCTTGTATCTTTCTTCTAACCTTGCAATTTTATAGATTGGCGAGCTAAAGAGGAACATCGAGCAAAGTCAGGGTGCCAATGATTACCCGGCAGATTCAATGAAATTAATCTACAACGGAAAAGTAATCGTATTCTCATTACCATAATCTCTTTTGTGTTAGGTGTTGGATGATGACTCTAAGTTTACGGATGTCGGTTATGACGATAAAAAATTTGTTGTCGTCATGGTTATGAAAGTAAGTTGTTTTTAACGCTACTAAATAGGCTTTCTTAGCAAACAGTTGAACATTATAGTATGTTTAACAAAATTCTAACGGAAAGTTTTAGATATATTCAATTTGTTAGAAATACGTCAACTTTTAAAAATAATTGCTTTATGTTTAGAAGAAAGCGGCGCCTGCTGCACCTGCTCCAGCTACAACGACCTCACAACCAGTTGAATCAACATCTGGAGACAAAGCCGAAGCGAAGCCTGCTGCCAAAAACACAACAGAGCCTGCTCCAGCTCCTCCAGCCGAGCAAAGTGGGTCGCTGTCTAGTTTTCCCTCGGCTGTTTTTCGTTTGAATCTTTAATTTGAATAGCATTTTATATTTTAGACTATTCTGCAGAACAACAGGCTTCGATCGAAGCGGTAATGAATATGGGATATGGACGTGAGCAAGTGATTGCTGCTCTTCAAGCTGCTTACTGGAACGCTGACCGAGCCGTTGAATATCTCATCACTGGGCTTCCAAACGATATGCTCGTGAATGCAGCAAACGTCGACGCATTACTTGAAGAAGGTTCGATTTACTTTCTAGACAACTATTTTTTTTGTTTCTTTAGGCGGAGAAGAAGAAGGCGAAGCAGATTCGTTGGAATATTTGGCACAACTTCCACAATTCAATGAATTGCGCCAAATGATCAGACAGAACCCTGCTATGCTTCCAAACTTAATGCAACAGGTATGAAAGAATTTTGCTTCTGATATTTTTCCTAGTTTGCTTCGATAAATCCCGAGCTTGCTTCGGTGATTCAGCAAAATCCCGAGGCTTTTCTCCAGCTATTGAATGACGCACCAGCTGCCGCGCAGGTAATTAATATTGTATCTTGCATGGGCGTACTATTTATTGTTTAGGGTGCCGGTGGTAGAGCTGGAGGTCAAGCTGCTGGTGTTCCACCAGGTTCCGCCGTGATTACAATGACGCAAGAGGAAGTTGCTGCTGTTCAACGCCTCAAAAACATGGGATTCCCGGAGCAACTCTGCATTGAAGCCTACATCGCTTGCGATAAGAATGAGGAGCAAGCTGTCAACTACATTTTGGGACGAATGGAGGAGGATTTCGGCGACGGACAATAAAACGTGACCGGTTTTCAAAATATTTAATTTTGACTTGTTTTTTGTTTACACGTGTATTTTTGCCTTTTTTTCCTGACATTAAGATATCCGGTTTTGAGTGAGTCTAGCCATTTAAGTTTTGTCGCCTTCTGCTAAGGGCTTCTGTCCTATTTTATTCCATTGGGAAAAGACAGTTTTGTTGTCCTGTTCTCGCCGATATGTTGATTGAATAAAGTTATTATTTTCTTCTTTGTAGCGTTCAAATATGCATTCCAGTTCGACTTGGGGTACTTCACGAGAGATTCCTATGGTAACGGTCGTTATGAAGTGCCGTACTGATTGCCACACGTACACTATTGAAAAAATGGAACACATTACGGCCGATGGTCATCACGGTTTGTCCTTGACTCTAATGGGATCAAAAACTTGAAAACAACTCAAAATGGACCCACGGAGCTCTTTTCGCCTACCTGGCGAGAAGTTATTCGGTGCTAAAGGACCAGCCGGGAAACCACCACACGTACGTTCCATGAATTTTAAGATTTTTCCAAAACCGGGCCCAGATTTTCTTAAAATACGATTGATCTCCAGGCAATATTCAATCTGCGCAAAACCATAAACCAAAACCGCAAAACATACATGATTCAGTAAAAGTCAGAGTCGAGTTCTTATTTCTTTTTCCTGCAGACGGCGTTGTGGTTGTTGATGAGGGAGACGACAACGAATCGCTTCTATCGGTGAAAGAACGTGCATTGTTTTCCTTTGCTCCAAAAACATCGAGAAAATCAACGCGAGCTCCTGGTAAAAGATAAATTACTTAATAACTCGGCTGATCGGCTTCCACTTTTGAATTTATTCCTTGAAGCCCAAAAAGCATCGGACCATCGCTGCGCGATACTCCTCGGGGAAAGATGAATCTAAACACAAGCCACATATAACCAGCTAAAAACAGAACATAAGCTCGATTGGCAATCGCTACAGACCATTGCGTGTTGTCGTGTGCGGTGACTACGTGTTTCTGTGCCGTTTTCCCGGCCCGATCACGCAAGCCTATTGCCACGTGGAACTAAAAATAAGTGAATATATATATAAATATAATATAAATAAATGAAAATAAGACAACCGAAACTTTCTGCAGGCTAAGCTGTAGTGCTTGTTGTTGACGTGATTCCGAGCGACGTGTCTAAGGGTGTCCTCGGTGGCTTTAATTTTCAACGAGGTGTCTCATTCCTGAGTTTATGTAATATAAAACATGTAAAATGAGCATCTGACTAACCTTGCATTTGCTGCTGTGCCTATCCTTTGGCTTCCTTCTTGTCACCGGTTATTGACGGAGAGCGACAGCTAAAAATAGACAGCTATACACAAAACTAATGTGTTTCGTTTTGTGACAGCTAAACAAAAACAGTTTAAAAGATACAATAAAGAGAAATATGGAAACAGCGGCAAGGTGCCTAAAATGAAACGAATAAAAATTGTAAGTGCAGATTTGTAACTCGGGTGACTTTTAGAATTTCAAAACATTGCGTCGATTACACGGGCAAAACCTTGAAAGTCGTGGACTCAACGATCTCACCGAGGCATTTCAAACTTTTGTCACACGGGCTCGTTTTTTCAGTATTGGAAAGCTCAGGTAATCCAACGAATCTCGTAAAAAAACTGACGTAATCAAGAATTTCAGAAGAACGTGGTCTCACAGTGCGGCCGAGTTCATGAAATATCGCCGTCTTTTGCCTATGCTTTTGGCCGATGGACAGGCTTTTGATAATGATGAGACAAATGATGGTCAGTTGGCAAAATTACTTTCACGAAAGGGCTGAAAATTCTTGAAAACATTTGCATTTAGCTTTCGACGCGGTGCTTTCATTTCAAGCATCTCAAAAAGATGATCGGCGAATCATCGTAACGAATATCTCTCCGCGTGTCACCGCGTCGCAACTGCAGTCGTTTTTCTCAAAATACGGAAAAGTGAGTTCAAAGAAGTTGTGTTTCAATATAGATCCATTAAAAGAAATCTAGTTATTCAGAAGTTTGAAAAATCCAAGAATTAACTCAAATACCTAGGTCGTGCACTGTTCATTACCCCGGGAAGAACCCAAGAAATCCTCCCCATTTGCGACTCTGACGAAAACTGTGAAAAATTGTGGCACCGCAGTCATTACGTTCAAGTTTGATCCAAGATTCAAAAAAGAAAAACAATTCATTTTTCTAGAAAACCCGAAGAAGCAGAAAAGGCAAAAGCGGCCCCTGATGAGGAGCTAAAGTTCTACGATCAGATCATGAAAATCACTTCGGTGAGTGGATATAATAATGTAGAAGATTCAAATGTACCAGATGTGTCAATTTTTGCAGTTAAATGTAAATTTGTTAATACGGTAGCAATTTACAATTTACAATACCAAATCACTTTTTCAGTATGCCTCAAAAAAGAAAGGAGGAAAAGGAGTGGTGTTGAGCGACGATAAAGACGAATCTCGACTCTCTCGAGCCTCGTCAACTCAATCGCTTTCTTCCCAAATGAGCACCAGTGGATACGAGGTTAGAAAAGACATTGAACAAAAGAACAAAAAATATTAAAGAAATTGTCACAGGGAAGCGCTTTGAATGTGGATTTGTTGCCGCCAAAAATCCTGGAACGAGTGATCGCCTTTTTGCCGATTACGGAAACGATTCGACTCGAGCGTCTCAATAAAAAGTGGATGGAGGCTTCGGTGAAAGTACTGTAATTTTTAAAATCGAATTTCATATTTGAGTACATTTTTTAAATCCAAAATTTTCAGTCATGGACCCACATCAACTCGTTACCGTTTTCCCGGGAAACGGATGGCCGAGGACGGGGCTTCACTAAACAAAATCCGCTTCTCACCTCGCATCTGAAAGCAATTTTGAGGTAAAAATTTCATTAAATAGATTCCAATAGATAAAATCTCTGAAAATCAAAGTTTTCTATTGTACAGACGTGGTGGAGCTCACCTGAAAAGCGTGGATCTTTCCGGTGTTGTGCATCTGCTCGACGATCGAGCACTCACGGTGATTGCCGAGATGTGCCCGAATCTCAAAAGTGTAAGTGTTAAGGGATGCAGTGAATTTTGAAACAAATGCTACAGCTCGATCTGTCGGGTGTCTCGGCGAGTTGGCAAGCTTTCGCTGAACTCGGCGACACGTTGACCGGACTCGAGAAGATCGCTTTCCGGGAAATGAGCTCGATCACTGATAAACACATCTGGTTCCTCGTTCGGGTGAGTGAGAATTGGAATGGCTGTACTTTGAATTGGCAATTACTTTTTTTATTACTTTTAATTACTAAATACTAATTATTAAGCCTAAGCCTAAGCCAACTCTAATAGTTCTGCCAGTGACAGTATCCAATTGGGATTACTGTATCTGAAACTAATATCAAATCAAGTACTAGGGCGTAGACCTTTACTACCAAATCTATGCTCAACTGCAACTAGATTCATGGAAATTTATCGCAAATCCAAGTCTTTCAGGGATCAGCGAAGAATCTAAGATTCGTAGATTTCCGCGGCTGTCGAAGGATTCGTGGTCGATGTTTTCGTCTGTTTGGACACCGCCTTGAACAGGTTTTGAAAAACAATGTGTCTTTCTTTTTTCTCCCCCTTGTCTTTCCTTCTTCCTCTTGACAAGTTAGGGCACCGAATAGCTCAGTGGTTAGAGCAATTGCCCGGAAAGATCGAGGGTTCAATCCCCTTCAATCCCCTTAAATCTGTTCCTTTACTTCTTTATTATTTATTACCCTTGCTATCAGTTGTACTTGGATGGATGCACACGAGTCGACGAAATGGCCATCGAGGATTTGTGCACAAATTCGAGTCAACTCAAAGAGCTCCGACTCAATGACTGCTACAGGATTACCGATAGTTGCATTAGGTACTGAATGATTAACATTCACCAGTAACAGTATTGTTTTCAGCATGATCTCGCGTACGATGTCAGATTTGCAAGCGATAACTTTATGCGGGGATGGGTTCAAGGAACTGTCGAGCAGTGGGCTTTCTCATCTTTCACGCATCACGGGTCTCGTCGAGATTGCGTGAGTTAATAAAAAAAATGGAAAGGTTACCGTAGAAATAAATGCAAATATTTGACAAATATGTACAGAAATCATTCTTTAAGCCTTGACAAATATTCAAATTGAGAGACATCCTGTTCCAATAATGCGTTTTCTAAAAAGTGAATAATTTGGAAAGTTACCGTATTCTTTCCTTCCAATATTGTCTATTCTACTTAATTTCGATCTCATTCCATTCCCAGTTTGATTCCCGTCAAATGAGGTCAAAATAAGTACGATAACGAACAAAATCTGAAAGGGGGATTACGATAGCTTTCCAATTTATCCACCTTTTAGAAAGCTTATTCACACTTTAGTCACTCTAATTCAAATTTCAGATTCGATTACAATCCGCTTGTTTGCGACAAGCTAATCGGGCATCTTGTCGAAAACGCAAAAGGGCTTCGATGTGTTTCACTCGCAAACTCAGGCTCTGATCAATCGATTTCAACAGATGGCTTGAGAAAAATTGCAAATCTCCGAGAGCTGGAACAGGTGAAAATGAGGAACTGTAGAGAAGCCATGAATCGCTTCATCGCCATGTTACGCACTTCATTCCAGATCGATCTCTCCTCACTTGCCGCTGTCCGCTCACCAGTGCTCGCCGATCTCTGTTCAAAATGCACCAAGCTAGAGTTGATTCAGGTATCAATTATCATTTGAGTATGCATTTTCTAAAAACAGATGCGCAATTGTGTTTACCTATGCGATGACGGGGTAGTTCACGTGAAGAAAGCACAAAAGCTGAAACATCTTGATCTGTCTGGCAGTATTTTGGTAAGGATCGTGCAAAGAAGGATTTCTGAAGAAATTTCAGATCACGAGCAATTCGATTCAAGAAATCATCAAAGCATTTCCGTCAACTACCGGCTTTTCAACAATCACCATCGTTGTAGGAGGAACGGTCGCCGAAACGGGAGAATTGAGAGTGCGCGGCAGTCGCGTTGCCATTGATTTCAGCGATTATTCGGCTCTCGTCGGCATGGCCAATTCTCAATCCGCCACCAGTAGCTATAGTCTAGGTGAGAATCTCACTTATCATCAAGATTTGTTTTCCCCATAGAATTTGTGATTAATTTCATTCTCAGCATCGCGCAACAGTCATTTGATGTCAAAAAGCATGTCGTCAGAGTTCTCCTTTGAAAAATGCGAAAAATTGGGTAAAATCCCAAACCGCATGCGCATGTTTTGTATAACAAATCTCTAAATTTAGCTCATTCATACTTTTAAGTAACGCCATTTAACAGTTTAACTACAAAAACTGGTTCCACATTACATTTAAATTTAGGTGATAGTGATGATGACGTGTCTGAGGATGACTTTGACGTATTAACCGCTCAACGTAAGTCCAAAAAGCTTAAAAGTCGATCAAAAAATTTAGGCTCTTTTTATATTGATGCTGTCTGTGGGGAAGACGATTCCCCAGTTTTGGAAAGCGAAACGGAGATTTTGGAATGGGCAACTAAAGAAGCCAAAAATCTTGGTCTAATCAAACCATAATCGAACAAATTCGTGCTTCAATTTTAGTCTGTATATATGCATGTTTTCCACACTCGATATCTTTTAAGCCTAGTCGCGTTTGATTCTGTATAAATAAATTTATAGGCATAAATAAATACATGCACATTGAAAATTTGAGATCCGACCGATATTAGACCGCTTCTTTTTTCTTCTCAAGGTTTCGCACTTTTGAGTTCAAAGTCTCAACCTAATTTAAAAAGTAAACAAAAATTAATTAATAGAAACTTACTCTTTGATTCAATGTATTCATGAGCTTTTTGAAATCTTCGTAGAAAATCATCAATTCCAGAACTTCTCTAAATGTTTAAACATGAGAAAAGTATACGCTTTCTGATGAAATTAAATATACCTCTGATATGTTGCCAGCGATTCATTCAAATCCTTTTCAATCCCATCAAGAGCGGCAGAGTGTTGTTCCGATGTAGGAATTGCTTCAGAGTCTAGTACAGGCTAAAAAGAATTACGATAAATCGAACTCAGATTGAAAATTCCAACCTGGATATTAGCATCCCATTCTTCAAGTAAATCAATACGTTTCCTTATCAAGTCTTCACAGAATTGTACAGTATTCAATTTTTCATCCAAAGGTTTCATATTCGGCTAAAACAAGACACATTGATTGTAAAATGTTAATTTGTCTTATGTCGTTCGTTAAAGTCAAAGACTTTATAATGTTCATTGAAGCTTTGCCTAAACGTTAGTGCCGAAAAAGATATACCTCTGTCATTGTGGATTTCAACTTCTGGAGATCTTCCATTTTTATCTTGAACACTTGTGAGCATCCTTTCGAGAGCAGGGAATTTCGCAGAGATTCAACATCGAGATCCGCAGCATTAACCTATACAAAATTGATATTTATCAATAGATTTAAAATAAAACGGTTACAAGAATCCAAATAGGCCTTGTTCGTTTTGCAACTTGATTCTATTTCAATTACCAAGCACATACCTCAGAAAGTTCGGATATTCCCAGCACTCGTTCGACTTCCGATAGACGCTCCTCTAGTCCATCCATCTAAAGCACAAGATTCAATGAAAGTTTAGCTTTTCAACCGTTTTCAAAATTCAAGACCGAAACTCGGATAATAATAAGATCACGTGGTCATCAAAAATTTATTCACAAAAGAACACAAAGAAAAAACAATGAAGAAATCCAAAACCACAATTTGACATAATTTATTTTGTTCCAACTTGTTTCCCAATCGTGCGAACCAAATCAGCAAGTTGTGGAGCTTCTGGGTTGATGCCGGTGAGTTCGTCGTAACTAAATCCCTAACGTTATATCTAAAATGTTTCAAACTAACTGTTCAGCTATTTTCTCAGCAATTGCAGCTCCCGAAGACGAGAGCTCCTTTTTCTTCTCCGCGCTAATTTTGCCTTGAGCAAGTTGAGTGGCACACTAAAAGAATTCGAAATTGACATGCAAAAAAAGGTTATTTACCAATAACAACCCATATTGAGAACGAACATCTTCAGGATTCAGCTTATAGGCCTAAAATCGATACATACTATACTATAAGAAGGCTCAAAAATACCTGTTCATAATAACTCTTTGCAATTTCAACGTTATCTTGTCCTCCTTGTGTGTAGCGAATATCAGCCAATCTTCTCAAATACAGCGCATTGAGTGGCTAAAATATAAAGTACATTCACGCAACCCAAAAGGCTTTGTCGCTAAATTAATTTTGTCACCAGCCAAAATAACTAATATTTTTGTAAAGTGTTTTAAAGAAAACCAACTGCTGCCAAGAGACATTCTTCCAAACAATGAGCGGCTTTTGAGAAATCTGATTCCAACAAAAACAACTCGCTGAGTTGTAACCAGGCCTCGGAGTCATTTATGTAAATCTAAAGAAGTAAAAAAATGTTTCAATACCAAAGCTTTACAAACTTACTTTCAGGTATTCATTTAGTTCTTTAATTGCATCCAAACGTTTGCCTTGGGCCATCAAAATACTCACTTTGCGCTTTCGATACGACTGAAAAAATCAAGTAATAATTTTAGACTTCAAGCCACAAACATTATTTGTAGAGTCCGCTTCAAGTAATTTGTCATACAATGAAACGGCGCTTGAATATCTAAAAAATGTCATTAATAAATTAAAAGTTTAACATGTTAAAATAGATCGGTCAACATTTAAACTCCTCGATAAATGTTTGATAAAACCGACTGTTCAAGAGCTTCATATCGCATTGCCTGAAGCTTGAGTACGCGATTACTTCGAGGAAAACGCTTATCCAATTCCTAAAAAGAATGATCAACTTAAATCAAATCGGTGATAAGTTACCTGAATGCATTCCATGGCTAGATCGTATCTAGCACAATCCAATGCCGCTATGCAGACCTAAACTACGCACTGTTAAACTCATATTGCTTTAAATTTAACAACCTGCTCGTAAATCATCCAAACTTCATCTCCCAGTGATGAAGGACTTCTACTCAACACATGTTCCCAAAGCTCGACAACCTAAAGTTAATACCAATTTGGTTTATTGTAAATTTCAAAAACCTCTTCGCTTCTCCTTGATTGGTCTTCTCGCCACTCGCGTAAGGTCTTTCGTCCCACTAAACCCCAAACTTCACAAAACAGTTAACCTGGCCTACCTTCAAAAGATACAGTTGTCCAATCCTTTGTTTCTAGGTAGCCCATCTAAACAAAAAAATTTGCGTATTTCTTCTAAAAAATCAAATGAAAAACCTTGAAAGGACAACGATAACTTTCCCACGCTTTATCCGAGCTTCTTTTTAATTTTTTATCCTTTAAATATCAATATTGTCAATGCATCACGTCAAACTCAATACAAAACAACGCTTCGAAATCTTTATTACACAAACTTTTACATACCATTCACAATTAAAAATTAAAAGCACCGGTTAATAAAAAAAACTTAATAATCCATACAAATTTTGGTTCATTTAGTCCATCGAAGGGTAGCGCCATTCGGGAATCTCCGTATGTGTCTCCTTGATTGTCTGAGGCGAGGTCCATTTCAACACATATTGTGGAGCGCCGGCTTTGTCATTCGTTCCTGAAGTAATTTAACTCGTCCAGTTTAAACTCAATAACTTGTCCAACAGTCAAAATCCGAAACAAAACTAACCTGACATTCGACCGCCACCAAATGGTTGTTGCCCGACTATCGATCCTGTTGATTTGTCGTTGAGGTAAAGATTTCCAACAGCATCACGTAACTTATCACGCGCCTCAAAGATGAAAAATATAAGGCTTCAACTCAAACTTACATGATAAAGGAAGTTTTTGTCTCCGGAAAATACAGCCCCGGTAAGCCCATATGGAGTTGCGTCCTGAATATGAAATTGTACAAAATAAATAACACCGAAAACCTTTATTCCGTCCAAAATCTCTTCCACTTGATTGTCCTCATAAACATAAACTGTCACGACGGGGCCAAAAATTTCCTAATGAGGAAAGTTCAATCGGCTGAGCTGGCCAAATAGAATGAAATCTAGACTATTCGACACAGCGTTGTAAAGAACTGTTTGTAAGCTCTATAAAGAAATCCCCCAAAACTTTGAAGCCAAATTCCTTGCGTTTGCGTGCCGTTCAGCAAAAACGAAGCGCATATTCGGATTCAGCGTAAAATTCTGTGTCGAATAGTTTAAGTTTCATTCGATTTGGTCACCTCAGTCGGTTGACCTTTTTTCGTAAATTAACTCAATACTTTTAGCGCCGAGAAAAATTATACCTCGGTTAGCAGTTTGCTTTTTGGATTTGTCACAGTAATTAGTGTTGGCTCAATATAATAGCCTTTTGAGTCGTCACATTTTCCTCCAAGTACAATCTAAAATAAAAAAGTACAGAACAAACAATCACAACCAACTTTTGCTCCATCTTGTCCGGTTTTAGCATAATCGATGTAACTCTTATTTCGAGCGAAGGCTTTATCGTCAATGACAGCTGACAAGAATATAGACCCATCGCGTACCTAAATAGGTATTAAGTAATAAACACATTGTGAACTCACATCTCCAAGCTTCACTTCCTTATGAATTGCTGCAATCTTTTGCTTTAAGTCTTCCCAGCTACTTCGTGGCGCATAGACTCGACTGCAGGCGGAGCATTTTTGACCGAAAACAATAGCCAATTATTTAACTAAAATTTAAAACTTACCAGAATATTCCCAAGCAGATCTGGCAGTTCCAGCAGCCACTGAATCAGTATTTGCGGACGGATGGATAAAGTGAAAATTTTTGCCACCACATTCTAAAGTTAAAAAATGATGCCAAACAAGTCTTCTAGCCTCCAATGAGCTTCGGGAAGGTGTGATAGCGATCCAAATTTTCCGCTACATTCCTCCATAAAGTCTTGAATGTGGGCACTGATCCGGTAAAATTTATAGCGGCAAGTTGTGGATGCTTAGTGACAGTGTTGCCAAAAGTTGGTCCATCGGATGGAAGGAAATTGATTACTCCTGGCGGAATTCCTAAAAGACATAAATATGCAAACGATTTAAACAATACTCACCGGCTTCTTCTAAAATTTCATAAATGATGTAATTGCTATAGACAGAAGTATCGGACGGCTTCCAGAGGACCACATTTCCCTAAAATATTCCCACAATCAGCGGCTACGTAGAGCTCCAAATGATATGATAATCAGTCGACAGTTAAAGGGAAAATGATAAGCCAATTAGGTAGACTCTAGTTCTTAAAAAAATTATTTAAACTAATTTTACGTAATATTCATTTTAGCAAAAATTACTAACCATAAGTGCAGGTGCTGCCGACAAATTTCCTCCGATTGCAGTAAAATTGAATGGTGCAATTGCAGCAACAAAACCCTTAATACACGATTCAAAACATGAAAAGGCACCACCACAAACCTCCATAGAGCGTAGAATCATTTTATTAGTAGAAATCTTTGTAGAAATAGGATCCCATCCAGCAGCCTCTAGCGCATATTTTGCGTTGAATCGAAAAAAGTCGATCAGTTCGCAAGCCGCGTCAATTTCCGCCTAAAGTTAGCGTTTACTCTATCGCGTCTTTAGCAACAAAATTAATTAAGAAAAATCAGTTAATTTTTATTCACTTGGATTATGTTTTTCCCTTGTCCTAGCATAGTAGATGCGTTCAACTTCATTCGATATTTTCCACCACACAAGTCGGCTGCATGCAGAAGTATGTCGGCGCGTTTCCTGAGAAATAAAATGAATAGATTTTAATTTTAAGTCATTTACTTCAGTGGAGTATGTTCCCATTTTTCTCGAGCCAAAAGCGCCGCCTCAATTGCTTCATTGATTTGTTCGGCGGTTGCATGCGTGTATCTCGCCAAAACCGATTGATGATCAGACGGCTAAACGGTCGGGTTTTAAAAAACAGTTAAATGTTGACATACCATCACTTGATTCTTTTCCAACTTGTTCTTAATCTTTTTATCACCAATTCGAAGCGGAACTTCAGCCGTTCGTTTTGACATCGATGCTATTTCTTCCTCCAAGGCTTTTCTTTCATTGCTCCCTTTTTTGTATTGAAGGATTGGCTCGTTCGTCGAAGTCTTCATAAATTGCTCGGAGGTAAGACCACTAAAATTAAATATGTGTATCGTTTTAAATTACCTAGTCGTTCTAAATTTACCTGAAAGTTGTGACTGAACGACATCTTAAAGCTGCCCGTTTGACTAACAACCGTGTCGAGATCATGTTTTCAGCCTAAAAAAAATCGATGAATACTTTAGGTTGAAAAACTGAAGAATGACGGAAGAGAAAACAATCTAACAATTAAGATAAATTACCTAAGCGGCGTAAAAGCAATAAAACGTGTGCTTTGGAGTAAAAATCGATAAGAATCTAGGTAGGTAAGACTATGACGGCATGAGGTTTTGCATAATATTTTCCATTTCCACAAATCTCAAGATATTCAGTCAAAATGTTGCATAAAACAACTTTACGCAAAGTCTCCGTAGCAATATAGGTTTGGAACTCAATTTTGAAAGCTTTAACTTTGCATACTTAATGGGAAATTGCTCAAGTAAAACCAGCCATTCGTGTGTATTTGAGGGAAAAGTGGGACGTTGTGTGAGAATGAGAAGAGGGGACAAAAAGGGAAAAGGGGGTCTGGTCGATCTTTCGTGAGGGTGCCACTCTCACATCGTGATGCCCGTAGCCCGCCGTTGCTAAAAAGATTTTCCCGACACTGGCAACGAAAATTTATATGCTTTCCCTTTTCTTTTCATTTCGACCTTGATCACGTGTGGATTTATCAAAAGTAATCTGTCTATTTTTAGTTGTATGCGCCTTTCGACACGGCTCTCACGGATTATACCTGGCAGAGACGGTCAACCACAGTGGCAAGAGGTATTTTTTATGTTTGCAAAGTCTAACAGAAAGCCAATGCGAGGTTTTCTCTAGTTCAATGAGATAACAAAGAGGGGCAAAAGGTTACATTAAGTTTACCTAATTTCCTTTTGTTTAGGTAGTGTTTTTAATGTTTTTAGTACAGAGATTTAAGTTTGCCGATTAAACAAATTTTCAAAATACATTTCAAATTTAGGTTAGCGAGTTAACATTTCCTCGAGGTGGCAAGACGCTTGCATTTGTAGGGGTAAATTTATTTTTTTTTTCTGCATTTTTTTTTACATTTTAGCGAGGACACATCGTGACAGTCGGAGTCTTTTTGCTTTGTGGATACGCTTTTGCAAAAGCAAAAACGAATCCAGATTCGAAGTGGAGTCGTCAGTTTCATTCCATTTATGCCCCTTTTTTCTTTCTTTCATAAATACCGATATTTTCTTGTTTACTGCATCAAACCGAATTGCGAAAAACGAATCAATATTCTCTTTCTCTTTTATGCAATATTGTTTACGCCATCTTTCTCTTATCGCAGGCAGAGTTGTTGGTCTGTTCTCATTTGTATTTTTAGAAGTCTACAATTGGCTGAGTAACTCTTCGGCAAAATGGCTGAAATCGGAGGAGAACGCACCCGCAAAGGACCTATCACCGCCAGTGAGGTAATAGCTGCTCTAAGATAATGATTGCACGTTAATTCTATTTCTCATTTGGTTTTTCGGTGTTTCTTAAATGTCTCAAAAGTTTTCTTTCTCGCCAGAGAAAGAGAATCAATAACACTTTTCTGAAGATTCCTAAATTGTTTGAAGTTATAAGCTTTGTTGTGTCGGAAAGTGTTTGAGGTTGAGCTGCCTACACCGCAACGATTGTTGTGAAATCATAGTTTACCCCAGACATCGGGTAGGAGTATGATTTTTTGGATTCTGGGGTTTTTGACTATGTTGCATTGATTGGTGATGGTTTCACACAACATTTCGTAACTTTTAACAACGTTTATAACAAATAGCAACAAAAGTAACAACAACAAAATGTCAACGAGGGCATGACTCAAGACAATTGGTACTTTTCGGTCACTTCATCCCAGAATCCAGTACATTGGCTTTTCAGTATTGTGTTGCTTGCAAAATTTTTTTAAAGTTGCGAAATGTTATGTGAAATCATCACCCATCGATTCAGCATAGGAAAAACCCCTGGGGCATAAAATCAGCTCATTTGGCGAAAAAAATTTTGCCTCGCGCCCCAACTACTATAGCACCGGTCAAAGTTTTAAAATTTATTTACCTAGGTAGGTTATTGATTGCTTTAAAACGATTATTTTATTTCTAGGTAGCGGAACTTACCAATGAACCAGCAGCAGAAACAAAGGGTTTCTACTTTCAACAAACAATGCTGCGTATCAAGGATCCAAGGAAAACTTTACCGTTCTACACAAATGTCCTTGGCATGAGGTTGATTTTGTTATTTGGCTCCGACTACTATTTTCTTTAGACTGTTGAAACAAATGGATTTTCAAGATGGAGAATTCTCATTGTTCTTCATGGGCTACAAGGTTAAAACTTCTTGTATCAATTTTCAAATGGAATAGATTTAGGAAGCAAATGAAATTCCATCAAACGACAAGGAAAGACATTATTTTGCTCTTAGCACTCATTCAACAATTGAATTGACACAGTAAGTCTAGAAGTTTATATTACAATTAAAGGGGTATCCTCAATTTCTAGTAATTGGGGCACCGAAAACGATCCAGAATTTTCCTACCACAACGGAAACAAAGATCCCCGCGGTTATGGTAAGGTGTTCATTATCTCTAAGAATTTGTTTGCTTTTCTAGGTCATATTGGAATTGTGGTTCCTAATGTTGATGAGGCATGTGAGCGCTTTGAGAAGCTTGGCGTCAAATTCATCAAAAAGCCAAACGATGGTCGAATGAAAGGACTTGCTTTTATTCAGGTTGGAAATATTTTTTTCTTGTAAAAAGTTGCAATTTAGGATCCAGACGGGTATTGGATCGAGATTTTTCACCCTGGGAACGTTTGAAACACGTGTTTGAAAAACTTAGATTTAGTGAATTTTTGAGACTGGTATTTTTTCGATTATTTTCACATTTCAATAAATGTTTTTAAACTCAAAAGGATTGATCTTTCACGAGTGATCGGCACAAGACCAAAGAATTTTCACCACTTTTTCATGCTTCAAGGACGATTGGGAAAAAGGCCTTCGTTTCAAATCATTGCCGTTTTTCTTTTGGTGTTTGCTTCGTTTTTTTACTCGCAGAGGTCCTGCCATCGATCAATATCAGGGAGAAACTACGTGAAAGAAGGCAATTTTTTCAAGCTTTTCAATGACTTTCGTTTGTCTTTCCTCACCTGATTTTAGAGGGGATTGAGAATTCATTTTGATTTTTGATTTCTAATCAGTCTACACCTCCGCAAGTATTTTTTGACTTTTTAAGGGAAAGATTGGAAAAAGGAGCTCTTCAAAAGAGCATTATCAAAAAAGAAATTCTTTTAGTTGGCATGTTTTCGTTCTCATTTTAAATTTGTGATTTGGAAAAACAAAATTTGTCTTGTATTTGTGGATTAAATATTGCATATTTTACTAACCCTTTTGCTATTCCACAATTACTTTCAATTACCTCTGGGCACTTGCATTGCTCGGTAATGACACGGACAGAATTTACTTTTTGCGACAATTGCTGACTTCATTTCCCTCAAAAATCCCTTTTATCTCAAAATTTGTTTATCTTTTCGACCTCTGCACCTTCCTATCTCTTCTTGCGATATTAGATTTGCGCGGTAGATAAGAATGTTTTCCTTTACATAAAATCCCGTCAAAGCCACAAATGTTATTGATTGTGTTATTTGACGAAATTTTATGTCAAAGCACAATGCTATCTCACTTGCTCTTTTTCCGCTTTGTCCACAACAAACGTTTTGATTAAATGAAACAGCGATTTTCTTGAAGGTTTCTTGCTGTAAATGCAAATTTCCACTTTGCAGGTATGTTGTCATTGGTGGCACGTCAAGCAATCCGTCACAGCTCAGTTCCAGCGCCAAGTCGGAACGTGAACCCAAAATATACGCAGGTAGACTTTAAAAAATAGTTTTACTTTTATCAAACTGACCATTTTTGTTTAAAACCCCTTTATTTATAGCTCTTCATCAACAATGATTTTGTGAACGCGAAGAGCGGCAAGACGTTTGAGACATTCAACCCGGCGACGGGGGGCAAAATAGCTGATGTGGCCGAGGCTGATAAAGCCGATGTGAACGCCGCCGTAAAGGTGGGTGAACACAAATTTATTTCAATACATATTTATGGAGGTTTAACAGAAAATAAGGTATATAGGCATTAGTTTTGTTTCTAATAAATTTCTATAATAAAATATTTGATTCAGGCAGCTCAACAAGCTTTCCGACTTGGGGCTCCATGGGTGGGTCTCTTATAATTTAAACTTAAACCATAAGAGAGAAGTAACAAACATTGTACAAACAATCATAAAAACAATATAAAAAACAATCTAAAAGATGGTAGGTCAAGAATTGGTCTTTATCGGGATTGGCCTTCATTTCCTCGTAACACTAAATAAAACATAAAGAGAGAACGACAGGTGGAGAGAGAGCAACGCCTCGTTTTCGCTTGGCGGGGCTTCCACTTCTCGATTTTCTTCTCCATCTCCGGGAAACACGTGATGATGAGAGACCTGCATTTTTCTGGGAACAAATACCTAAAAATGCTCTAGAAATAGTAAGAAATATATAGACAAACACTCGATTCTCGACGATCGATATGCAGTCCATGATGTTGTGCTTCTCGGCGGCGTGTTTCCTCGCTTCTTCGTTCATTTTCCCCCGGCTCCGAATTCGAACCAAAGTAGCAAATACAAAGCTTAAACTCAACAACAATTTACTTGTTCTTGACAAATCGTGCAGGTCGTTGTGGTGTCTTGCTGTGTGGTCGAACATCGCAGTGTTCTATAAAACATTGTTTTTTTGTTTTTGCAAACACCTCCTTACCTTGCACTCGTGCTTCTTGTTTTTTCTTTCCGCCTCTTGTTCCTCTTCCGACGACGATGAAATGACGATCACCTAGATGTAAATACTTTCACTAAAATGTTTAACTTAACCAAACCTCTTCTTCGGCCGCGCGTACGTTGCAAGCATTGAGCTAATCTTCTGGCGGCATGTCGCTCGTCTCGTTACTTTTCTTTTTCTTTTCCACCTAAACAAAGCACGGTTTATTCTCTTCAACTTTATCAGATTTAAACTAAACAACAACTAGAAAACTAGGTGGTTATGTAAAGCAAAACAAACCGAAATTATTTTGGTATTTTTTCACTTATCTCTCGCTACTTAAAGTTACTTAAGTTACTCGCTCAGTTTACTTAAAAAGGGCCTCGTTTAGAGTTAAGCATAAATTTAGCGTCGAATGGACGCCGCTCAAAGGGGAATTCTTCTCAATCGGCTCGCCGACTTGATGGAACGAGATCGCCAAATTCTGGCCGTAAGTGAAACTTGAGAAAATTTTGATTAGACGAAAGATACAAAGTGGATTAAAATTAAAGGCGAGAGTACAGTAATTTGCCAAAGTTGGCACGTTTTAAATCGTAAGTCGTGAGGAACTGTGCACAGTCGTTCCAAGAAATTATACTCTTTTCTAAAGATTGTCTTTAGTCACTCGAAACTCTTGACAACGGAAAGCCATATGCTGTTGCTTATGCGGCTGACTTGGGACTTTCGATTGCTTGTTTGAGGTGAGATTGAAATCAGATTTCATTATTTACTTCTTTATCTAGCTACTAGTTTGTCTTAAGTCCGCAATGTATAATTTCTATAAATCACAATTTTCAAGATATTACGCTGGTTGGGCCGATAAAAACCACGGAAAAACGATTCCGATTGCCGGTGATCATTTCACATACACTCGACACGAGCCCGTTGGAGTTTGTGGGCAAATCATTCCGGTAGAAAAGGATATTAGATGAAAGAACAATAACTTTTAGTGGAATTTCCCTCTTCTCATGCAAGCCTGGAAACTCGGCCCAGCGCTGGCAATGGGAAATACCGTCGTGATGAAGGTGAGTAGCTGTTTTTGAGCCCATAAAAAGCACTTTGCATTAGAATTTCTCAATAACCCATACTTAAATTATATAACGTGTTACATCAAGTTTTTGTTCTTGTTCATGAAGTACAACAATGTCAAAAATTACCGCGAATTCTGCTTACAAAAAATGGTATTTAGGTGGCTGAGCAAACGCCCCTCTCGGCTCTCCATGTCGCATCTTTGATCAAAGAGGTTTAAAAATCGCCAAACTTTAAACATCACGTTTCTTTTTAGGCTGGTTTTCCGGAGGGTGTTGTGAACATTTTGCCTGGCTTTGGACCGACAGCTGGTGGAGCGATTGCAGCTCATATGGGAATCGATAAGGTAAATCTTACAAATGTACAATAGACAGGTGGGTTAAACCTCAATATCTGGAAAATCCTCAAAAACTTATCCTTTAGTTGGCTTTCACTGGATCAACCGATGTCGGTCGTATCGTGATGAAGTCAGCCGCCGAGAGCAACATTAAGAAGTGAGTAAAAGAGCCAATGTTTGGTTCAATAGCTAGGTAGTTTGAGATAAGAATAGAGACTTTTAAAATGCATGAGTCATGAGTCAGAAAAAAAATTCTAGGGTCACCCTGGAGTTGGGCGGAAAATCACCGAATATCATCTTCGCTGATGCGGATCTGGACGATGCCGTCAAACAGGCCCACCACGGACTTTTCTTCAATCAGGGACAGTGTTGCTGTGCGGGAAGTCGGACTTTCGTAGAAGGAAAGGTTGGTTTTGAGTACAAATATTGGTTTGACCGGAAAGGCTTGTCCGCCTTTTTGAAATTTTCGTTTATAAATGAATAATTAGCCGATCAACGTGTGGTTTGCTTTAAATAAAAAAGGTTAACTATTTCATTTAGCTTATTTTTAGGCAAATTTGAGTCGGCTTTGAAGCAAATCCGAACGGGAATTCTTGTTTTTCTTAAAATCCTTACAATGAGCATAGAATGAAAATGGCTTGGTGAAATGTTATGTAAATTTGTCTATCTGCCTAACTTTTCATTTTCTATCTTTTGACACCAAAATAGATTTCTTTGGCAAAAGGTGCTCAAATCGGAGCTTTAAGTTTCATCGTTTTTGACTACTCGACTTCAAACCTTTAAAAAAATTAACTAAAAAAAAACGCGAGCTTTTTAGGACTTTGACTTTAAGGATTATTTGTAAATAAATAATAGGACTTTCTGATAAAACAAACCATAGATCGATTGGTTCATTATTCATTTCAAAGGGTAACCTTTAAAAAAGCGGACAAGACTTTCCGGCCAACCTGATACTATTTGGCAGTAGCAGTGTCTCCAATAAACTTTGTAGGTATACGATGAGTTCATCGCTCGAAGCAAGGAATTGGCTCAAAAGCGCGTTGTCGGTGATCCGTTCGATCTGAAGACCGATCAAGGACCACAGGTTAGTCAAGGCTGATGATCGGATTGAATGCATATTTAGATTGATGAAAACCAAGTGAACACCATTCTCAAGTACATCGACATTGGAAAGAAAGAAGGAGCTCAACTGGTTGGTTGACGTAAAAACGGAAGAGTATAGTAAAACCTAGTCTCTTGGCACGTTAGGCAGGACTACATATATTTACTGAAATCCACTTCAAAGCCTTAGCTGACGTTATAAATAACCGTTTTAACACCAATTATTTTGATTCCGGCTCATTCCAGGTTTACGGTGGAAAGAAAGTTGGTGAGAAGGGGCATTTCGTCGAGCCGACAATCTTCGCCAATGTTCGCGATGATATGAAGATTGCTCAGGAAGAGGTATGTTTAGGAAAGCTTTTCAAATGTCAAACTAAAGTATTTACTCTCCATTCTGATATTTTTACTCAGTTCCTCTCGGAAATCCGGGTCTTTTCATTGTGAAAAGCTATCATATGCAAAACCCAAAGCCAATTCGATTCCCTTGGGACTTTTCTTGGGGCAAAGGGCTAAAATAAACTCCACCAATAGGTTCTACGACCCTGAAAAACCCGGGGCATAAATTTCTAGCAGTAAAGCTCATTTGAGAACCATTTACAAACAAAAGAAGAATCACTGTGTAAAATGACTGGCGAGGTGTTCTTTGTGCGGCCGCGTAATCGCTCATTTTCTGGCATACCCGTCCGGTATACGGTGCTTCCCTTCTGGAGGAGGGGTTGGAGAAGGAGCGGCTTGCCCGTTCTCACTATGCCCAAATTTGACGGGTATGCCAGAAAATGAGCGATTTCGTGACCGCACAAAGAACATCTCGCTAGTCATTTTACACAGTGATTTTTCTTTTGTTCTGTAAATGGTTCTCAAATGAGCTTTAATGTTAGAAATTTGTGCCCCGCGGTTTTCAGGGGCGTAGAACCTAATGGTGGAGTTTATTTTAGCCCTATGTCCCAAGAAAAGTCCCAAGGGAGTCGAATTGGCTTGGGGTTTTGCATATGATAGCTTTTCACAATGAAAAGACCCGGATTTCCGAGAAGAGCCCTTTACTCTTATAGTTAGGATCTTATTGTTAGTTTCAAAGCTGTAGTGATGGTAGACTTTGAAAGTACCCAGCTCTGGTCTCAGCTACAGTAATATCCAAATACAATATCAGATCTTTGGCCCGGTGATGTCGGTGATTCGTTTCGATTCGATGGAGGATCTCGTCGAGAAAGCGAACAACACAATTTACGGATTGGCGGCCGCCGTCGTAACAAAGGACATCGATCGAGCTCTCTATGTGGCCAATAATATTCGAGCTGGATCGGTTTGGTGAGTGATTCAATAAAGGGGTTGTGGTGCAAAGAACTAACATACAATCTGCCTTACAGCTAAAAGTTAAATCAAAGACAAAAATATTTTCAGGGTTAACTGCTACGATGTGTTTGATGCGGCGGCTCCGTTTGGTGGATACAAACAATCTGGTTAGTGAGGCAATATTGCTAGCTTCTTTGAGTTGAATTTCTTCTCATCAAATGAAGAACTGAATGTACTAATTGTAAGTAGTATGGGTACTAACAATAAGAATGTACTAAGAAAATAATATGGCTCACCCCAAACCTGGTTCTTTAACTAACAATGGTCAAAAGCGGTACTTGAGTCGGTCAACAAAATGCAGTGGCTCGTTTTGATCTCCAAACAATTGAAGATCCATTTTTAACTCTTGACAGCTAAAGGACTAATTCTGCTATAGATTCAATAACACTTATCGTTTAACACGTAAAAAGAACCATTCAATTGCTTTCAATTTCAGGAATCGGTCGTGAACTCGGTGAATATGGTCTTGAAGCATACACTGAAGTGAAAACGGTTTGAAAATATACAATTACGTTGAAATTTCTCTTCATTTTCAGGTCACCATCAAGGTCCCACAGAAGAATTCTTAAGAAAAGGAAGTCTTTAGTATTCGTTGTATTAGTGTGTCATGTTACAAAATTGTATTACACGTGTGTCTCCGGTTGTACCAATGTATTTATTTTACAGTAAGCATTTACGCATTTTAATGTCTATCATCTATCCAATAAATACTATGATATGTACTAATTTCCGAACAATGACAATGGCGAATCGAGATAATTTGCATAGAGATCGGCACGATACTTTTGAACGATATTCTTTTCGATTAATTGACTCATTTGATAATCCTCGAATTGAACCGACAAGTAGTGCAGACCGTCACGAAAAACGGCTTTGTTGATGAGCCTAGATGTTTAGGTTTAAAACTACAGTAATCGAAAAGCAAATAGGTAAATCCTCGACACGACAGCAATGATAATGCAAAAGGCATTTTTTTAGGAAACTACCGTAACCAGGCCAACAGTTTACATTCAATCAGCTCGATTTTGGTATCATTAACTGAGCATTGTGATTTCTCATCGAATGATACCAAAATTGGGCTAATCGAATTTAACTGGTGATTTGATTACAGTAACTTTCAAGAATATTTGTTATTTAGAAAACTGAATGCCATCAGGCGGAACGTACGCTGGTAAATAGATATCTAGAGTTCAGAAGTTCAGAAAACTGAAGCTATTCTTAAACTCCGTTTAGAGTAAATCTCTCTTTCTTTATAAGCCTTGCCTTACAATTTACTTAGGTGTAAAGTTGAAAAAAGTTAACGTTTAAATGTAAAACTGATACATTGCTATGAATGCTAGTTACTTTTCACCTCAAAGTCTCTCATAAATCCACACTCCGATGGCAATTCTTCGTTTGGCAAAAGCTCGGACGTTTGGATGAGTTTCCGCTGAAAAGTTACTATAAAATTACATTACACTAGACTTCGGAAAACAAAACAAAACTTAACCAAAACCAAAACGACCAAAACCAAAACCATAACAAAACCAAAACCAAAACTAAAACTAACCAAAACCAAAACTAAAACTAACCAAAACTCGCCAATATCTCGCGATTGGGAGGAGCTAGCGAAAATCTGTTTGCAGATTTGAAATCAGCGTCCAAAAATCTGTCCCATAGGCTATTTTTTGTTTCGACATTTCGAGGTCGTGTTTTGGTCCTTTTTTCGGCCGCGAGATTTTGGGAGTGAGAAAAAGTGAAAGGAAATTTGCATTTTACAATTTTAAATTTACATGTTAATTTATATGCAAATTGAGTTTTGGTTTGTTTTGGTTTCGGTTTTGTTTGCCGAACTCTACATTACACTTTACTATAACATTATAATATTTAAGCTTCATCACTTCAAATTCTATTTTTGAGCAAAAGCTCATTTTTCGTCAACACATTCAAATCAAACCTTGCGCTGTTGAAAGTACATTTTTGTAGCGAAAATTTGAAGATCGTTCGGATCTTGGGATTCTACTTGTCTTGGGTTCAGCATTTGCTCTAGCTAAAATTATGGTGTTTGTTTTTAATTTTTAAGGATTAGTACTCTGGTGTAGCATTAAATCTTTTCACCATAAAATTGGCAGTTTGAGCGTTTAAAAACTGACCACCCCTTTGAGAAAATCGTTTGGTTTTTGGGTGGCCTTTTTCCTGGAAGTTGCGTCACTAAAATTATGGATTTTTGACAAGGTCGATTTTCTTTAAAAAACGAGATTTCTTTACACTTTGAAAAAAGTTCAATCAAAATTTTGCATTAGAATTGCTTTGAGAGAGCGAAAAACACAAAACTCATCATTCGTAACTTAACTTATCATACATTGAACTTCTGTAACTTATCATACATTGAACTTGTTGACGTTGATCGTTGTTGGCTCGATTCTTTGCTTGTTGATGGTCTTTCTTCATCAAAACTGAATCTAGCGTTCGATTTTTAAAAAGCCAGTCTTGAGATGTGATTGAAGGATTAAAGGAATAAGGCAGAACTTGGCTCCTCACTGAAATGAGGCAATGGCTCCTCGCTAGGTGCGACGGTTTGAGTCTTGTTAGTGTTGTTAATAATGTTAGCATTAAACTTGCAGAGCTTTTTAGTTTAATAGTATTGTGTTCGGTAGTATTGTGGTATTCGGTAGTATTGTGTATTCGGTAGTATTCGGTAGTATTGTGTTCGCAAATCAAAAAGCTCCAAACACTGCACCTTCATAGCATATCATTTACCTCGTTGTGTCAGACTCGGGCGAGCTTTCGACACCGCGGCGACCCATGAATTGTTATTACAGTTCAGTGGTTAACGATTTCTTTAGGCTATAGTTTCAGTATAGATTTATAGCTTGATGGCACTTTAGACTTTTTCAATACTTTCAAGCATATAGCCCTAATCCATAAAATTCTACACCCTTGTTTCTCTCATTTTGCTTAACTCACTGAATGGACTCCGTGGAATGTTCGACGCTCAGTCTTCGACGACGAGATCGACTAAAATTTGCATAGTGAAAAGTCAAAGAATGCAATAACAAAAAAATCAGCTCACAGCTGAGCTTCTGTTCAAAAAATTACGATAGTTTTTTTGCTTTTTAACTCACGGAGGTTCGGGCGAGGAATCGATTTGTGGTGTGCGACGACGAGAAGATCTAGAAATCTTTTTAAAACATTTTGTCGAATTTGGGTGCCTTTAAAAACACTCACGGTGTGCCGCTTCTTTCCCTTGACGATGATCGCTTCTTTGCAAAAATTTCATTCATTTTTGAGATCATCTAAAATTGCGCTTTTTGTTATACACTCTGTCAAAAAATTATAGACGCACCCTGTTTTTTGCTTAGAGTTTAGAGCTACCTTTTTTACCTTTTTTTACCTTTTTGCTACCTTTTTTTGCGCACCTGGACATTTGCGCACCTTTTTTTTGCTGGAAAGGGCCTTAGGAAAGGTCGTAGAGCTTCAAAAATATTTTCATAGAAGGGAATCGTGTGCGTAGATTCCGAATTTCGACAAATCAGACCTCGCTGACACGTCAAATTTGAGCTAAAAGGCAAAAACTACGCAACTTAACGCTTTTCCGCAGTTTTTGCCTTTTAGCCCAAATTTGACGTGTCAGCGAGCTCTGATTTGTCGAAATTCGGAATCTACGCACACGATTCCCTTCTATGAAAACATTTTTGAAGCTCTACGACCTTTCCTAAGGCCTTTTCCAGCAAAAAAAGGCGCGCAAATGTCCAGGTGCGCAAAAAAAAGGTCGCATTTGTCCCACCCCCGTTTTCACTTTTTATTTTGACATTATTTTGCTAGTTTAGAGCCGGATATAAGTGCTAGTCCAGTGAAAAGTATTTTTTAGTTTCTTTAATGTAAAAAAACAACCTATGCAAAATTTCAAGTCATTTCACTCATCCAAAGTACTCTATCGTACAAAAAACGTTTTATCAGCTGTCAAAAAATTATAGACGCACTTTTATTTTATCAAGAAAAGTTAACAGAAATAAAAATAATAACACAAACCAAATAAATTAATGTGGCCAAATGTGTGGCCAAACCAAATGTGTGGCCAAACCAAATGTGTGGCCAAACCAAATGTGTGGCCAAACCAAATGTGTGGCCAAACCAAATGTGTGACCCCCTCCTTGCTTTAGCCAAACTTCAAAAAGACGTGTATGAAAAGTATACAAGTTTGGATAGCGATAAAGTATCATTTAAGTAAAAATTCGTGATATTTCAGACAAAGATGTAACTTTTCAAAACCATCCACTGTTGGCAAATCTCCAATCAGTCCAATCAAATGCAAACCTTTCTGTGTTGTATCTTCGCCATTTCCTCTCTTTCTTCTCGTTTCCTCAACTCATATTCTTCAAGAAGCCTCGCGGAAGAAGTCTTAATGCTCAATAAGTTCTCAATTCTCAATTCAATAAGTTCTCAATTTTATATTTTCCCTTGAAAACTCACAAATGATTCCCTTGGTTCCCAGGTGTTTTCTTCTTCGCTGAACCCAACCCATTTCACCAAATAATATTTTTCCCCATCAATTGTCTTATCCAATAGGATTTCCTCCACCTCGTAGTCTTCCCTAAAGTTTTTAGGGGATTTTTTATCAAAAATAATATCTGTTTTGGCAGTTCTTAAGTTTGTTTTGTTTTGTTGAAAGGCAAACTCACTCAGAAGCATTATCATCGGCATTATCATCGGCATTATCGGCATTATCGGCATTATCTTCATCATCTTGGACACGACTTGTCGATGGACCGGGAACATTACTCGAAGGATTCATATAAAGAAGCTGAAACTTTAATTTACATACTTAGATACAGTCATTTAAAGAAATAAGGGTACATGTTTAAATTTTCCCCTCAAGTCAATACAATAACAATTTACAATTCACTTCAATTTCCCTAACTTTTTAACACTTTACACATAAATTTACACACATTTTTAACACATAAAAATGTAACGGTCAGTTTTTTTGGAAACGGTGAAAGTAAGAATGAGGAAAAACGAGTTGATTGCATTCTACATTTGCAATGCTAATTTTTTTTGTTGCAAGAAAATAAACAATAAACAATATAAACAAGTACCAAAATAGGAAAACAAGTGAAAAATTTGACTTGCTCAGACTGAAGACTGACACTTGGGTTTTCATGGCGTAGCTGATTGTCGCTGTGTAAATAGTTGCCGAGAGTTTCTTCACAATCTTTGATTTCAATTTTCGATTTTCAATTCTTCACACAGCAGAATTTCAATGCAAAAACATATCATGTAGAGAAGATTCGAGAAAATATTCTTGAATTTTGTGAAACTCTTCCATTTCCAGATTGTTTAAAAGATTTCCACATACATGTTCGGGTTTAGAATATCTCTGTTTCTCAGCATAAAGCTAAACGACATCCCTAAAAAGGCGATATATATTTTCGAAGCTCTACGACCTTTCCTAAGGCCTTTTTCAGCAAAAAAAAGGTGCGCAAACGTCCAGGTGCGCAAAAAAGGTCGCATTTGGGCCACCCCCGTTTTCTTGACAAGAAACGATTAGAAATATTAAAATATTATTAAAGAAATATTATTAGAAATATTATTTAGAAATAAAACAGATTATATGAGTAGATTCTTTAAATGAAAAATATAAAATCTTTGTTACCGTATTTTCTCTAATAGTAGTGCACCCTGAGCGTCGCCTAAATTCCTCGTAATCTCGAGAACCGCTTATCAGGACCTACCGATGTGGGGTCGGAAAATGTAGCTGACGATGAGATCTAGTGAGGAATTAGAGTGTTGAGCTTCTGCAAAAGAAAATTTCTCTTTCTCAGCACAAAGCTAAACGACATCCCTAAAAAGGTGAGTCTTGACAAGAAACGATTAGAAATATTAAAATATTATTAAAGAAATATTATTAGAAATATTATTTATAAATAAAACAGATTACATGATTAGATTCTTTAAATGAAAAATACAAAATTTCTGTTTTAACTTTTTAACACAAAGTACAAAGATTCACGATTACTGTGGCGAATTGCCACTGCTCTGCAGTTAGTCAAAAATTCAATACACAAGTTAAAATTCAAAGTTGATGGATAAACTACCGTGATCAGTCACTAGACGATCAGTGATCAGTCACTGGACGATATTCAGCTGTCCGTTTGTTCTAGCTTGTATACTTTACAAAAACCCGTTATTTAAGTTTTGCTTTTGAGCTAGTTTGGTTCTCCTTTTTTGTTTTTTATCATCCTTTTTTTTCACATGCAAGTGTTGAATTAATTGTGATAGTGCCAGGTTGCTCCAGTTTGAGCGAAGTTTGCCCTAATAAGGGAAAGTTTGATAAATTGTGCGCTTTCAAGACAACCACTAATGAACCACACCGAGACACGGTCTCACAAGAAATTATATAGATCAAAGCATAAACATATATTTCTTACAATTACATTGATTTGATTTTTGATTTGAATTTGATGAGAATCAGAGCTATTCTAGACTGAATATCCCGTTTGGTGAGTTTAACAAAACGAGAGAAGTATGGATCGGTTTGGTTGGCAAAAAAAATCAATATTTGGTTTGGTTTCGTTTAACTAATAACCTATTATTCCAGGCCACCTCGCCGCCGACTAGATTGAGAATTTGCAATAGAACTATCCTTAACCAATTTTTTAATCAAACCAAACAAACCAAAACAACATACTCTTAAAGTGTGTTGTTTACCGAATTTTCATTGCTTTGCTGGCATTTTTAAGAAACTGAAGTCATTTTCTTTTGGCGAGCAATAGATTTTGATGATCGTCAAAGCATTTTGATGATCGCTTACAGTTAGTAGTTCTATTATCCCCTCGATACTGATTACTTATCTACTACAGTTAGTGATTCTATTACTGATTTATTGTTTGAGTAGGACCGATGGATAAAATCTAAAGTAAAGACTACGGTAGTTCTCTAAATCGGAAACGACCTGCAGGAAAGATTACGGTAAATTTTGTTACTTTTTAGTCCACTTTTTAGAAAACACAGGGGAAAACTGAGTCTAACTCTTACGATTCGTCTCTCGAAAATTCCTCTTTTTAATGCGTGTGTTAAAGGAAGATAAAATAAGTCGCGAAATGCTTTTACGAGAATCATTCACTGATTCCTCAAAAAACGTTTATCGGTGATTTTTCGAGACAATTTCATTAGGCATTTTTGGCATTTTTTGGATAGTTGCCCTTTTTTGAATGATCCCCTCTGAAAATTGCCTTTTTTTGGAAAAAGAACGATTGTAAAAGGGAAAAAGGAAGCGAAATGGCATGAAAAGATGTCGACAAAAGATTAGAAATAAAAACAGAGTGCTATACGCTTTTTGAAACAGTAACTGTTTCAGGGACTGTCACGGGAAATTGTCATTGATTGACATTGAACATGTTGGACCCTTCCACGAGTTGTGGTGCATTGTCCGGGTTGCGAAATGTCGCTTTTCCCCGGATATCATCACCGACAGAGTGCCAAATAAGCAAAGAAGCAAATAAACTCGAAATAAACACAGACTCTTCGATTGATTCGTATTTACTCGTCTTGAATCGTTCTCTTTTTGTAGCTCCTCCTTCATCTCTTCCTAAGAATTGTTGAAATTCTAATTCTTGATCACGGCATTTCGAAGTCCTTCACCAATTCAGTAATTCCTTTCGAAGTCGATTCATCGAGTATTCGCTTCTTCAAATCGATGAAAAAAACATACCGTAAATACTGTAATAGTACCCCACCCCCCTCGTACAGTCGCGTAGTCGCAAAAGTTTTTGTTGTATTTCATTTTTTTCAAAGCGTCTGTACTTTCAAAAATAGCATCTTTGGTATCAAAAGATAGCTGAAATTCAGGGCTATTTTTTGATACCTAAGCGCGCATTGTAGCATAAATCAGTGTCGAGAAAAACTCGTTCAAAGCTAGACTACGCAATACTCCGCACCGTCATTTATCTTTGGTATCAAAAATAGCCCTAAATTTCAGGTATTTTTTGATACCTAAACGAACATTGTAGTATAAACCAGTCTCGAGAAAAACTCGTTCAAAGCTAGACTACGCAACACTCTACACCGTCATTATGGGGGTGGGGTACTATTACAGTATTTACAGTACGTTAAATATAAGTTTAAATTTTTTAATCATTTTTTCAACTCACCGAATTCTTTTTACATCCCCTAGCTATCATCAAACTTTCAAGAGCTGAGAAATTCGAAAAAGGACAAATTTTTGCTTTCGGGTCGTCTATTGAAGTAATTACGATAATTTAGCCATCCTATTAGCAATTTCACAGGTGTTTTCCCATTTTCAAAGCAAAAATTTACCTGAAATGACCGAAAACGAGGTCAAAATGCGAACGGTGGGAAATCCTTTGGGATGAGACCAAAAAAAGGACATCAGAAAAAGGGATAAAAGAAGGCTCGGAGATTGGATTTGTGAAAAGGAGAAAAAAGGTGAGCAATTTGCAGGAAATGGTACAACTTTTTGTTGAGGAAAAGGGGGGACGAGGTGTGAAATGGTGAAGAAGGGAAGTGGGTAGGACAGACTGAATATTTTATAGAGAAATCATCCTAGTTGGAAGGTGTGCTTCTCTTGGACATCGTGTTTTATGCCTTTTTAAAGGTGAAACCTGGATGAGCCTGTTGCATGGTGCTCTTCGTCATTTCGATTTGCGTTTATGAAAATCACTAATAGTGATTCACCATGGCAAATCACTTTTCTCCAACTTCTAACCAGCTTTTTTTTCAGTTTCCTGCTTCACAATTTTAGTTCTCACTATTTTCAATTAGAAAACACATTTAAATACCCATACAGACCTCAAAAATAGCCATTTTTGTGTCCCCGATTGGGCTTTTTACTCTCTATATCAATATTATGCCATTTTCAGATCCGTTAAAGGCGGCAAAATAGTGAGCATCGTCGACGAAGAGAAAATGCGAAAAAAAAATATAAATAGGCAATCAGAGTTGATAGGAAAGTGTGTTGAAAAGCGTAAAATTTAGCGCAAATGATCGCTAGCATCTCGGTTTTTGAGGATGCTACTGAGTTCTGATTGTACATTATCTTTTTTCTATCTCAATCCGAGCATCCGAAATTTTGAACGCCCTCGAGATTACGAGGAATTTAGGCGACGCTCAGGGTGCACTACTATTAGAGAAAAAATTTTTGAACTGTCAAAACAAGAAATCCTTCGTTTCGGGTTTAAATTGGCCGCACGTTTTGGTGATTTTGGAGGTTATTTGAGGCCGTAAACATTAATTCGTAAAGAAAAACTATGTTTCCTATTGGAAATAAATCAATTTTTGGATTAATTACCCAAGTTGGACGACCAGATTCCGCCAGATTGCCAGATTCACCAGACCAGATTCCGCTTTCTCCTACCAGCGACTTGAAAAGAACGCACAGAGTCGCCATCGTGGAAGTCTTTTGTATTTACAAGAAAATATTACTTTATTGAGAAAAACTGAATATGGATTCGAAAACATGATGAAAAGTTGCATATTGTAACAAATTTTCAGAATTTTTGGGTAAACCACTAGCGAGAAACGATCGAGAAACGATACACGGTGTACTACGTCGTGTTAAGAGGCTTAATCCAATTGTCCCCAAAAGCAGGCAATTCAGGTACGATACCTTTTTCTTAAGAGTACCTCATTAAAAATGGAAGTAATGTTTAATCTCGTGTTGAAGATCAACTCCTATATGTGAAATAAAAGAAAGCTATGATTTCTGTTTACAATTAGTACATTCTTTCAGTGTATCCTTTATGATACAATCTAAAACATTATCAGATTTATACT